TCAGCAGGAAAAGGAGCTTGCTGCCAAGTCTGACAACCTGAGTTCCATCCCTGGAACCCACACGGTAGAAGAAAAAAAGCAGCTCCACAAGATGTCCTCTGAACTCTACACATGAGCTGTGGCGTGCGACACATCCCTCTCCCAGCACACACACACACACACACACACACACACACACACACACACACACATACACAAATAAATAAACATGGGAAAAGACCCTCCGTAAAAACGAGAAGAGGAGCTAACAGTGAAGGGAATGTGCAGCCTGAAAAGGAGAACAACAAGTAGGACCTGATCTGTGAGCCTGGAAGCTGAATCCTAAGCCAGCAGTGAGGGCTGGTCAGGGCCGTTTGTACTCTAGAACGCTCAGACATCTGGCAAGTGACAGCCTTAGCCACCTCCGTGGAGTTGGCAGTAAGACTAAAACGAGGACTAGTTAAAAGTGCAGATACCACAGGGACTCTCCTGTCCCCTCCTCCAGTGGCCTTCCCCTCCATCCGCAGACATCTTCTCTGGATAGAGGAAAGCGGGGTCTCAGGAGTGTGGACTCCTGGATTCTTAACACAGGTCAGCACAGAGTTTGAACCAAAGCCATGACGGAATGAATGAAACTTAGCATAGGGAATGTTGAAACCTCCACACTGCTTCCGCAGCTCACTGTTCAGGCCACCGGACTGACCCTCATGCTGGGGTCTGGAAGAGTCACCTCTAGAAAATCTGGCCAACCCAAGAAAAGTGTTCAAGTGACTCGGTCCAGTCACACCTACCGTCCTTAGGTCCTTAGGTCCATATGAGCCGTAGATGGCAAGTCCTACCCTCACACATCATTAGACACGTGAGAAAGTCTAGAAGAATCCCATCAGTCGTGTCTTATCACTGCTCTCTCTGGTCCTAGTCCTTCCGCCCCACCCCCACCCAAGCCCGAGACAGGCTCACTGTGTAGCCCAAGCTGACTTGGGATGACCAGTGCAGAGAGAACCAAGTAAGAATCTGTGAGAGAAGATCGTAAACCTCCCTTTCAGATGAGCGAATGAGCTCTCAGAATGTTTGTGAGAGCTGAGGGAAGAGATAAAAGAAAGAAAATGTGTTATTTTAAAAAGAACCCTTAGAAATTAAAAATACTATAACAGAAATTAAAAGTCTGAGAGAGGATAAATTTATGGGTTTTTTTTTTTTTCAGACAAAGTAGCACTAAGGAAAACTTAAGAAACTCAAGAGTTTCTACCTAAAAATCCATTCTTTGTATAAAAGACATTTTAGAAGAGAACTGAAAAATAAACATCAAGAGCAAAACTTGGGAGGCAGAGGCAGGAGGATCAGGAGTTTATGGTCATCCTCAGCTACACAGCGAGGTAAAGGGCAGCTTAGACAACGTGAGACTGTCTCAAGAAGAGAAGGAAGTAGGAAAGAGCTGGCGAGGTGGCTTGTGGGTAAAAACACTGCCTCAGCGGCGTGAAGACTTGAGTTGGGCCCCAGAACTGACAAGAAGACAGGCGTGGTCGTAGCTCCTGTCTGTAAACCCAGCACTTGTAAGGCTCTCCCTCCCGGGAGCAGCCAGCCTGCAGAATGCAGGGCAGCAGAAGCAACATGGCAGGAGAGAACTGACCCCTACATGTGCCCCTCCTAGGAGCCTAGCGGAAGAGGTGCTTCATCAAGACAGCTCAGTAAAGAAAAATCAAAACAAAACACGCAAACAAAAAAAGTGGGTGAGAAGCCCGGCTTAAGTTAAGCACCAAGTCAGTGGGTATAGAGGTGTGGTCTTGAAGTGTCGGCTAACTGGCAGAGGATAGAGACGGCCACAGGATGTAAGTAGACATACAAAACAGTTAACAGAAGTTACCCTGAAAGTGAGAACAGAATAGTTTTCCTTCTTCACTTCTGTTTATGCAGGATTTGACTCTGCATAGTACTTTTCTTTTTTTTTTTTTAAAGAAATATGCTCCCTCCAGTGGAGCACCCCCAATAGAGATGTTTAAGCCTTAGAAAATGACAGCAGAATTTCCCTTTGCACAACCTTGCAAATTTGCTGGAGAAGTTTTTAACTTCTAGCTAGCCTTCTCTGGTATAAAAACGTTAGGTTTTTATGTTTCGTTGTAGGAAAGAGCTGAGCAGGAATGGCTTTGGGAAAACGGGGCCAGAACTCTCTCCCAGAAAATAAACATTTGGGGCAGGAGAGATGGCTCAGAGTTTAAGAGCACTGGCTGTTCTTCCAGAGAACCTGGAGTCACTCCCCAGCACCTGCATGGCGGCTCACAACTGTCTGTAACTCCGGTCTCAAGAGATCTGACACCCTCTTCTGGATTCTGTGAGCACCATGCACACATGTACTGTGCAGACTTGCATGCAGACAAAACACCCACACACATAAAATAAACAAGAAAATAAAGGAACTTTTAAAGAAAGAAACTCCTTGCTGCCCGTTGGCATTGATCTTGCTATGGCCAGTGAACGAAGGTTTATTCTGGATCCCTGGACTGAAGCGAGCTCTCCATTTTTGCAGAGCCCTTTCCACAGAGGGCTGTCCCTGCTGCAGGCCCTTGATTACCAATAATTAATCTCAGATGAAAGATTCAGTACTCCAGGCTTCCTTTCTCTCTGACCTAAGAGAACATGCTGTGAATAGTTTGTTTGTTCGCCTGCCAGAGATCTTATCTGGGCCCATAAGAGTTGATAGGATCATTAAATCAGCATTGATCTTTTCTCAGTATCCTTTTTCTGCAAAAAGGGGTGCGTGGTATCTCAAGCCTGGATAAAAGGGAGACTTAATATATGGCGCAGGGGTCATTCAGTAACGGCTCTATTTAATAGCAGTAAAATCTGAATAACTCTGCAATGTGTCCTAATCCCCATGTTTTCTCTGCTCTTTCTCAATGTATTTGGCTAAATCACTACGGAGCAACCAAGCCAAATGGCCAAACCACCCACTTTCTTATTCCCAGCACATGAATTAGAAGGAAGCCAGCGGAAACCCAGGCCAGCTCATAAATGACTTGTATGTCTGATTTTTGTTCCATGATCTGAAACTCAAAATAAATCAAAAAAAGAAACATTTTCCAAATACCGACAAATTCACACGCACAAAAAAGTCTCCAGCCTTTTCAGTACACACGCGAATTGAACCGAGGAAGGATGTAATGACTAAGCTATGAAGATATCAAGGTGTAGTAAGTTCATTTTGAATATAGGCCAGATATGACTTAGAGGTTAATTCCCAAGGCACAAACAGACACTCCTATGTAGCAAGTTTATGGAACCTTTGTGTTCAATTCGAGAATCAGAAGCCAAAATGAAGGCTAAAGGTCGTTTTAGGAAGGACCTGGAACAGAAAACCTTTGAAGAAGGGTCCTAAGAGGCAAATTTTGAGCTTAGAAAACAGTGATCATTGCCAAGCCTGGTAGCATAGGCCTATAATCCCAACTACTCAAGAGGCTGAGGCAGGAGGATGGATATCTGGGCTATATAGTGAGTTCAGCACTAACTTGGGCAACTTAGTCAGATCGTGTCTCAAAATTTTGAAAAAGGGAAAGAGAAATGAAGGAAGAGCGTAACTTAGTTGGGGATAGAGTTCAGTGGCAGGGCATATGCCTAGTATGTGTGGGGCTCTGACTTCTATCCCTGGTAACACACACATACACACTAGTGAATATGGTCCAACAGAATAGTGATAGATCAAGAAGGTGGCGGACACGCAGACGTTGCTGTTTGGTTTAGACATTTAGATAAACTTACTATAAAAATATAAAGTTCCTGACTACAACTTGTTAAACTTAAAAACTGAACAGAGGGCCGGGCAGCAAGAGTGCACACCTTTAATCACACTCAGTAAGCAGAGCCAGGCGGATCTCTGAGTTCGAGACCAGCCTGATGTTCAGAGTGAGTTCCAGGACAGTCAGCACCACACAGGGAAACCCTGTCTTGAAAAACCAGAACCAAAACAATAATAACAAAAAAAAAATTGAACCGAGGAAGGATGTAATGACTAAGCTATGAAGATATCAAGGTGTAGTAAGTTCATTTTGAATATAGGCCTAGGTCTCCAAATACACATGTTTAAGTACAGATGTTGGACACATCCCTCCTCAGTACCTTATATCTGATAGGTAAATTAGCTATGAACTGAATGGTTTTTCAGCAGGAATCTGGCACCTCTCTCTGGCCATAGCACCCTAGGGTTAGCAGTCTACCAGAAGAGCAGATGTCCTGCGCAGGAGCATAGCCTGACTCCAGGGGAGCAATGAGAAAGGGCAGGTCTGAAAGTTCTAGAAAAGAGAAGTCTGGGTTGGAGAGAGAACTCGGGAATGGGAAGTTTACCTGGCCTCAGTCGCCAGCACAGCAAAAAGGACAGAGAGACCTTTGTCTGGCCTCTGTTACAAGGTATGGAAAGTTTTAGAAAGTGCAGGGATGCCTGGAAAACACATCTGAAAATGAACTAATTACAAGACTATAAGACCGAAGCTGTTTACATCAGGATTGGTTTGCATAGTTAGATGGATCTAAAAATGCTTTGTCCTTTTTTTTAGTGTTATTTATTGCTGTTGTGTGTGTGAATGGTGTGTGTGGGGGTGTGTTCCCGCCACACGGCACGTGTGGAGGTCAGAAGACAACTTTATGGGGTCTGTTCTCTCTTTCCACCATTGTGATGGAATGCAGGTGTGCCTGCCTAGCAAGTAGTTTATCCATGAGCCATCTCAGCAGACCCTCCTTGTCTTCATGACGTAGCTTCCTGCTAAGGAAATATACCATGACCTCTTGCTAAATACCAACTGATTCTTACGTTTATAAAAGAATATCACCAAATTACAAGAACGTTTAAGTCACACTTTGAATTATTGGCAAACCCAGGACTAACCCCAAACTGTCTTCTTTCGGGAGAAGAGTATAAAACCGTTTGTCATCTCCATAAAGTGCTGTTTCTAGCGCTGGCTTCGGTTTGAACTGCTCACCCGTTCCCCTCCTTACCCGTCTCCCTCCTCACCCGTCTCCCTCCTGTCCTGCAGCTGGGACGAGAGCAGCTCCATCAGCAGTGGGCTCAGCGATGCCTCAGACAACCTCAGCTCGGAAGAGTTCAACGCCAGCTCCTCACTCAACTCCCTCCCGACTACTCCCACGGCTTCCCGCAGGAGCTCTACAATCGTGGTATGTGATTTTGCAAACATGTGGGCCACCAGGTCAGGGTGAACCACAAAACGAACTGGGCGAGATCTGTGTAGATGTCGTAAATGGTGTCATTGTAACTGCATTTTGTGCTCGTGCCTATTTAGAGTGATACATATGAGAGTTTTTCCAATTGGAGAAGAAAAAGTACCCTAGAGATAGATATAGTCTCTTCTCTCTGGAATACTAGGGATGGAGAGAAACCTTAGTTGACTTAACACTATGGGATAATCAAGGCCCTTCACCCCACCATTCTCCCACCCCTGTGTAAGCAGCTTATTCTGCCCTTTCCTCTTCTCGTTAGCTACGCACAGACTCAGAGAAGCGCTCTCTGGCCGAAAGCGGGCTGAACTGGTTTAGCGAATCAGAGGAGAAGGCCCCCAAAAAACTGGAGTACGACAGTGGCAGCCTGAAGATGGAACCTGGGACTTCAAAGTGGCGGAGAGAGCGACCCGAAAGCTGTGAGGACGCATCTAAGGGTGGAGAACTAAAAAAGCCCATCAGCCTGGGACATCCAGGGTCCCTGAAGAAGGGCAAGACCCCACCAGTAGCTGTCACCTCTCCCATCACTCATACAGCCCAGAGTGCCCTCAAAGTTGCAGGTGAGTTGGGACAGGGACAAGGGTGAAGACCTTGCTTCGATGCTTTTCCTTAAGGGTCACAAACCTACAGAATGATAGCAAAGGTTTGCAGAAACGCTTTAACGTACGATATCTCTTCTGATCCTCGGGACGGTCCTGTGAGTTGGGAAAGATGAGTGTTACTGTCTCAGTTTTACCAGTGTGGAGACTAACTCAAAGGGGTCAGGTGGCTGAGCTACAGTGATAGAGCTGGCGGGCTGACAGGAGGGAGAGAGTGTCCTCCCGGGCAGGTTCCTCCCTTCCCATGGTCCCCACTGGTTCCTTGTTGCCTCCCCCAGGGCGTCCTTCTTAGCATCTAATGGAGGTCCGACTGGACTAATGTGTTAAATGGCTGTGAAAAAGAAGCACAGCCGGGCGGTGGTGGCACAGGCCTTTCATCCCAGCACTCAGGAGGCAGAGGCAGGCAGATCTCTGTGAGTTCGAGGCCAGCCTGGTCTACAGAGTGAGTTCCAGGACAGCCAAGGCTACACAGAGAAACCCTTTCTCCAAAAACCAACCAAACAAACAAAACAACAAAACCCCACAAAAACAAAACAAGAACAACAAAGAAAGAGAAGTTTGTTGTTCCCAAGGTTTACCCCTTCCTTGGATCACTATGAGCTTTAATCAACATTTCCCTCCAGAGTCTAGACATTTTCTTACCTAACTCATTGCTTCCTCCTTCTTGTCCTTCCTTACGCAGTTATTAGACACACTTCCTTCTTGATCACTTTTGTGGTGGCCTCTGCCACTTTAACCAAAATAAACCACCCCACAGAAAACAATACAAACAAACTAAATGAAAGCCTACTTCCTCCCAAAGTCCCTCTGACAAGAAACTGTATCCGCTTATCCAGTATTGTCTGCCCATATTTAGGCCTCTAAATTTTTATAATATATAGAAAGTGGTTCCTTTTCCCCTAGAGAGAAAGAAAGGTGTTTTTAAGATATTACACTAGGCTGGGGAGAGGGGAATGTGTGCACACCTTTAATCCCAGCATTTCTATGACTTCGAGGCCAGCCTGGTGTACAAAGTGAGTTCCAGGACAGCCAGGGCTACACAGAGAAACCCTGTCTTGGAAAAACAAACCAATAAAGATACCATGATAGCAGCTCTTCCTCTGTCTCCTGCCCCCCTCTCAGGCAAGCCTGAAGGCAAAGCCACAGACAAGGGCAAGCTCACCGTGAAGAACACCGGGTTGCAGCGCTCTTCTTCCGACGCTGGCCGGGACCGCCTGAGCGATGCTAAGAAGCCCCCCTCGGGCATCGCGCGCCCCTCGACTTCAGGATCCTTTGGCTATAAGAAGCCTCCCCCTGCCACCGGCACAGCCACCGTCATGCAGACAGGTGGCTCAGCCACTCTCAGCAAGATCCAAAAATCCTCAGGCATCCCCGTCAAGCCGGTAAATGGGCGCAAGACGAGTTTAGATGTGTCCAACAGTGCAGAGCCGGGATTCCTGGCTCCTGGAGCACGGTCCAACATCCAGTATCGCAGCCTGCCCAGGCCGGCCAAATCCAGTTCAATGAGTGTGACTGGTGGGCGGGGCGGACCTCGCCCGGTGAGCAGCAGCATTGACCCCAGCCTCCTCAGCACCAAGCAAGGAGGCCTTACACCTTCCAGACTGAAGGAACCTTCCAAGGTTGCCAGTGGCAGAACCACACCAGCTCCCGTCAATCAGACAGATCGGGAAAAGGAAAAGGCCAAAGCCAAGGCTGTGGCCTTGGACTCAGACAACATCTCCTTGAAGAGCATTGGCTCCCCAGAAAGCACTCCTAAGAACCAAGCAAGCCACCCTCCAGCCACCAAGGTGGCAGAGCTGCCACCAACCCCTCTCAGGTACCCACATTGGGCAAAGTTTTCCTTTTCTGTTTCTCCAGCCTTAGGCTAGATGTGGCACGGCCTGTCCGTTGCTGTCCCTGGATCTTCGTGGGGATCCTTCCTCTCTCCTCGGTGCCATTTCTTCTCTGGTTTTGGTAACTCACTTTGTTTCGGCTGTTCCACATCAACACTGTCTTCAGTACCTGTGCGAATGGTTTTGCTGGGTTTATTTGCACATATTGCATGTGTTGTCTCCCTGATGACTGAAGGTGCCATAAGTCAGGTGTGGATTCTTCCTCCGATTGGTTTGTCAACAGCGTCAGAGCAAGCCTTTCGCTGAGTAGGCAGCCAGGAAAAAGGGGGAACTGGAAAAGGATTGCCTGTTGCCCTGTAATTTGTTATTCTGAATATTTTATTTTATCTTCACTCCTCTCAGGGCCACAGCTAAAAGCTTTGTCAAGCCACCCTCACTAGCCAATCTAGACAAGGTCAACTCCAACAGTCTGGATCTACCATCTTCCAGTGACACCCACGCTTCCAAGGTCCCCGATCTGCATGCTCCAAGCTCGTCAACTGGGGGTGCTCTGCCTTCTTGCTTCACCCCCAGTCCAGCACCCATCCTCAATATTAACTCAGCCAGCTTCTCCCAGGGCCTGGAGCTCATGAGTGGCTTCAGTGTCCCGAAGGAGACCCGCATGTACCCCAAACTCTCAGGCCTGCACAGGAGCATGGAGTCCCTCCAGATGCCGATGAGCCTGCCCAGTGCCTTCCCCAGCAGTTCCCCCGTCCCCACCCCACCTGCGGCTCCTGCTGCCCAGTCAGAGGAAGAGACCGAAGAGCTGCCCTGGAGTGGAAGCCCCAGAGCTGGACAGTTGGATGGGTATGTGGTGGAGCCGAGCTGAGTCTGTCTCATTTGGCCATTAGCGGGTCCGTCCATGACCACGTTGTGACTTTTGATGTATTTTTTTCCCCACGTTTTAACTTAATTCCTTTGTAACTCCCTGAGATCTATAGGGTGTTTTCGTTTTGTTCTCATCTTGTACACAAGGAAAACTTTACAAAAAGTTAAATGACATCTCAGGAATCTCATATTAGTTTTATTTCATCTGGCTTTGGCTTCCAAGTGCAAAGTCAGTTCTGTCACACCACATCCTGGTTTTCACCTTCCATAGTACGGCCTTTTAAATGGCTAACTGTACCTTAACTCCTAACAAGAGGGAAACGTTTAGCATTTCAAGTACTTCCCAAGTTCTGAGTCAAGAATTTGATTGTGACCATCTTATTATTTGTTTATAGAGATAGACTTTCATAGTTTGCTGTCCTGTCTCCGGAGACTATACCCCTCAAACCTATAGTCCCAAACTCTAGTTCCAAGATGGGCTCACATGCCCCTCTCTCTCTCTCTCCACAGCAATCAGCGGGATCGGAACACCCTCCCCAAGAAAGGACTCAGGTAACCCTTAAATATTTTTTTTCAAGACTCCTGGCCTGTTAAAAGAAATTTCAGCTGGGTGGTACATACCTTTAATCCCAGCACTTGGGAGACAAAATAAATACAATCCCAGCCCAACCTAACCCAGGCCCCACGCATGAGTTTAGTGGCCCTTTCAGCCAATCATTTGTATGTGGTCCTGTAAAAATGCCACCCATAGCCCTCTGCAAACCTGCCATTAAGTGTGTTAGCTTTCATAGCGAGCGATTTTCTTTGCTGTCAAGGGAGAAATGAGTTTGCACACAGGAACCGTGTACATACCTATGTTGTCCTATGACCTTCCTCGATTCATTTCAGCACCTCATAGTGGACTTCTGAGGCCACTCACATAGGCAAGGAACAGGGAGTGTGGATCCCCCACTGTTAGGATAGCACTGTGTTGTTCAGCTAGAGGGGGATGCCTGTCCCCTGAAAGCCTGCCCATGGAGCCATAGAGCCCTGAGTGGAGAGGAAGTCCTAAGGCCTCATCCATCCTTTCTGTCTCCATCCGGAGCTCTCAAGGAACAAGGCATCCCACACACAGCTAAGCCTCTCATGTCACTTTGTAGCAGCTCAGAATGAGTTCCTCTGCTACTTCTTCAGGTACCAGCTTCAGTCCCAGGAGGAGACCAAGGAGAGGCGGCACTCCCACACTATCGGTGGACTCCCTGAATCCGACGACCAGGCAGAGCTGCCGTCCCCTCCCGCGCTCTCTATGTCCTTGAGTGCAAAGGGCCAGCTTACCAACATAGGTCAGTGTCTGTGGTCACTCGCGGTGGCAAGAGACGAAGCAGGGGTCACTCTGCAGAGTGAGGCAAAACAGCTAGGCATGTTTGGCTCGAGTTGCAGTGGGTTGCTTCGTGGCGCCTCAGTTTACCAACCCAAACTAAAGGTGAAGTGTTCCAAGGTCCTAAACTGAAAAGTTGCCGCTGGGCACAAGCTTGAGGGTCCGGATGGTATCAAAGAGTCTGAGTGACAACATGGGAAATCTATAAACAGGGGCTCTATACACAGTACTACCAGGGGCAGCTGCCTACAGGGCGATGCCAACCTGTGGGGGCTGGTGAGCTCCAGGCAGAGCAGGGCTGTTGATTTCAGAGAATGAGGTCTGTCTCCAAGAAAGAAAGTCCAGATTCACCAACTGCTCTGGCTGAGCCGGGGCCATCCTCGCCCTAAAGGCAGGCTGACTAAGACCCATCCTAGACGCACCACACCCTCTTTAAAGCCTGTGGAGAAGGGAGAGCTGGGAGAGAAGGAAGTGGCTCTGTGACTCAGAGACGGGATGGAGGGACAGGCTTCAGGAGGAGGGCCTGGCTCCAGCTCAGACACACACCAGCCCCGGGTCTGGGACGCGCTGTGCCAAGACTGGTTTCATAGGAATCTCTTTAGGACGAGGCTGGAACAGACCTGTCGTTTGCTTGCTCTATCTCTGAATCCGTCTCTCCTTTCAGCGGAGTGAAAGAAAGCAGTTCTTTTGTAGTAAGGACTTGGAACAAGCCTGTGCGGTGACTGTGGGGAGTTTGAGGGAAACTAAGACTGGAAGTCACTTGTGCCTAAGGAAGGGTCATCTGCCTTCTGTGGACTTATCAGATAGATGCAGGGTGGGACCGGCCTGTTTCCTATCTCCACTGAGGGCCAAAGGAGAAGAACGGCCATTGTGCTGTAGAATGAGGGACTCGGCCAAACAGTGATCATCTTGGGGGTTCCAAAGGGGAAAGACAGAGGTGTGAGTTCTTCTTCCCAGGTCTTTATAGGCAGGGAGAAACATCCACAGGCCTGTATGGAGGCCAGAGGTCAGAGAGGGGAGCTCCACACGGATATGAACCACGAAAGGCAGCAATTTAGCAAGGGAAAAGTGGGGGTGGCCTCTGTGGCCAACAGAGGCCACAGCTGTGGATTCCATAGCCTCGCTGACACTTTCCTCCACTCTGTCTGACCTTCATTTCAGCGGATGCTGGGCAGAGAGGCCATAGTCTAGTTTGAGAGCTGAATGAAAGAGACCTAGAGTGATACTGCTCTTACTGGGGCCCTCACTCCCTTTCACTCCAGCTGAGCCCGCTGGATCCCACAGCCTGGTCCCCCTTCTCCGTAGCTGGTTCTGTTTCATCATCTGGATCTGAGTCTCGGTCTGAGTTCTCAGTGCCCACTAAGACAGCTTCCAGTTGTGTCTTCACGAACCACAGCATCCCATTTCCATCTGCACATCCTCGTGATGTGAAGGTTTCGGGAAAGCCGCCAGGCCCCCAGCCTAACCTTCAAAAGCAGCAGCTCCAAGGCAGGCAGCATTAAGGGGAGCCCCTGACTACAGACCGTGGAGTCCTTCTCCGTCAGGGCCCAACCTTCCCAGGAGGGGTTACTCCTGATCTCCAGCTGCTTGCACACCCCCACGGCCCCACCTCTCCTCCTCTGCTCCTTCCTCTCCTCCCTCCTTCCCATTGCCTCTCAATGACTCCCGCTCTGTCCCCCACAAGGGACTCAGAGAGCTGATGACCCTGCCTCTTCTCCTGCCTCCCCCTCCCTCTCCCTTCCCCCTTCCCTCTGTCCTTCCAGTGAGTCCCACTGCGGCCACCACGCCAAGAATCACCCGCTCCAACAGCATCCCCACCCACGAGGCGGCCTTCGAGCTGTACAGCGGCTCCCAAATGGGGAGCACCCTGTCCCTGGCCGAGAGACCCAAGGGAATGATTCGGTCAGGATCCTTCCGAGACCCCACGGATGATGGTGAGACTTCGTGTTAACGCGGTTCACACTCATTCCAGCTCTGCTGGGTTCCCTCACCCACCACCACCAACCCACCTCCACTGCCACCACGGCTGCCGCCGCCACCACCACCACTGCCACACACACACATATATAATTCACAGGACATCAACCTGGGCCATTTCAGTTGTCGTCCCATAACTTTGAAGGGTCTGGGGGCCCAGAAACCTTGGGTGGCACCACCTAGCACTGGGATTTAGGGATGGAGCATCTACCACTGGGGCCCAGGGAAGGGAAATTGAGATTTGGAAGGATTAAGTGGGACTCCTCAGTGCTCTGAGAACTAGAGCCTCTGTCCTCCTCATTCTACGCGTAGTCTTTCTTCCCCACGGTCTCTCAGAAGAGATACAGAGACAAAATGGTAGCTCTTAAATCCATACAAACAAGCGGGCATCTCAGTCCTCTTTCTCGAGTGCTCCAGAGACTAGCTCCCAGGCTGGCCGTCTGATTGTTGACGGTAATCTGGGTGTTAATGGAAGACCAGGCCGTGGGTTCATGAGACCTCCGTTGTTATCCCCAGGATGCATCCCTCATAGATGTGTGTTAGCTCTGTTAGTTCTTGCAGTGGGTTCTGTTGAATGATCACAGAGTATTCCCCACTTCATTTTTTTTTTCCACCTGCGTGGTCCCCAAGGCTCATAGGCTAGCGCTGCAAGGGTAAGAAGAGGAGGCACAGACAGAATCGGAGTATTGGTCCTGAGCAGCTCTGACAAGAAACTCCCCCCCTTTCTGCAACTTAAAGTGCTTTCTTGGCTGAGCCGAGCAGATGCTGACCACCCATGAAAATCTCCTTTCCCTCTCTCCGGGACCCCTATGCTCCTCAGTCAGGCTGAGCAAGGGACCACCAGGCCCAGGCTGCCAGAGACTATTGATGAAAGGGGAGGCTGTCTCTATTCAGGACCATGTCCTTGGATACGTGCCTGCCGTGGGCTGTTGGGATATGAACGGGGTGCCCTGTGTGGTTCTTTCCGTTTGCTCCAGATGCCCTCCAGAATCAGTCCAGACTCACCTTAGGGCTCCTCCCAGGAACTTCTGGGCCCTGGATCCTCCTGCTAACCTCCTGTGCTCTCCTTCTCTTTCAGTTCATGGCTCGGTGCTGTCTCTGGCCTCCAGTGCCTCTTCCACCTACTCCTCAGTAAGATCATTAATGCCCCTTCCCCTCCTGCCCCCTCCCCTCCCATTCCACATCCCCTCAGACCTCCTTTGGTTGGGTAACTGGATGGGGATGGGAACTACTGTCTCTGTATTCTACCTTGTGGGCCTGGGAGTGGGTGTCGGGGGAGGCTCCTCGCGCCTGGAGCCCTCAGATGAGCGCCTTGGGTCCTCTCAGTTCTTTCTGGCCTTGCCGCCAACTCCCAAGCAACTCTGGTATTCCTTTTTCCCCCCTCCTTTGAAAAGTGAGGGTCCCCTTGTGACAGCACTCTTTCCCTGCCATGGGAAGTGGGGCGTGTTTCTAGCACCCGAGATGAGTAGGTTCCCAAGACGAGAGACCCAGTAATGTGCAGAATTAATGTCTACTGTGGGGAACCACACAGAGCGCTTGGCTCTTAGATATCCTTTGACTCTTAGGTTTCTTTTGACCCCAATCCAATCCTTTGCTCTCTCAAGTTGCTAAAAATCAAGGTTTGTTTGCAGACCTCTAGGCTCGTCCTCTAGCCTCTTTGGCAATAACAAGCTTGGCTAAAGAGAAGCACCAGAAAGAAGTCTATTATTTAAACCTGAGTGTAGCTCCGAGCCAATCCTGTGAGGAGCCAGGGCCAAGAGACGGGGGACGGCCTTTCTCTGCATCTCTCCATCACGCTTCTTCCTCTCTCCACCCTGACGCTTGGGCCTGGCCTCTGCACCTCCATAGTAACCAGCTGCTTTTTCTCTCTTTCTCTCCTCCTGTGCCCGCTTCTTCAGGCTGAGGAGAGGATGCAATCTGAGGTAGGGTACAAAGCCTTTGTCTCCGCTTGTTAACACCACCGCACGCACACACGCTCCGTTTTCCTTCCAGCCCCTCCACTTCTTCCGCCACTCACAGCTTGCCCTTTCTCTTCCCTCCACAGCAAATTCGGAAGCTTCGTAGGGAACTGGAATCCTCCCAGGAAAAAGTGGCCACCCTGACGTCACAGCTTTCTGCCAATGTGAGTACCTGACGCCGGGTAAGGCCTAGCTCTGGCTAACACAGGCGATGTGGGAACGGGAGCTGACGAAGATGGCCCCGGCTTTAGACCTCTAGGGAGCAGGTTCTGTTCACAGCTCTACAACAGAAGATTTGGGGACTGTCCTTCTTCACTTTTTCTGAGCCTTCGTTAGGAACCATTTTCCCCACCTTCCTTCGTTGGTGTGGATGAGTTGGTTGGTATCTGGTAACCTCTGACCTCCCGAAAGAAAGCGGAGACCAGTGTTTCTGCCGAGGGGCAGAAACAGCCTTGCCATTGGACATGGACAAAAATAGCAGTGCATTTTAATTACTGAGCCCTTGCAGCCTTTTCCACTGCCCCAGGTTGTGCTTATCTCTTCATCAATGCCACATAACTGAGCAGGAACAGACCTGGTTAGTAGAATTCTGTCTGATGACTCTGAGACCAATTCAAAGCCGAACTCCCAGTCCAGCTGCCGATGTGGTTCCCAGTTGGCTCTGCCTCAGGCAGCTGGCAGAATCGATCTGAGCTTTAGCTTTGGGCCCAACAGTCTTTGTTTCTGCATTTAACCCACCCTCCATATATCCATTTAGAGTGACTACCTTCCCCCAGACCTGACCTTAGTTTTTCTGTTCTGATAGATGGGGAGGAATGGGGCTGCCTCGTCTACCTCCACTGTGGGTAGTTCTTGCCCTGTGACCAAATTGCAAGCAGAGATCTTAAGAGCCATTTTCTCCCAAAATTGTAAACAACAGCTGAGCTGGGTCTCCAGGAGCTTTCCAAGTGTTTGCACACACACACACACACACACACACACACACACGTCTGCAATTTCCGCAGCACCTTCTGCCCGTCTCTCTTCCCTTCCTCTCTGGGGACCTCAGCTGCCAGGCCTAAGGCCTAGCCCTTGGAATCAGGTAGAATATCCACCAAGATTTTCCATGTTTCCAGCACATTTTAGAAACAGCTCCCTTACCACGTTGGTTATTGTCTTTATTCTTTTTTCCAAATCCTCAGTTCATAAGTCCTGTCCTGACTGATTTGTTTGAAGATCAAGCTTCAAACTCTCTGGGACCAAAAGAATTATAAGAGAAACAAGAACCATCCTATTCCACACCCATCAGGGCCAGTGGCCTAGGTCATGGCCTGCACACCCTAGGAAATTCATGTCTGGGAGATGTTGAAGGGGAGAGGCGCCAGGGAGGCGGAGAACATCATTATGCCTGATTTATTTACTCTGCAGTCTGTCAGCCATAGTGCTGTCAAGGCTGGGCTAGTTCCAGAAAATGAATTTAGAGGGTGCATTTTCTTAGAACAGGAAGTTCCATTTGGCTGAGAGAGAACAAACTAAACACCCAGATCTGGTGAGTTCTGAATCTAGAGGTAGATTTTTGCCAAGGGTCAGATCCCTTCCCTCAAGCCGGAGAGGTGATGCCAGGTTCCAGAGCTCTCCTCAGGATTCCTGATGTTGAACCAAACTTAACGCTGTGTCGAATGGGACCTCCAAGCTGTTGAAGATGACACATCCCGGCCGGGAAGAGACGCAGGTCACGCTGGATTGCCTCCGATGTAAACTCTGCAGAAGGACCACTTGGCCTAGTATCCCACAGGCACCCTAATCTGAAGTTGGGATTAGAGTAAGGTTCAGTGTAGGGGAAGAAAGGTAGAAGAGAAGAAGGAGGAAAACCCAGTTCCCCGGATGAGGAGAGTCCCTGCAGAAATGTATGAGGAGGCCAGGGGCTCTCCAGGCTCTTGAGAAGATTCTCCGGGACTGTAAGCTGCTTGGTGACAGCATATGATGGTGTAGCTAGAAGTAAACAAGAGGAGCTGAGATTAAGAAGACAGAAGGTAGGGGCTGGGGTGGTGATGGCTCAGTGGTTAAGAGCACTGGCTGCTCTTCCAGAGGACCTGGGTTCGATTCCCAGCACCCTCTTCTGGCCCGCATGGTGCCGGATATACATGAAGGCAAAAACACCCACATACAAATACCATTTAAAAAAATTTTTTTAAAAATGATTGAAGGTGAGAGTTGGGCCTGACAAGGCAAGCTAGAAATCCCAAATGCTTGAGAGGCTACAGCAAGAGGATCGTAAGTTCAAGACCCATTTGATTGAGTGAATTCAAGGCCAGCCTGAGTAACTTAGTGAAATCTTCTCTCAAATTAAAAAAAAAAAAAACACCAGACTATGAAAGAAAGATGCTTAGATCATGATATATGTCTACTAGGGAGCCCAGGCCTCAACAGATTTACGGGAAACATGGAAGATACTGCCCCCAGCCTTGTAGGCTCCAAGGGCACTAGTGAAATTTGGCTTGGTGGTCGGAGAGGACAAATCACATTATGGAATCATAGGAGGCAGTGCGTGTGTTGCGGACGTCACAGGGACCTGCCCGGAGCCTTCTGCCTCTTGCTAGACTCACCATTACCCCGGTGTGCTCACTGGAGACTGTCCATCCTGGGGTGGCCCCTTTTCCACTCCTGTACCTCAGTCCCTTCACTACTGCCAGTTGGCTAGCTGGAGGTCAAACTGCTAGGTACCTTTCCCCAGCCTCCCTACCAGAGAACCGGATCTGTGCACTTCGAGAGGAGCCCGAGTTCCTACAATAGCCAATGTAGACCCGACACCTAGTGGCCAAAGTGTGGAATGCCCCTGAAGTGGTTTGCACAGCTTCTGGGTTCCCTCCAGCCCTGCCAGGAATAAGGCAGTCTCCAGAGCCAGGAGGAGACAAGAATAGAGTCGGCCAGGTGCAGAGGCAGAAGAGCCAAACCAAACTACCGGAAAGTCATTTGGTACCAGGAGGTCCGGCCCTCCATGGTGGAGTTAAACCAAAAACAGTTAAGACTGATTCCAGAGGCTGCTGCTCTCCCATCAAACCTTCTACCACATAAGACAGGGCAGGACTTTACCACCTCTGGCAGGTGGTAGAAACCAGATCTCAAGTTCCCGAGAAGCTCCGAGAGCCTGCCCTACCCTCCGCACTGTTATTGGAGAAGCCGGTTCTCTCCAAAAAACCCATTTGATGCCACCCTTGTCTGCCCAGGGAAATCAATACCTTAAAACCGCCAAGAGTTTTGTTTGCGTCGGTCAGCTCTGAGACACAGGACCTCTGTTAAACTACTCCCCTATCAGCCATTTCCTCCCCCGCAGCCGCATGCATGGCCCTTAAGTTCTTCTTTGTGTGTTTGTATCAGGCTAACCTGGTGGCGGCTTTCGAGCAGAGCCTGGTGAATATGACGTCCCGCTTGCGACACCTGGCAGAGACAGCCGAGGAGAAGGTGAGCAGCCCCGGGCAGTGAGCTCTAAACCTGCTAGCCAGGGCCACCTCATCCACTCCCCCATCAGCGCCTTTTCTCAGCCTGCTTGTCGATACAGGATCCCATGTCCATCACTCCCAGATCCCTGGCCTTCTCTACCCAGGGCAGTAGCGTCCCATGCCCGGTTCACTGTAAGTATTACTGCCGTGTAAACAACGGTACGACTATCATGTCTCCTAGGACACGGAGCTGCTGGATTTGCGAGAAACTATAGACTTCCTGAAGAAAAAGAATTCTGAGGCCCAGGCCGTCATCCAGGGAGCACTGAATGCCTCAGAAGCCACACCCAAAGGTAGGATATTAGCCACAGAGTGAACAGAACTGAAAAAGAACAGGAAAGGAACATCACGATGGGGCCCATAACACGCCAGCTTTCATACCCAGTTTCTAGACGCAGAGGGCCATTAGGTACTCTGCAGTGTGATGTCTGGATTGTCCAGTGATAAGGGCCAGACTCGTGACCTCATAACCCCTGAGGAGCAGGGCAAGCAGAGGAAACCTGTGATCTCCACAGGCCTACTACCCTCTCCTCAGCCTTTAGACCAGAGCCGAAGAGCAGTCAAAGGAGTCTCAACGGGGCCTCATCATGGAGCCTTTGCTGCCCCCGGTTCCCAAGTGCTGGGATTATAGGTGTGTGCCACTGGGCCCAGCTAGAAATCACTCCTTTTTGTTTGTTTTTAAATTTCTACTTATTTTTTAAGTTTTTGCGCAAGTACATATCATATGTTGAATATATTTCCCCTCTATCCACTCCTTTTCAACCCTCACCCTTCTTTTTTTTTTTTTTTTTTGGTTTTTCGAGACAGGGTTTCTCTGTGTAGCTTTGCGCCTTTCCTGGAACTCACTTGGTAGCCCAGGCTGGCCTCGAACTCACAGAGATCCGCCTGGCTCTGCCTCCCAAGTGCTGGGATTAAAGGCGTGCGCCACCACCGCCCGGCAACCCTCACCCTTCTTGCTCCTCCTCTTTGTCCCCTAGACCAGTCTAGGTCACACCATCATGTCACATACCTACATATGTGCTTCTATGATGTCACATACCTACATATGTGCTTCTGTGATGTCATATACCTACATATGTGCTTCTATGATGTCACATACCTACATATCTGCTTCTGTGATGTCACATACCTACATATGTGCTTCTCTGATGTCACATATGTACATATGTGCTTCTCTGATGTCACATATGTACGTATGTGCTTCTGTGCATCCATATACAATACAGGCACAAATGAGAGAAAGTGCACTCACTACTTTCTTCCCAAGGTTGGCAAAAATAAATAAATAAATAAATCTTAAGGCAGTTTCAAAATCGCACAAATGTGTGGTTGGTTTACACACATGTACATGATGTTACCTGGTCATCACTTCCCCACTCCAAGGAAGATTCAACCTGCAATTCAAATGGCATAGCCAGAAGCTGTCGAGGTCCACTGGGGCTCTGTGGCAGGTTAGCCTTGGTATTCAGCCGTCAGTCATGCTTTGCTGCAGATGGTGAAGGTGGGTGCCTATGAGGCAGGGGTGCAGCTTGGTAAAGCACTTAACCAACATCTACAAAGCCCTGAGTTCCGTCCCCAGCACACACACACACACACACACACACATTCCTTAATCTGAGTTTACAGTTACTTTCATGTTTCCTTCTGAAATAGTTTGAGATCTTTTGTAGTTTTATTTTTAGATTCATTTACTTTTTTTTTTTTTTTTTTTTTTTTTTTGGTTTTTCGAGACAGGGTTTCTCTGTGTAGCTTTGCGCCTTTCCTGGGACTCACTTGGTAGCCCAGGCTGGCCTCGAACTCACAGAGATCCGCCTGGCTCTGCCTCCCGAGTGCTGGGATTAAAGGCATGCGCCACCACCGCCCGGCTTAGATTCATTTACTTATATGTGTGAGGTTTTACTCACATGGCATGTACATCTGGCGCTGAGTGTGTGTGCCTCGTACCTGAGGAGGTCAGAAGAGGCATCGGATCCTCTGGAATTGGAGTTATGGTTGTGAGTCACCGTGTGGATGCTGGGAATTGATCTCAAGTCCTCTGCAAGAATAATGCTCTTAACCACTGAGTTCTCTCTCTGGCCTCTAGTTTAGATGTTATATTAGGTCTCTGTTCCATTTTTAATAGATTTTTGCTTTTGTTTTTGTTTTGGTTTTGGTTTTTTTAGAGACAGGGTTTCCTACAGCCTAAACTGGCCTCTCATATTCACTATGTAGCCAAGGATGACCTTGAACTCCTGATCCTCCTGCCCCCCCTCCCAACGACTGGGATTACAGGCAAGTGTTCCATAGTCAGCTTCATTTTCACGAAATTATATATAGTAGATACACACACACACACACACACACACACACACACACACACACACACACGCACGCACGCACGCTATGAGATAGAGGCCCAATTTTATTCTTTACATATGGATAGACAGTTGTTCCGGTACCATTTAATGAAGATTATTTTCTCCTGAATTACATTAGAATTTGTCTTTCTTGATTGATAAAAATAAATAAGTAAATGTATGGCTTTATTTCTGGACTCTGTTCTAATACCGTGTTCTGTATCTATCCTTAGCCAGCACCATACCTCCTTAATTACTTCTTTGTGCAGTTAGTTTGAAAATATGACAGAGTGATCCCTCCAACTTTGGTCCTCGTCAAGATTATTTTGGTTATGGTCCATTTCTAGTTTTGTGACCTAAACACACACACACACACACACACACACACACACACACACACACACACACACACACAAAATTAAATCTAGATTCTATGTATGAAAGTAAATATATTTGTCTTTCTGAGTCTGCTTAACATTATTTCTGGTTGCATTGATTTTTCTGTAAATGTCAAACTTTCATTTTTTCCTTATGTCTGCATAAAATTCCATTGTGTATATATATGTACCACATTCTTTTATTCATTCATCTGTTGATGGACAGCTAGACTGGTTCCATTGCCTGGCTGTTGTGAATAATGCAACAGTAAGCATGGACATGCAAGTATCTCTGTGTGTGTTTGTTTGTTTCTTTAACAAGGTCCTGCTGTGCAGTTAGTTGGCCTCAAACTCCCTATGTAGACCAAACTATCCTCAGACTTGCAGCAACCCCTCTGCTCCACCCTTGTATAAATACACAACCCACCCCTTTCCCACCTGCAGTTTCTCCCTGCTCAGGTATTATCAGCCTAGGCACCAGGCCGTTAATCTAACACTCATGTTTTCCTCCTCACTGTTCGGCCCTTGGAGGGAGTTCATGCTGGTGCCTATGCAGTCCCAATTATACTCCCTCTCTGTACCTGTCCTGGCCCAGGTACTCCACTGTTCTTCTCCTGGATGACTGCAGTAATTCCCTAGCTGGCTCTGAGTGCTCCAGTCCCTCCTTTCCACCGCCCCTAGAGTAACTGCATTGTCCATTCAGATCAGAAAGCATTCCAATTTAAATATGAGCTGGTTATTAGATAAAAGGAATTATGATTAATATTCTTTGGTCTGATAATGCTATTGTGAGCAAACATCCATATTCACAGGAGATATATCTTCAGGCATTTAGTTGTAAAATGTCATCTGCAACTTATTTTCAAATTGGGTGAGAAAGTCGGGAGGGAGCAGATACAATAAAGTTAACAATGGCTGAATTAGGCAGAGGGCGTCTGAGTGTTATTTTACTATGCTGTAAGTTTCCCCTCGTGTTTGAAACATTTCGGAAAAGCGGGTTAAAAGAGGAAAAATGTGTCCCCAGCCCTTTAGAGTTGCACACCAGGGGTTGGAGAGGTGGCTCAGCGGTTAAGAGCACTGACTGGTCTTCTAGAGGACCCGGGTTCAATTCCCAGCACCCACAGGGCAGCTCACAACTGTCTGTAGCTCCAGCTCCAGGGGACCCGACACCCATGGCAAAACACCAATGCACATTAAAAAAAACCGAGTTGCGCATCAGCCTTCTGCTCTAAATGTGCCTTTCTTGTTAGCCCCATCTCCCATCATTTCCTCTTGGCGTCTGATATTCTGCCTATAAATAATTCTGCCATATGGTGGACACTTTTTTAAGCATTTTACCTATATTCACATATTCCAGATAACAACCTAATGAAGCACATTTTATAATGAGGAGAATAAGACAGAGAAAATAATTTGATCCATTATCACGGGTGATATGTCTGGGATATTCAGCTATTTCCAACTTCCCAAGTGAGCTTTGCCCTTGAGATAATACATTTTCTAAATGAGTACATTATGGCTTTCTGCTGTGAATGTTCACATAACCTTAGTTCATGTTGATCAAGAAGCAACTTCCTAAGGAGCATTTCCTGTAGCTTCTCTGGAATGAGTGCTTAACCAGCAGTGCCCAGGTGTGTTTTATTTATAACTAGCCAATACGTGTGCATGGCACAAAACTCAAGATTTGTGAAATATTTCCTAACTGCTGCAGATTGATGATGCTACAGACATATCTTTTGCACTCTCCCCCTTCCACAGTCCTGGGGGTTGGACCCAGCACCTCATGAGTAGTAGGCAAGCACTCTACCACCAAATCGTACCTCTAGCCCTTCTTGTTATTGAAAGTATCTTGGATGTAATTTTTAATTTAATAGATTGGACTTGCAGCTGTTGAAAGCTCCCTATGCTAGTCAGATACTTGCTCCTTTTTTTTTTTTTTCATTTTTAGTGGGAGGTGCTTGAACCCAGGGCATCTGCATCTACCTTTCTTCAGCTCCCAATGCTTTTCTCAGTGTTCCTATCTGAAATATCTCTGCTCTTTCAGTACTTAAATGTCTCCTCTGTTGACCTTTATCCCTTTCCCACTTTTTAAGGAAGAGTGGTTCGTTTTTCTTGCTGTTGCAGGCCTCAGAGAATTGAAATTTTCTGCCTATCAGATGACAAACTGGAGCTCATTCAGGTTAAATGCAAGGCACAGGGCTGCTTATACTTGACCTTGAGCCAAAAGGCAGCCAAGTGTTGCTGAAGGATCACAAAAATACAACAGGGCATGGGGCAAGAGGTCTGCCACAAGTTTAGAGCCAGCCTGGGCTACAGAGTCAGTTACGGGTCAACCTGTGCTACAGAATGAGACCCTGTCTCAAAAAATAAAGCAAAACAAACAACAAAAACGGGTATGGTGGCTCATATATGTAATCCCAGCACTTGGGAGGCAAGGCAGGAGGACTGTCACAAGTTCAAGACCAGCCTGGAATACATAGTGAGACTTTGCTAAAGCACAGACACAATTAGAGATGGACACACACTCATACACACACACACACACACACACACACACACACACACACTGGTTGTATCTGCATGAAAGTGTCAGGGCCAGCTTCAAGTCCTTTTCACATGTAGTCGACCTGAGTTCAGTACTAAACCTTTCTATGATACTCAACTGGGGATTCTTCCTTGCTGTGGCTTTGCTTCTGTTCTATTTTGGTTTTGGACAGGGTCTTGCTGTGTAGCCCAGGCTAGCACAGAACTCACAGTCCTAGCCTCCCAAATGCTGGGCCCCAGGCTGGGAGCTTCCTGAGACTCGGAACTGTTTCTTTTTTCACTTGCGAATTTTCTTCTATGCTGAAGCGTGTCTGTAACTCTGTATGTGTTCCTTGATGAGTAACCCACCAGTACGTACCTAGAAGCTGGTGGGCCCCCCTCCCTCTTGCCGGCTGCAGCTCGACTCCTTAAGCCTGGAGTCTTCTCTAAATCTACCTGTGTTCTTCCCACTTGTACTGGCCAATAGAACTCCGGATCAAGAGACAGAATTCTTCAGATAGCATCTCCAGCCTGAACAGCATCACCAGCCATTCCAGCATCGGCAGCGGCAGTAAGGACGCGGACGCCAAGAAGAAGAAGAAGAAGAGCTGGGTAGGTGTGGTTTTGAGAGCCGACCTGCGGCGGCGGGTTACATTTACCCCAGTGCAGGGAACTGGTCCTTTCAGGACCACCAGGAGCTAGTCCCATCTAGTAAGGTGTCAGTGTGACCTCTGCTGGGAACAAGTCTGCCAGGTTCCCCATTCCTCCATCCACTGTCTACCCCACCCACCAGCACTCTGCAGTCTTTATCCATGTCTGCCTTCCTGGGGCTCTGCCTGATGAGGAGGTCAAACGTATTTGGCCACCGAAGGAGCTGAGAAAATATACAGGGGAAAAAAAAAAAAAAAGCTGACATTATCAGTCCCTCCCCACTCTCTCACCGTGGAGAGAATTCACAAGCCAAGTGGCTCACACTAGATGCTCCTGGGGGCCATGGCCCTAAGTTTGGGAGAGGTGCCTCTGGCTGGTCCTGAGGTGGGTTTGTTGTGTGTGTTGTCCCCCCCCCCCCGCCCCCCAGCTCTGAACTGACCCTAGATGAGCTTTCTAAAGTCTTCAGGCAGGTGTAGGGTACTGTCTGACTGGGAGAGTGAGCCGCTTTGTCCCTGTCCCCTGCTGAGGAAGGCTGGCCACACCTAGGGCAGACAGGCGCCCCCGCTGTGTGAAAAAAACAGCTGTGTGAAATGCATGATTAGTGCTGCTGCTGCTGCTGCTTTCTTTTCATTTTTTTTTCCTTTTATTTCCTTCAAAATGCTGACTTCCAATCCCTATTTTTTTCCAGGTTTATGAGGTAAGAGACTCAGTTCCTCTCCCTGTACTTTCTCTCTCCCTTTGCACACTCTCCCTATTTCCAGAGCAAGTACCCTCTCTTTTACAAAAAAAAAAAAAAAAAGTCACTCATAACCCCAACTGCCCCTGGTTCCTAACTCACTCCACTGCATGGTCCATCCACGCTGCCCCTCATGAGGACAGAGGAGTGGTCTGCTTAGGGGTCAAACGGGAAATCCTAACACAATCCAAATCTGCTGCCTGCCGTCTTCCCCTGTTCCAAGATTGGCCTGTTATAAAAAAGCAGACCCAATGAGCTCCTGCTCTCCAGAAAATGAGCTTTTTTTTTTTTTTTCTATTCCACTCACCATAGAATCCTAAAATGGAAGAGAATCAATGAAGGTTATCTGGATCACAGTTTCAAGAGGCCTGTCCATTTCAGGCCTATCTGAAAAATTAGCTTTAGAATAGTGTGAACCAGAGACAGGTGAGGGATTTATTTCATCCAGGGTAGGGAATACTTGTCACCCCAAAGGCCGTGGAGCTTCCAAGGACATCTCGGAGACTAGAGTATTGTCCAAGGCAAACAGGATGTGGCCTAGAATTTCTATTCCAAAACAGTTATGTGCCCCCCAACTCTGTCTCCCAACATTGTACCAGGACGTGGAGGATGGGGAGAGCTGAGCTCACTGCCCCGGTCAGTTAGAAGCCTCCAGCCTGATGGTGTATGCCTAGACCCCAACACTGGGGAGACTGAGACAGGAGGAACGCCATGAAATCAATGGCAGCCAGGCCTACACAGTGAATTCCAGGCCTGAGTTGGACCCTGGAACCCACACCAAGGTGGAAGGAGAGAACTGACTCTGCACAGCTGTCCTCTGACCTACACACACACACACACACACACACACACACACACACACACACACACACACGTGGTGGGCAGGTACACGCAGATGGAGAGGCCAGTTGGTCGTCTAAATCTGGATCTTCAGAGTAGCCTTTCCCAAAGAGTGTTGTACAGATCACCAGGCCACTGGGATGGCCCTTAAAAACTGATAATATCATCAGAAACCCCTGAGGGGCGCCGCATTTCCTACTTAGCGTATGTGCGTTGGGAAAGTTCTAGGACAGCCCATCTCTAGCAGAGAATCCTCTGCCGAAGACATTTGGTTGACCCTTGCAACCGGTGTTGCTCTGTAGGAGCAGCCTCCCTGCAGCCCTGCCTGTCAGGGTACTGAAGTTGCTCTGTAGGAGCAGCCTCCCTGCAGCCCTGCCTGTCAGGGTACTGAAGTTGCTCTGTAGGAGCAGCCTCCCTGCAGCCCTGCCTGTCAGGGTACTGATGTTGACCTAGAGCGGGCGCTACCGTCACAGAAGTGTAATGACTGCAGAGGGGCTCCTGCTGCAGGAAGACCGTGGTCACGGGACTTCCTCCTAGAGAGGGAAGGAGACACAGACAAGAGACAGACTGACGCCTGGGAGAGAGTAGTGTCGAGAAAACGCCACAGGACTGATTGAAAATCAGGAAGCCTGGATGTCTTCCTTAAGATACACAGGGTCAAGTCGTCAGCTCTGACCTTTCCACTCTCAACTCTTAACAGCTCTCCACAGAGGAAGCAACTTGATCTAACTCCAATGTTAAATGGTCTTTAAATAAAAAACCCAGTGCTAGATATTGGGGTAAATGCTGAAAGATCAGAGAGACAAAGGAACAAGCCACTGCCATGTCTCACCTCGCCAATTCCACCAATCCTCTGACTGAAATCCTCTGGGTCCTCATCTGAAAGGCTCCAGCTGAAAAATCCTCTAGCTGAAAGGGATACTTCTACTGAAAAGACATTAGTTCCTGTCTCCTCATGCCTTATATACCTTTCTCTGCCCAGCCATCACTTCCTGGGATTAAAGGCATGTGTGCTTCTCAGTACTGGGATTAAAGGTGTGTGCCAGCCACTGCCTGGCTCTGTTTTCTCTCCTAGACTGAGTCAGTCTCAAGTAGTCCAGTGTGGCTTTGAACTGAGAGATCCAGAAGGATCTCTGCCTCCCGAGTGCTAGTATTAAAGGTGTGTGTTACCGCCGGGTGGTGGTGGCGCACGCCTTTAATCCCAGCACTCGGGAGGCAGAGCCAGGCGGATCTCTGAGTTCGAGGCCAGCTTGGGCTACCAAGTGAGTTCCAGGAAAGGCTCAAAGCTACACAGAGAAACCCTGTCTCGAAAAACCAAAAAAAAAAAAAAAAAAAAAGGTGTGTGTTACCACTACCTGGCCCCTATGTTTAATCTATATAAAAATATTATTTTAATTAAATATATTAAATAATTTATATTATAAATTAAATTTTAATATAAATAGAATTTTATTTCAATATATTAATATATTAAATTAAATATATATTCATTTAATCTCTATTAAATTTTATTTATATAAAAATAGAAGTTTATTGGTTTAGACAAAAGGGGAAATGTGGTGATATATTGTGCGCCCTAATAAAATTTACCTGAAGATCAGAGAACAGAACAAGCCACTAGACTAAACATAGAGGCCAGGCAGAGATGGCACACACCTTTAATCCTAGCACTCGGGAGGCAGAGATCCTTCTGGATCTCTGTGAGTTCATAGCCACCCTGGACTACATGAGACTGACTCAGTCTAGGAGAGAAAACAGAGCCAGGCAGTGGCTGGCACACACCTTTAATCCCAGTACTGAGAAGCACACATGCCTTTAATCCCAGGAAGCGATGGCTGTGCAGAGAAAGGTATATAAGGTGTGAGGAGACAGGAACTAACGGCTTTTCGGCTGAGGAACCCCTTTCGGCTAGAACCTTTCAGCTAGAAAGCCTTTTCAGGCTGATGAGTGGGTGAGGTAAGAGGTGGTGGCTGTGGCTTGCTCTGCTTCTTTGATCTTTCAGCTTTCACCCCAATATCTGGCTCCGGGTTTTTTTTATTACAAGACCTTTAGAAATTCGTGTTACATCTTTATGGTACTTTCAAGCCCTGGTTGCTCCATGTTAATACATCCTAACCACCTGCACACAAATTCACCTATCTCCCCCAGTCAGCTTGCTCCTCACGTCTTACCTAGAAGTTCCACACACACACCATGGACTAGCTCTATAAGCTCCCAGGAGACTTCAGACATGTTCTAAGAAAGACAGCTTGAGAGGAGATACTCAGTGCCGCCCCACCCCCACCACATCACTTACTGTTCCAAATATCTGGCTTGCCTTTGTCCCCTACAGCCTTTGACCCCTCCTTTACTCTCTGTCTTTTGCTGCCATCCCATGTCTGTGCCCCTGTGTGTGTGCGCACGCGCGTGTGCATGCTGTATGGAGGCATGTGAATGGGTGTGGGTCAGGTCCTTGGTTTGCATATCTAGCTCACATCCCTAACCCCAAAGCTCATCGACACCAGAATCAAAACAAGCTATGGTCAGGTTATGAGCCCTAAGTAGCCAAAGAATGACTAGAAAATAGCTCTTATTCTAGGACACTTGTTATAGTAAGCACTGGTGAAGGGTGGGCACAGGGGTAAATACCTATGATCCCAGCACTTGGGAGGTAGAGGCAAGAGGATCCAGAGTTCAAGATCACCCACTGCTACCTACTGAGTTCAAGGCTAGCCTGGCCTACATGAGACCCTGTCCTTAAAAAAGGAGGAAAGAGATCCTACATTTGGTTGTTTGTGCTGAGAACAAGAAATACAAAATGAAACTTCCTATCACTTCCTTCTCTTGATCTTCACGGGACTACATTGTCAGTTTCTGATTAATTTGTGAAGAGATGAATAGATTCTCTTAGAATGAGCCCAAGTCAGAAGCGGCGTCCTAAGGCCCACAGAGAGTGAGGTTCTAGAATAATAACAAAGGAAGTGAAACTGGATTGCTGAGAAGTGTACCATGTGACATCTGGAGAGTTTTTTCTGTCTTGAGGGACACATAGATTCATTAATGAATTCCTCCTTGGATTCATTAAGTTCCCCTGGCCTGTAATGGCAGCAAACCAAATGATCCTCCTCTTTCAATCAGTACTGACTTTAGATAACTCCTCTGTCCATATACCACCAGTCAAGGGACATCTCACAGAGTGGGTGTAATGACAAGTAAATCCTCTGCCTCCACATCCCTGACCTGGCCCTAGAGCCGTCCTCCTGTCCAGTGTAGAGCCCTGACGTCTCTCTCCCCCCGGAATCTGCTCTCTTCCAGCTTCGAAGTTCCTTCAACAAAGCCTTCAGCATTAAAAAGGGTCCCAAGTCGGCCTCCTCGTACTCTGATATTGAGGAGATTGCCACCCCTGACTCTTCAGCCCCGTCATCCCCCAAACTACAGCATGGCTCCACGGAGACTGCATCCCCCTCCATCAAGTCCTCCAACTCATCCTCTGTGGGCACTGAGGTCACTGAGTAAGTACTCTGTCCACCAGCCACCCTGGTAAACTGCTGACTCGAGTTGGCATTAAGGCCACAGACCCTGACAAATGCCACCATACTACTGGTTTGCCTGGGCATGTGAGATCCACAGAGGGACCCTTCCTGACATACCAATTGGGTGCCTATAAGCAGATGGAAACAGGCCTATAGGCCAGGCATGTCAATATCCCCTGCCACCCAGGACTTCTCTGGGATCCAGGCTGACTCTTGCTTCCTTACAGGGCTCCTGCTCATTCAGTCCCCCACACTAGACTGTTCCAAGCCAATGAGGAGGAGGAGCCGGAGAAGAAGGAGGTATCAGAGCTCCGCTCTGAACTATGGGAGAAAGAAATGAAGCTCACAGATATCCGATTGGAGGCCCTAAACTCTGCCCACCAGCTCGACCAGCTTCGGGAGACCATGCACAACATGCAGGTCAGTGTCTGGGCAGAGCTGCAGGAGCGGGGAGCAGGGCCCGACATCCACGCCACCCTGCCACCTGCCCTGTCTCTTCTGCCCACAGCTGGAGGTGGACCTGCTGAAAGCAGAGAATGACCGGCTGAAGGTTGCTCCTGGCCCCTCCTCAGGCTCCACTCCGGGGCAGGTCCCTGGATCATCTGCTCTGTCGTCCCCTCGCCGTTCCCTGGGCCTTGCACTCAGCCATCCCTTCAGTCCCAGTCTCACAGATACAGGTACCAGCTTGAGAAGAGCTTGTTTGGGTAGAAAGAGAAAGGGCTCATTTACATCACTCCACCTGCGCCGTGGCATCCTTGGGCCAGGAGGTAATGGTGTTGAAATCAAGAAGATCGCACTGTTAGTAAGCACCGCGGTTCTTGGCTCTATGCCTTTTCAGATGGAGGCTCCCATCTCTTCTTTGTCATAAATAAGGAACCATTATTTGGAAAGGAAAGTAACTACAAAGCTTGATGCAAGGCTGAGTCCTTAAAACCAATTAGGCCTTTTCCACCTTCACAGACCTATCACCCATGGATGGCATCAGCACCTGTGGGCCAAAGGAAGAAGTGACCCTTCGGGTGGTGGTGCGGATGCCACCCCAGCACATCATCAAAGGGGTAAGGGACTTTAGGAAGGGCCAGTGTAGGAATCAGCATGATAGAGATGGCCGCCAATTTGCACTGGTCCAAAAGCAATGTGTGGTTAGTAGACACTGCACTTCCACTGAGTTTTGATCTGTCCCTGGGCTAGCAATATGCAGTATGAAACATTCTCAAGACCCTGGATGGTACCAGTGAGCCACAGCTCCCAGCCAGCCCCACGACCATAAGAGCAAGTGCTCCCGTGGCTTAAGTGTGTACTGAATGCACTTTGGACTCACAATATTTGAATTCATAATGGTTTTATCACAGGGTCGGGGGGAGGACAGGGTCTCATTCAGCTTGAACTGACCTTGAACTTGCTGTGTATCAGAAGACGACCTAAAATTCCGATTCTCCTGCCTTCACACCCCTCTTTTTGGGCATCTTATGGGGCTGTCACATAAAATATAGAGGAGCTGTATTGTCAAACTTATGCAAAAAAAAAAATCAGAGCTCTGAATATTCCCAAAACTAGAGAACTTAACTCCCGAGGCTTTCTGGGGTCTACCTTTCTAGTGACATCTTCACTGAGGTCCTGTGCCTCAACCCTAACCTTACAGGACTTAAAGCAGCAGGAGTTCCTCTTAGGGTGCAGCAAGGTCACTGGCAAGGTGGACTGGAAGATGCTGGATGAAGCTGTTTTCCAAGTGTTCAAGGTAAAGTGATTCTCACCCTCAACAAGGGTTGCTCATCTTCTCAAGGGGCAGTCAGTCATCCAGGCACCCGGGATCCTGGGAACCTTTGATGCTTGGGGAGGGGCGGGCAAGATGGGAAAACACACAAACCCTATTCCTCCTACACCTCCTTCCATAGCCTGTAGTGTTTGTCATCTCTTGTGGCTTTTCCGTCTGTAGTTATATCTTGGCTGCATGCTCACAATCTTCTTCCACCTCTTCCACCAGGACTACATTTCTAAAATGGACCCAGCCTCCACCCTGGGGCTAAGCACCGAGTCTATCCATGGCTATAGCCTCAGCCACGTGAAGCGAGTGTTGGATGCCGAGCCTCCTGAGATGCCGCCGTGCCGCCGGGGTGTCAATAACATATCGGTCTCCCTCAAAGGTCAGTCTTCGACTCTTCGGGAGGTAGTGTGGTGTGGAGGCAGGGAGAGGGTCATTAAATCCTGCATCATACATCGATATAACAAGAGATGATTGAGAATCCCTAACATGAAGGTGCTTAAGTGATAGAGGAAATAAAAAAGATAAGAGCCAGTCTGATGTTTTTGCTAAACTCAGGCTTCTTCTCTACGCATTCTAAGTCAAAGTGTATCCCTAAAATTGAGATCCAGTGTAGCATGAAACTTAAAGAGTCTTTATTAATAAAACAAACCTGGAGCCAAGTATTGGGGTGAACACTGGAAGATCAGAGAGACAGAACAAGCCACAGCTAACCTCACCTGGCCAACTTCTCAGCTGATCTTGTTTCCTCAGACTGGAAGCCTCTGGTCCTCATCCAGAATGAATCTCAGCTGAACTGCTGCTAAAGGCCTAAAAGCTTAACCAGCCAAAAGCTTCTAGTTTCTGGCCTTCACGCCTTATATATCTTTCTGTTTTTGCCATCACTCCCTGGGATTAAAGGCTCACTTCTTGGGATTAAAGGCGTGAGTCACCATGCCTGGCTGTTTCCAATGTGGCCTTGAACTCACAGAGATCCAGAGGGATTTCTGTCTCTGGAATGCTAGGATTAAAGGTGTGAGTGCCACCATTTTCTAACCTCTGTATCTAGTGGCTGTTCTGTTCTCTGGCCCCAAAATATTAGGGTCCACAATATTTTGGGGAACACAATACCACCACAATCCAGGTTTTCAAAGCTGGGGTTGAGGTGACTCCTCTGGAACTCTTAAGACAGGTGGTTCTGACTTTCTTCAGTGGACCCCTAGATGATGAAGGAAAGGCTCTTTAGGTATCTTGCTATTCTCCGAGCTGGCTAAGACTCGTGCTTCTTTCTGGGGTGGGGTGCAGGGCTGAAGGAGAAGTGTGTCGACAGCCTGGTGTTCGAGACGCTCATCCCCAAGCCCATGATGCAGCACTACATAAGCCTCCTGCTGAAGCACCGGCGCCTCGTGCTCTCGGGCCCCAGTGGCACGGGCAAGACCTACCTGACCAATCGGCTGGCTGAGTATCTGGTGGAGCGCTCAGGCCGGGAGGTCACCGATGGCATCGTCAGCACTTTCAACATGCACCAGCAATCTTGCAAGGTGGCTGCCTCCCGAGACCTCCTACCAGTCTGTGCGGGCCTCGGCCTCCCCCAAGTGTTTTCCTGGCCCCTTCCGGCCCCTCATCCTTTTCCCTTTCCACAGCTCTGCCTTAATCTTTCCCCTTCTTCAGGGTTCTTTGCACCCCTTCCTTCTTCCTGATATCCCCTTTCTCGTCATCTCCTCCTCTCCCCTCCCCTCCTTTCTTTCTCTCCAGACAGGGTCTTGCTATGTAGCCCAGGCTGGCCTTGAACTAGCAGTCCACCCACCATCCTCTCCCCTGCCCGTGTGTGTGTGTGTGTGTGTGTGTGTGTGTGTGTGTGTGTGTGTGTGTGTGTGTGTGTTGGTGAGTATTAAGCATAAAGCCTCATGCATGCTAGGCAAGCTCTCTACAACCGAGCTATATCTATCCTCAAGCTCTCTTTTTCCTTTGAGACAGGGGTCTCCCTAAGTTTCCCAGGCTGTCCTGAACTTGCAATCCTCCTGCCTCAGTCTCCCAAGTAACTAGGATAGCAGGCTGTGGCACCAGCCACAGCTTGCTCTTAGCTTCTCTTACGCATAAGTTCCTCCATCATACTTTCTCTCACCTCTCCCTCTGTTCCTCTTTCCCCCTAGTTGACCGACAGGGAAACACAGCCTCTTTTTCTCTGCACTCCGCCGGTGCTGTCTGTCATATCCGTTCTCTTGTGTCTTCTGCCCACTACCTTGCCTTTCCTTATTACCATCAGACCATGGGTGACAAGGGGCAAGTGTTCAGGATTAAATATTACATGTCATCTCCCCAATGGTGGACCTTGAGTGTACCCTAAAACTTCAGAATGGTTCCAGCCTTAGCTATCCCAAGCTGAGGAGGGGGTGGCATCAACTCAATACAACACTGTTTCAGAATAGATACTCCTTCCTTTGGGAGGATGGGATTTAAGATTGCTGCTCAAGGGTTTGCTTGAAAGGGGCTGGGGATTTAGCTCAGTGACAGAGTGCTTGCATAGATAGTATATGCAAGACCCTGGGTTCAATTCCCCAGCACTTCAATAAATAGGTAGGTAGGTGGGTGGGTGGATGGATGGATGGATGGATGGCTAGATGGATGTTTGAGAGTCTCTGGGACTACTGTCATTCTGTGGTAATCTGGTTCTGTAATCCAATGTTTAAGTACATCCAACAGGGACCAAGGGCCCCAGGGAAATACAGAATTAACTAAGCTTCTCTAAACGTCTTCTTGCCCAAGGTTCCTCGGGTGTGGATTCCTGAGTGCTGAGACCCACTGTCTTCTTTTACTCCAGGATCTGCAGCTGTACCTCTCCAACCTGGCCAACCAGATAGACCGGGAAACAGGAATTGGGGATGTGCCCTTGGTGATCCTACTGGATGACCTGAGTGAAGCAGGCTCCATCAGTGAGCTGGTTAATGGGGCCCTTACCTGCAAGTATCACAAATGGTGAGCTCAGGACCATTTACAACAGCGGGAAGAGGGAAGAACGCAGCCCGGGCCAACCTATGAGCTTCCCGTTGTGTGCACGTGGAGACAGTACTTGTTATGACAGATCTAAGTGAATCCTTCCCCCTTTCTTCCCACAGTCCCTACATCATAGGTACCACCAATCAGCCTGTAAAAATGACACCCAACCACGGCTTGCACTTGAGTTTCAGGTAAGAACTATGTCCCTTCGTGAACCTTCTGGCCTTACCCAGGTGCCTGTAAATAATAATTAGATCCTGAACTTGTGGACAGAGGAGCAGTAGGTAGCAGGAGAGACTAGGCAGAGCCCTGCAGGCTGGGAGGGGGAGGTCGCTGTTTCTGCATGTCAGTTACAGGGTGGGAGAGGAGGGCTTTGAGGACAGGGAAGGAAGAAAGCCGAGGAGAAACCCTGGCTGGCTGCCGTCCTAAGGACTTTCTTCCTGGTCACTCTGTGAGGCCAGCCAGTCATTTGAGGAGGTCAGAGTTGATCATCAGCTGTGCCTGCCTGTACTGCCGTCATCACGTCCTGTCATTTGAGAAGAAGTCCAGTGGGCATTAACGGGAGTCAGGCAGGAAGAGGGCCGGACTGGCAAGGGACGAACCCTGGCAGTGTCTCCCCTGACACTCTGACCCTGTTCTTCCTATCCCTGGTGGCAGGATGCTGACCTTCTCTAACAACGTGGAGCCAGCCAATGGCTTTCTGGTCCGTTACCTGCGGAGGAAGTTGGTAGAGTCGGACAGTGACGTCAATGCTAACAAGGAAGAGCTGCTTCGGGTGCTGGACTGGGTGCCCAAGCTGTGGTATCACCTCCACACCTTCCTTGAGAAGCACAGCACCTCAGACTTCCTCATCGGTACTGGGCTCCAGCTTCCCCCGGGGACTGGAAGCTGTTTCCCTTCTTGTCTCTTACCCCCTGGAGGGAGGCTCTCTTTGCTTGCTGGAGTTGAACCACTTAAGTATTTAATAAGCCTTTCCAATGCAGTAGCACTATGAATTGGATATATTACTTCAGACAACAGGAGAATTGCTTGAACCAACTACAAGTTCAAGGCCAGCCTGAGCAACATATTGAAACTTCCCCGTTGTTAAAAATAAATAGCTAGGTTAATTAAATAAATATGCTGGGGCTGGAGAGATGGTTCATTGGTTAAGAGCACTGGCTGCTCTCCCAAAGGACCCAGGTTCAATTCCCAGCACCCACGTGGCAGCTCACAACTGTCTCTAACTCCAGGTCCAGGGGATTTGACACCTTCACACCAATGCACATAAAATTAAATAAATCATTTAAATAAAAAAAATGCTAAGGGCATAGTTCAGTGGTAGAGCGCTTACTTAACATGTGCAAGGCACTAGGTTAAAAAGTAAAGCTACCCTTCCCCTCGTTCTGTCCTCACCATTAGTTGGTAAAGGGAGAGAAGCCGTGCAGGAGGGAATTGAGATGTGAGAGGCTTGCTTTCCTCCTTTGTCACTTCCACCTTGTAAACGTTATGGTTTGCCAGACAGTTGGCAGCTTGGCTCTGGAACAACTCCAGACCTCCTCTAAAGCTCTGGATGTCACACCCCTGTGCCCCAGACTAGGAAGTAAAAGAAGCAGAGCGGGGCAGACCAGAGTGCTCAGGCTTTTTCATGGCTGTGTTGTTGTCCCCAGGCCCTTGCTTCTTTCTGTCCTGCCCCATTGGCGTTGAGGACTTCCGGACCTGGTTCATTGACCTGTGGAACAATTCCATCATTCCCTATCTACAGGAAGGAGCCAAGGATGGCATCAAGGTGAGCCTCACCCTCCGACTCTACTCAGGCTTCTTCATTGCCCCAGTTTCCCCTTCCTGGTCTCCCCACCACTGACCACCACCATGCTCCTTAAATATCTGTGAGATCGATTTTTATACGCTCCCTAGAACTGTGACCAGATGATACTTACCTTTCTCTGTGCGGCTTATTTCCACACTTGCATCCACGCTGTTGCAAATGACAAGATTTCAGTTCTTTCATGGCCGAATCATATTCCACTGTGTATGTAGACCACATTCCACTGTGTATGTAGACCACATTTCCTTTATCCTATCATCAGTCGATAGACACTTGGGTAATTTCCATCACTTGGCTACATTGGTGCTACACTTAAATGAGAAAAGATGCCCCTTCAAAATAGTGGCCTCATTTCTTCTGAATATCTACCTAGTAGGAAGATTGGTGGGTCCTATAGCAGATTGAGATTGTTTGAGGAATCTTCATACTGTTTGCCGTCATGGGCATATTAATTTACATTCCCACAAACAGTGTACAAGGGTTCTATTGTCTCCACATTTGTTATCTGTAGCCTTTTGGGGAATCACCATTCTTACTGGGGTAAGCACTTAACTGTGATTTTGATTGGCATTTCCCTAGTGATTAATGACACTGAGAACATTGAAATGACCTTTTGGCTCCTTGTATGTATTCTCTCAAGAAGTAGCTATTTAGAACCTATTGTAAAATGAGATAAATTTTATCTCCTGTAAATTAGAGCATATGATTACTGAAGTCCAGTCTAGCACTAAAATACTGTGATTCAATATCTGGTCCTTATCAGTGATATATCACCCATAAAAGTAATTTGGATATATCACCCATAAAAGTAATTTTGTTGAGATAAATATTAATGGTGATATATTAAATCTCTAAAGGTGATTGTCTATCAAACCAATACCATAAATCATTATTTCATTTATAAATTTGTGGTATTTTTAAGGAAAATTTTGCAGTATTATTAATAGATTTAAATTAAATTTAAAAGATAATATCTATCCTCAAAAAAAATTTTTTTTTTTTGTTTTTTCAAGACAGGGTTTCTCTGTGTAGTTTTGGAGCCTGTCCTAGAACTCACTCTGTAGCCCAGGCTGGCCTCAAACTCACAGAGATCAGCCTCACTCTGCCTCCTGAGTGCTGGGATTAAAGGTGTGCGCCACCACCGCCCAGCTCCTCAAAAATTTTTTAATATTAAAGGATATTATATATGACTAAAATTGAAGAATTCCTCCATGGAAAGTATAATTATAGGGTCATAAAATCTGTACATGGTTTTAGTGTATCCTTCATGGATGAGTAGATAATGAAAATGTGATATGCATATACACACAATGCAATGTGGATATGGATACAGGTCATTTGAAACAGTGTAGATGAACCTACAGAACATCACATTAAGTGAAATAGCCAAGGATAAAGAGAATAATAATAATAATGCATGTTCTCACTTCCAAGTGGAGTTCACAGAAGTGGAACACACAGACGAAGAGAATGGGGGTCACCAAGGGCTGAAGCTGTGGTGGCTGGGTAGATAGCAGCCAAAGGATACAAAGTTTCATTCAGACAGCAGGAATAGTTCAGGAGATATACTGTATAACATGGTAACTATGGTCAATAACAGTGTACTTTAAAAGAAAAGTAGGTTGAAGGGTTCTCACCACAAAAAAAGATACGACTTCATATGTATAGATCATCAGCTTGATTTAACCATTCCACCACTGATACATGTTTTAAATATACTGCACTTTATAAATGTATACAAGTTTTCGTTATTTTAATTCCTTTATTCCAAAGACTCGCAAATAAAGACGTCACAGAGCTAGATTAAGGAACCACTCAAGACACCTGCCAGTCTCAAAGTCTGTCCATCTCAGTGGACGTCTGTCCAGTTAGAATGGTTATGCTGAAGCCATGGAGCCTCACCCAGGCTGTTACACTTTTACTATTGATTACTTTTTATTCACTTCTCCACCACACGTGCAGAGTTGAAACTAGAAAAGAACCGTAGCTTTCTACTTCTCTCATGACGCATGTGTCCTTTGTCTGCATCATAGCCTTCCTCATTGCCTATCTTTAATGCAATTTTATTTTTAAATTAAAAATAAATAAATATAGAACTGGAAATGTAGTTCAGTGGTAGATCACTTGCCTACTATGCTTGGGTCCCCAGTCTCAGTTCCCAGATCCACAATAAATAAATAAACAGTCAGTTCAGGCCACGGTGTGTCACATGTCTTATAACTCTAGCACTTGGATAAGTGGATAAGGTGGGAGTGTCAGAAATTTGAGGCCAGTCGGTACTACATAGTTAACATTTTTAATTAATTAAAAACAAACGTTAAGGTTTAACTGGGCATGTGGCCCAGGACCGTAATCTCGGGAAGCTGTGGAAGGAATGCTGTAAGTTTGGGGCTAGCCTGGGCTACATAGCAAGCACCAGGACAGCCAGATCCAAATAGCGGGACTGTTTTCAAAGAAAATTAGCTAAGCACTATGGTGGCACATACCTTTAATCCCAGAACTTGCACTTTGGAGGCAGAGACGGGTGATCTCTGTGAGTTCAAGGCCAGTATGTCTACATAATGAGTTCCAGGCTAGCAAGTGCTATATAGTGAGACCTTGTCTCTAAACAAACTTTTAAGACAATATACTAAATTATCCTCAATTATTCTAGCAATTTATACCAACTTATTTTCTTTCATGAGAAGCTAAGCTACATAAATCAAAACTTCAAGTCTTTGTGTTTGGGGAAGTATGTATTTCCAGGCACTGTATTTTTTTTGTGAAACGGAAGAGATAACATAAGTAAGCTTCTAATCCGTTGGTGTCCCTCTTACTGGTCACATTTTTCTTCTCCAGGTTCATGGACAGAAAGCTGCTTGGGAAGATCCAGTGGAGTGGGTCCGGGACACTCTTCCCTGGCCATCAGCCCAGCAGGACCAATCAAAGCTCTACCACTTGCCCCCACCCTCTGTGGGCCCTCACAGCATTGCCTCACCTCCAGAGGACAGGACAGTCAAAGACAGCACCCCAAGCTCCCTGGACTCAGACCCTCTGGTGAGTAAAAGTCAGAAAAAAAAAAAAGCCACAGAGTATTAGAGCACTGGATTCTTACACTCTTCTGATGGGCCCTAGGCATTGAAGAGTTTCAGCAAAGCCAGGACCAAAATGAGACCAGTGAGGAACTCTGAGCATCAGGAGCTTGGGTTTCAGTGATCTCATGCCTGCATCCTAGCTGAAGCTAAAGAACACATCCAGGAAAATGTCCTCCAGCAAAGACCCAAGTTTCAGACAGTCTAAGTAAGAACATAGACCAGAGGGCCTGGAGAGGTGGCTCAGCAGTCACAAGCACCTGCTGCTCTTCCAGAGGACCCAAATTTGGTTTTCAGCACCCACGTCTAAGCTTAGAACTCTAACTCCAAGAGGATCTAACACAGCTGACTTATGCAGGCTCTGTACTCATGTGGACACACCTACATGCAGATAGACACACACATAATTAAAAATAATAAAAATTAGCCCAGCACTTGGGAGGCAGAGGCAGGCAGATCTCTGTGAGTTCGAGGCCAGCCTACTCTACAGAGCGAGTTCCAGGACAGCCAGGGTTACACACAGAGAAATCCTGTCTCGAGAAACCAAAATAAGTAAATAAAATAATAATAATAAAAATTTAAAATGTAAAAACGGTCATCAACCAAAGAAATAGTGCAGTGGGGTTGTTGACACTTTTACTTCTGCCTCTCCTCTAATATTATTCTGAGACTTCTTCACTAAGTGTATTCTGTAAATTGTAAACTAGGGGAAAATATTTGCAATAGATACTGCCAAAAAATTAGTATCTTAAATAAAGTTAAAAGGAGCTTCCAGGACTGACAAAATGGTTCAGCAGGTAAAAGAATTTGTCACACAAAGCTGACAACCAGTTTCAGAAGAGAACTGACTCCCAAAAGTTGTCCACTGACCTCCACATGCATGCCATGGCATCTGCACAACTGCGTTCACCTGCATCACACACACACACACACCCTGCATCACACACACACACACACACACACACACACACACACACACACACACAGACCAGTAAATAAGAAATAAATAAAAATAAATTATGCAAAAAAATGTAAGCTTCTAAACAAAAGAATGAGCAAAAGACATGCAGAGGCATTTGACTAGAGGAAATAAAAGTGACCAATAAAAACATAAGATTGGGGGCTGGAGAGATGGCTCAGCGGTTAAGAGCACTGGCTGCTCTTCCAAAGGTCCTGAGTTCAATTCCCAGCAACCACATGGTGGCTCACAACCATCTGTAATAAGATGTAGTGCTTCGGCCGGCAGGCATACATGCAAACGGAATACCATACATATAATAAATAAATAAATCTTAAAAAAAAATAAGATCGTCAACCTATCTAATAATGAAGAACTGTAAATTAAATCAAGGAACTACTTTTTTACATTGGCAATACGCAGAGCATCTGAAGCACAGAAGCTGGGGGGGTATTCATTACTAAAACCATGTTAGAAGGTAACTTAGCAGAATGGAATGAAATTTAACACACATAAAACCTTTGATCTTGCCTTTGCACCTTTCCAGTAGGGAATAATTCCACTTGAGTCATAATATATTTTTATTTAAATTTTGACTTTATTGAAAATAGCTGTTCTCTGTATCAAGACTACTAACTAATAATACAGAAAGAAGAAAAGACTGGTGGCCGTTTGAACCAGCCAGGCTTACTCAGCTAAAGTTTGAGCTATTAACATGGAAAAGGAGTACACTGAGGTGACTTAACCCAGGGTCCGAGGAGAGCACAGAGTCTAGCTGCTGGGGTGTGCTCTCCTACAAGGGAATTCCACGAGGCCAGGGCTGACTACAACGCTTCCCTTGTTACTCCCAGTATAAGCTGGAATGTCTAGACCTCTGTCATTCACTGGAGTGCATCTGGAAACAGGGCAAGTCTTGTTCTTTGGTGTCCTCCACACCCATGACCCATGGCACCTTGTATAGCTAAGGTGTTCCAGGGGATTGTTCATATGCATGGGCTTACGTCAGGGCTGAAACAATTGTCACATCTTCATGAACCACCTCTAAACTTCACGTTCTTAGTCACACCAAGCATCAGACCCATGATCCAGGTTCTATAGGGTGGATTTGTTTGGTTGGCTGGTCGGTTGGTTTGTTTTGGGCTTCCTGGTAGTCAGTACCCAGCATGCCCTCTGGCATTCACCCATCTCTCTGCCTCTGTTTAGATGGCCATGCTGCTGAAGCTTCAAGAAGCTGCCAACTATATTGAGTCACCAGATCGAGAGACTATCCTGGACCCCAACCTCCAGGCAACACTCTGAGGGTCCAGCAGTCACTGTCACCCTGGACAGCGGAAGGCTGGCTTCGGCTTCATTAGCTCCCCTCTCCCCCTCTTCTTTCAGAGCTCTGGCTTACCAGCCTCACCAGGACAGGAGGGAAGAAGAGGGCTAGAGGAGGGATGGGTTCTTGGTGCTGAACCTTTGAAAACTTCCTGGTAGGGACTGGAGGGGTGGAGATTGGGAACTCGTGCCCCCTAAATACATTTGCTGGCCTCCTCTCATGACTTTGGAGAAAAGATGATTCTGGGTCTTTTCTTCAGTTTTTGTTTCACCTACAAACTCCTGGGCTTTCTGGGGAGGGATTCGGAGGACATCACAAAAAAAAACTGTGCAGCAGTTCCTAGCTGGTTCTCATGAACACCGCTGAGACAGTCACCATCTGGGGAAATCTAAGGGAGGCAGGAAACTCCACAGATTTTCTTGCAAACCTTTCCCAATTCTATCGCCACTGCCAACAATCTTCCCCCAGAGATCTGGCCAGAGCCCAGAAAAAGAAGCATGTCGTTAAACAAAAAAAACAAAAAAAAGAAAAAAAAGAAAATAAGAAAAAAAATGTGTAAGTCAACCTGTAAGCGGTAAAAAGGTGACAGAAAAGATGACACTGGAAAGAGGGGACCCAGTTGCCAAGATGGAAAGAGAGCTGCCAGATCTCACCCTCTGGATGACAATAGGGGACATTGACAAGATGGCTTCCAATCTAAGATGCCACCCAACCACAAAAGGAACATCACAGCCTTCAGAGAGACTGAGCTACCTTTCTGCCCTCAAATTGAACATGCATGAAAGTCAATAAACCCTACTTTTTTAATTTTTAATTTTTAAATTCTATTTCTATTTTTTTTTCTTTCCAGTTTGCCTATTTATTGCCCCCTTCCCCAGTTTTCTCACATGTCAATGAGATACTTGAGTTTCCTTCCAGGAGATAGTTTTGCTTTCCAAGTGGGTTTTCTTTGGCGAATTGAATTCCAGACTGCTGGTATAAGTTAGACACCTGCCATGCCACTATCTCTGGCATCCTTGGGGCTTACATGCAACAAGAAACATTGGCTCAGAATGGTAGGAGAAAAAGTAGCCAGTTTCTTTGACTTTCCTTTTCGAGAAAGCATGTGTTCTAGCTGGAAGCTCAACTGCCATCCTCTGGCTTGACAGATCTACCCTGAGCTTCATCGTGGACTGAAGGAAAACCAAAATACTGGAAACACCCACCTGTCTTAGGGCCTGTCTGGCCCCTCACTGCACTATTAAGATGGTAGCCACTTTGCCTGACTGAATCAAAATTCCCTAGCTAGTCCTCAGCTAGTTTTTGACAGGTGAACAGTCACTTATAAGAAACTGAGCAACCATGTGAACTGCTTCAGATCAGAATAGAAGGCTCAAGGAGCTGGACTCGGTGGCCAATATTTGCCTTCCAAAGAGATCCACCTCTTTCTTGCAGATGTTGCACTCTCCGTATTTCTACAGCCCACGTTCCTTCATTTGACAAGCACTTATGAGTACTTAACTGTATACCAGTCACTATGCTTAAAAAAAGACAAGACTTGGTCCTTAAGTTCATAGTCTAGGGGAGAATGTTAATCTCCATTAAGTACACCCCCCCCCCCTTACCTGGACCTTGAAAATCATCTGAGAAACAGAGGTGAACCCCAAGGAGTTACTTAAAAGAAGCCCTTGATTAGATGTCCAATATGTTGTGGGCAGAAGATTGGGAATCAGTTAAGATGGAGCCCGAAGAACTATGGAAGCTTGCTTGTCTAGAGTGGGAAAATCTACTTCTGTCATTTCTGAAAACCGGATGGAACCAGATTCCCAGGCTGAGCTGCCTTATGGGCTAATATGTCAGCACTCTGCAGTTCAGGGATATATATACGATGAGCCTGGACCTAAGAGTTTGCTCTTCAGAGTCCTAAGTAGCACAAGACTTACCAGAATCTATACCAAGATTCTACAGGCAAACTAAAATGGGCCATTGTTCCACCCAACTGAGAAGTCACATGACTCTCAACAGTATATTTTCATTTAGGTCCTCAAGATGGTCTAGCTTGTCTCCTTCCCCCTCCCTCCCCCGCAAAAGCTTCTATATTCACCTGGTAGCCCCAGGGATGACAGGGTCCTCTATTCTGGAGACTATTATTGCCATTGCTGCTAATTCCATGAGCTGTGAAGACCCCCAACCAACTCAGCTGCAAAATATGCAATTCTGTAGTGGGAAGAGGCTGTTTGTCCAAGGATGGTGCTGCAATCACTGCCTTAAGGTCTCTGCTGTGCAGAAGGAGAAGGCCCCAGAGCTGGCTGTTCCAACTTAGAAGGAAGGGGAGACTGGATAGGCCCTACTTTGGACATAGGTCTCTTCTGAACCCTATCCAAAGCTCCAGTGCCATGGCAAGGCTCAGACTTTCGCTGACATCCTAATGCTTGAGCCCTCCTTCACTCTCTCTTCTGGTGCTGCCCAGCCAGTGCCTTCTGAAATGGATGTTACTGGCTACTTAAGAAGAAGGAAAGTAGGCGATGCCTTCTTCCATTCCAACTGCCTCAGACTGCAGAGGGATTGTCTCTGTGGTAACCGTGGATACCATCGTGAATTTTCTTTGGGTCTGCAGCAAGTTGACTCTGGAGGCCTCTCCTACTGTAACTTTATTTCTATTTCTGGGATCCACCACCACCTTCTCTCAGTTGACTGCTGCATTTAGTTCAGGCCTCAAATAGCCGTCCCCCAGGAAGAATGTTCCCATCTAGTGAAGTGCTCTTGAAGCCTCTACTTTCCTTCTGGAGCCTGGGACCCTGTTTACAGTTGCACATCTGGGCCCCTCACAGTAGGCTCAACCATCTCAAAAAGGGATCACGGTTCTGTGGCAATTGCGGAAGGTTGAGCTTCCTCACGGTGCTAATAACCCCTTGGGATGCTCATCCAGACTTCTAAGAAGCAAAAAGCCTGAGCACCCCCTCACTGCCCAAGAATTCATGGCAAAGAGCAAATCCACAGCATTCTTTCCAACCTACACACTTGCTTCTTGGTTGAGACAACTGGGACTCCTCAGAAAGGAAAAACTGGGTCCCACAGCTAAATTCTCAATCTCCAGGCACCTTCAGAAGACTCCAACCTATCCAATTCTGGAATCTGTGCTATTCCCTTTCCCTCTCAGTCCCAATCCCATCCCTCACCAAAGTTGGCTAGTGAAGAACATCAACCTTTGGAGAGCCTCAGCTCTAGGAGAGGCTAATTAGAATCCCTCAGATTCTGGGATGAAGACCAATAAGTTGTATTCAATGTGTTCGTTTCTCAGTCCCTGCCTAGGCACTAGAATAAAACACTAGGTATTGGAGGCTGCTATGGGACCTGATGTCTGTGTATCTCTCTGTTCTATCTTGGGCTTTGTGTAACATTATTATTTTTGATATCTGCTTTCTGGTAACTCTTGGGTGCTTATTTCTGTCTCTGTAAATCCTTACTCCAATGTCTTTTGTGTAGTCTAATCACTTGGAAGGTAGAGGCTGGCAGGAAAGGAGAATGAGGTAGGAAAAAAAAAATATACAGAGAGACCCTACAAGAAGGCCTTTATTGGTTGGTAAACGTTTGGGTCTTGAATTACCAACCTTCTAACTAGTCTGTCCATACTGACAGGCATAAGACAAAAATAATGATTTTCTTTCTCCCCTTTTCTGGCTTTTCTAGTTTGCAAGAGTTTAAGTGGACTTAACCTACCCATCTCCTTACTTGTAGAACTCAAAGATGAACCACACTATTCAAAGGGATACTGCCCCCCTTCGGGTACTCTGAAGACGAACTCTGTTTCCTGTCATATTCCAGAAAAGTAGGGAAAGAAGTGGTAGGTTTTCACAATGCCTCCTATCATCACCCCAGATGGAACCCATTCACAGCACCCAGCATGTGCACGGATCACACTTGCCTGATCGAATGAGATTCAGTCTTATAAACCAGGATCCAAGAGATATTAATGACTTTTTTTTTGATGATAAAAGGGTTTGGGAAGTTGTGCTAATCACAAATCTAATACAGGGTTCAAGTGCTGAAGTAACTCAGACTGTCAACTACAGCTCCTTATCATACTTTACCCTTTCTTTCCATAGTCCTGGGCATTAGCTAAACTGAAGCTAGTGAATGGACTCCATGAGCCAACCCCCATGGTAAGAAGAAAAATGTCAGTTACAGCAGCTTGGGTAATAGAGATGGATAAGATGGATATACCAACAGTTATTGGTACACTTTTTTTTTTCTTCCAGTATTGGGTATTGAACCTAAGGTCTCTCATATACTCAGCAAGTACTCTATCACTGACCTATAGCTCCAGCCCTCTTTTTTTTTTTTAAAGACAGTTTCACTAAGTTGCCCATAATCCAGGCAAGCTTTGAATTTGATGATAACACACACACACACACACACACACACACACACACACACACACACACACACAAACACATTAGCCTCTCAAGTAACTGGGATTTCAGCCTGCATCAACAGGCCCAGCTATAATACACTGTAGGAACTGTGCATGAGAATACCCAACAAGGAGGCTGTAAATAAAAATGTGTTCTAAATGGCCAAAGCCTGAAGACACTGCTCTTCATAACTGAATCAGCCTTACCTAGTCACCAATCCTCAGTTAACCTGCTCAGGGATAACAGGGCCACCTGGTATACACCCGAGCTCTGGAAGCACACGCTGTTATAGAGAAGATAGAATAAACTGGAACACCGCAGAGTCTGGAAGGAAAGAAAGCAGGTGAACTTTGGAAACCACAGGGAAAAAAAGACAGTTAAGAATTACACCTATTTATACCAGTTCATTCCAGTTTGATGTTTCGGCCATTTTCCTTAATGATTATGTCCCAGGGAACATTCTCTGACATGTGATATGAATCCCTGGATCCTTAATTCAACCTTTCATTTCCTTAAAACGGTGTCACTCAGAGGATGCCTACAGACCAGCAATAGCAGCATGTGGGAATGTGTTTAGGAATAAAATTCCCAGGCTCTAACCCAGACTTACCAAGTCAGCTCTGCAGTGGCAGTGCCCAGCCATGTTTTAGCAGTTCCTCTGGTGGAGCCAATGCACGGAGAGCCTTCACTCTGAGGTGGTTGATGTTTAAAGACCCCAAATAAAAAGCGTCTACAGTCTAATGCAGATGTTAACATTTCAAAGTCACTTTTCTCAGACTTCGGTTTCTGGGAGTCAGCAGTGAAAACATGTGCTTTGGGGTGGAAGCTGGGGAAGGTCTGCATCTTGGCAACCTCTAATGGGAAACCCCTTGTCTCTGACATTTCTACCTTGGCACACTGTGGGACTCCAGTGGAGGAATCATGTTGGAGGTCTCATTCAGATTGCTGTTCTGATGGATTCTTTTTCTGATAATAGTATAAGAAAAGTAAAATAAAGTCTAATTTGCATTTCTATGATAAAATGTTCTCCCAGCAACATCCCTCTCCCTTCTTTAAATAGTAAAGAGTACTGCTGAGTCAGAGAGCCCGGCCAGGGCCCCCCACCCCCTTTTCCCCAAGGCAGCCAACAGCTGTAGTGCTCCAGTATGCTAGAAGGGCCCATGTCTCTACTCAGCCCACAGGAGAGTTCTACACAGTGAAAATAAAGTTAAGTCCTTAGGTTTAACCTTTGCCTTTTCCCACATCAGGACCTAAGTACAGAACTACTCAGCAAAGGGAACAAAATAAATCTGCTCTTAATAAAAAAAAAAAAAAAATTTTTTTTTTCCAGAAAGAGCTTCTTCATATATTTCCAAACCCATAAACTAGCTGATATGGCCATGGAAGAGTTGAGGCTGTTTAGAAGCAGTTTTGTTTTAAATTTGTCAGTTTCCCCCCCCCCCTCCCCCCATGAGAGCACTTTTGTGTAGAGCATTAAAAAAATCACCGGTACCAGGTCTCCTGAGCTCAGGGACTGACTTGGAAGGAAGGAGTAAAGCCCAAGGAAACCAAGTGTAAACAATTGCACTAAAGTCACCCCCTTACCATCCAGCCAGCCCCTGGTGTATCATCCTGCTTCCCTGCCCCTTCTCTGAGAAGGCGAATCCAAGGAGCAAACTCCCACACTGCAGCCAGTCTCTGATCCGGCTGTGCTCCCCCCCCCCAACTTCCTCATGTCCTTTTGTTTATTGCTTTTGACAAAACACAATTAGAGTGAATTCTAGGTTGTGCTAGCTTCCTTTCCTCCCCCTCCCTATCCTGTTGTCCACAGCACTGCTCATGGAAGAGTCTTTCTCAAATGCATGGCATTCCTCAGGTGGCGGGTGGACAAGAGTGTTCACTTTTTAAAACTTACTGAGTACAAAATCCCAAACCAGGATGTGTGTGTGTGTGTGTGTGTGTGTGTGTGTGTGTGTGTGTGTGTGATTTTCTTCTCATTTGACCCTCACCTATTCCAGTCTGTCCCCTTTTATACCTAATGTAGAAAAGGCAAAAGTGAATCTGGAAAGCAAATTGATGTATATAGTTGCGGTAACAATCATGAAGAGAGGCTGGGCTGTCCCCTCAGTAATTCATTTTGAATAATAAATTGGTTGAAAATTAAATCCATGCCTCGGCCAGCTGAAATGGCCTTCCTCCATCGCCACAGAGGCTACCCTTACCTGGGTCCTCTGTCTATCAGGCATGTCTCCATCCAGCAAAATGCATCTGTTCTCTGCCATTTGCATTTCAATAAAGTTATCTCCTGTACTGTCCACTGGTTTTCTAGCTCACTCTCTGCCTGGTTTCTGTGTCCATTTATCTTATTGCTTGATCTGGAATGTGAGACGACCTGCGGTCCTTTGCCTAACTCAGAAGCAAAACCCACCTGCCTGTAAAAGTCTGACCCCAAATGCTGGGCAGGGGTCTTTCTCCTTCTGTTTTGTGGGCAGGGGAGAACACCACCTTGGACACTGTGGACACAGTCTCCCTCCTACTTTGCTAGGATAAACACCGTGACTAAAAGCAACCTGGGGAGGAGAGGGCTTGTCCATTATCCAAGGAAGTCAAAGTAGGAACTCAAGGAAGAAGCTTGAAGCAGAAACCCCCTAAAATGCTGCTTACTGGATTGCTCCCCTTGGTCTTAAGTAGCCTAGGCCCACCTGCCTGGTGATTGCAGTAACCACAGTGGGTTGGGTCCAACTGTGTCAATTAGCAATTAGGAAATGGTTCGCAGACTTGGTCACAGGCCAATCTGATTCAGCTCATTCTTCAGTTGAGGCTCTCCCTTTCCAAGTGACTCCAGCTTTGTGTCAAGCGAACAGCTGAAGCTAACTCTTGACAGTTTCCCTCACCAGAAGTCAAGGCTTCCGGTTTGCCAGGCAGGAAGTCTGTTGAGTCCTCCATCAACTGCAAAGTTGGAAAATGTACCATCCTGTAGACCAGAAGTTCTCAACCTGTGGGCTGTGATCTCTACGGGGCCAAATGACCCTTTCCCGGGGGTTGCATATCAGAGATTTATATTAAGGACAGTTATGAAGTAGCAACAAAAATAGTTTTATGGTTGGGGTCACCATAACATGAGGAACTAATAAAGGATCACAGCATTAGAAATGTTGAGAACCACTGTTCTAGACACTACCTAATTTTTCTTTTGGAATCGAAAGTGAACTTACCTAAAAGGACAGCTGTTCTAATGGAGTTGCGGTTCTCTGGCCACTGTTAAGACAGAACAAAAACCTATTCTCTGCCCTGGAATTGCAGAGTCAAAAGGCACTCGCTTTCCCAGAAATACCCGCTCTGTGCTAGAAGGGCATACCCCATTCCATCTCTTTTGCCACTAGGTGCTTGCCGCTCTGTCCTGTATTTTTAACCCCTTGCTCTAATCCCCTCCACTTGCTCTAGTGAAATGGTGTCATTTCCTGTGATTAGTCCTTGTTAGCCATATGAAACTACTCTTATTCCCCTTCCCCCGAGTCATAATCCCCGTGGGTCTTGGGGATCAGGCTGGGCTAGCTAGATGGCTCAGAGGTAAAGTACTTGCCACAACACCTGAAACCTGAGTCTACGCATACATAAAGGTGGCTGGTGACAGACTCCACATTAAATTGTCCCTCTGACCTCTACAGGTGCCCCATGGCATATGCCCGTGTATTCGAGCATGGCACACTCACACACAAGGAATCGGTCTGGAGCCACTGGGTGATGGCACATACTTGTAATAGCGCTGGGGGAAGGTAGAAGCAGTAAGACTGAGATCAAGGAGTTCAAGGCCAGTACCAGCTACATAGAAAGTTTGAGGCCAGTCTGGGCCACAAGTGACCCTGTCTCAAAACAAATTAACAACAAATGGATAAATAAGAATATTAAAAAAAATAAATCTGGAGAAATGCTCCTTCACGTGTAGGTACTCTCCCCTGGACAACCACTTCTTCATTTGAGATTGGGCTCATGTAAGCTGAAAAAACTAGGGAACTGGACTTTCCTAAAGGGACTACTCCCCACTGCCACATTCACTTCAGTTTCTCCCCATGCCCCCCAGGCACCTTTGGGTCTCTAAAGCTATTTCCTTAAAGCCCTCTCTATCCATTGCCACCCTACCTCTTCCTAACACGTCTTGAATGTGAGCCTAGAATCACGGATCACGGCCTTTATTCCAAGCGCGCTTTCTAAACAGCGCGTGTGGCTTTCGGGACTCCAAACCGTTATGGGATTCCGTGTGTGCACACACATCCAACAGCGTTCCTGGCCGGCAGGAGCGCGGTTCGGTTCCGGCGGCAGAAGGCGCTGTCTCCGGAGGCTGCACTCTCTCCCCGCCCCCCGCCCGCCCGCTCCCTCCCTCCCTCCCGCGTACTTAGATGCGCAGGCGCGGCTTCGCGGATTGGCCGTCCGCGGGAGCCGTCATTCGGTGGCGGGTCCCGGCCGCGGGGCTGGCGGGCTGAGGGGAGGAAAGATGGCGGCAGCGGCGGCAGCTGGTACTGCTTCGGGGCTGCCGGGTCCAGTGGCCCAGGGCTTGAAGGAGGCGTTGGTGGATACCCTCACCGGGATCCTGTCCCCCGTGCAGGAGGTGCGGGCGGCTGCAGAGGAACAGATTAAGGTGCTGGAGGTGACAGAGGGTGAGTGAGGCGGGACCGTCACGAGGATGGCTCGGACCAGGGCCGGCCGCCCACTCCGCTGCCCGCAGGGATCTGGGGGCCCTGAGCCAGGGGAGAGGTGGGCTCGAGGGGGTGGGTTCGGAGACGCGGGGGCGGGGGTGCCGCGGGGGGCTCTCAAAGTCCTAGAAGAAGAAGAAGAAGAAGGGAGGCGCGTCTGAAAGGAGAGGGTCGGGGGAGGTGGAGCCTTAGCGGGCATGGGGTGGGTGAAGACTTGGAAAGCTCGGCAGTGCCTGGGTTCTGCAGAGGACAGGAACGGGCTTCGACGTGGTGCTGTCGGTGTCGCGCGGTCGGGATGCTAGCCGAGCTCACGACAAGGTCCTTTGCAGTTTTCTTCAGCAGCTCGCTTGTAGAGGGATCGGGGAAGAGAGAGAGCGAGCTAGCTAGAGGAGTGTGAGAGGTAAGGCCCTTGAGAAGGCAAGTTTCTGCATCAGAGTTTTAAATCTGGCTGGGTGTGCAGACACCTCACGTTTTCCTAGAAATTAACTCAATTAGATGCATACACTACTTCACTTTCCCGACCATGCTTCTCGGTTTGTTTTTTTTTTTCTTTTTGTTTTTTAAAGACTCATTGGCAATTATTAAGGACGGTGCGTTTCTGTGTACAGGAACCGATCTTCCTTTGTTTTAGATTCTTTGTTCTCATCCTCCCATTATGTTCTTTAAAGTGATAGAGGAGAAACTGTTAGCTTGACGTTTTCTTTTAGTTTCCTGCATAGTGGACTTTCATCAGGACCATTTTACAAAGAACAGAAAAAGGTCTTTATGTAACAAATATATCTTATCAGAATTTCAGTGGGACTCCAGATCCCCGGGATCCCCAAGCTCAAGAGAGTATTTTCACTGCTCCTTAAACTTAGGCCTCTTCAGAAATATGGGAGATTATTCCCATATTTGACCAACCACCCTTAAAGCCTTGAGTTAATGCTCCTACAGGACTTATTTTTATTGAGAAGAAATAGATGCGGGGGTGGGGGGAGGATCTCCCTCAAATTCAGTTTTATATTCTCTTGGAATATGAACAACTATTGAAGGAAAGTTTCCTTCTTTTGGGACTATTGGGAGATCTAATAGATTGAAGACTATTTGGAAAGGCCAGTTGTCGTTTTATAACATACCAAACTCTCTTTAAGAGAAGGAACCGTGGGTGGGAGAAACTGCTGGAAAGCAATGCATAACTTGACCTGAAGGAGTCTCTAACTTCCTGGGTAAGATTCCTTGACTTTACATTTGATGTCCCTGCCTCCCTTGAGTATAAAGAAAGCTGATAGACAGAAACCTTACTAAAGTTAAACTGCCATTTGCGTTTAGCTGCTGATCTGATGCACACTGATGACCCTTAAGTTAAACCTTCCATGAATGATACCCAGTGTGGGAGCTGCCCCCAAGTGTGTGTATGGCACCTTGCTATGAAAGGCGGGCTTATAAACTGTGCAGTAGCACTGTTCTGGCTCTGACTTCTTCATCTCTAACCAGATGCTGTGGCCTTATCTGGGCAAAATCAGTAATAAACTTCTTGAGGTTGTTTTTGAAGTTCTTGTCCCCTACCTTTGTCACCCTGTGGAATCTTGAGATCAAAAGTACAGAATCTTGATCTAGTGCAACTGGTGACGAAATAGATGAACGAACTCTGCCTCAACTCTCCCCCCTTTCCCCATAGCCTACTGATAATGTGCTGTGGGGCATGATGCCAGAGGCAGGGGAAAGCTTTGATACAGTAGCAGGAGCGGTGGCCTGGGAGGAAGGCATATGACTCCAGTCGAATGTGGTTACAGAGTTGGATCAAGCCTGGAGTTGAATATGCTCCGTTGGACTCTTCAGTGGCTTTAAAATAGTCTTGTCCCCTCCTGTGCCTATTTTTAGTTAAGAGGATGGTGGTTCATTCCTTAAGTGTCTTTTCTGTGAGTGGTCTTTAATAGTAATCTTCCCATTGAGTCCAGATTCTCCAGCCTCTGACTCTGGCTGACTCTGGGATACTTTCTAAAGGTAGCTGACAGCTTCTTCTCCAGCCATGGCCCTCTTTACATTAAATGCTAGCACCTGGTCCCCCAGGAGGACTTCACAAGTGGTATGTGTCTTCCTTGGCTGCCAGCTGATGAGCTCTACTCTTGAACATTAAATATAAGGATCTCTAACTGGTGGAAAGGCACAGATCAATGGCTGCCTCTTAAAGGGAATGCCAAATTTTATCATAAATAGGATTTTCCCCTCCAGTGTTAGGGGTAAAACTTAGAGCCTTGTGTGTGCTAGGCAAGTATTCTGCTACTTATCTGCAGCCTCGGACCTATAGATGGGATTCAAACAAGCACTTCTCTTAAGAAATGGGGTTTCTGCCGGGCGGTGGTGGTGCACAACTTTAGTCCCAGCACTCGGGAAGCAGAGGCAGGTGGGTCCCTGTGAGTTCGAGGCCAGCCTGGTCTACAGAGAGAGTTCCAGGACAGCCAGGGCTGTTACACAGAGAAACCCTGCCTCGAAAGCAAAAACAAAAGAAATGGGGTTTCTAAGGCAAAAGTTACATCCAGATTATTCTTTTTGTCTTCCAGCTTGTATTTTCTGAGAAATAACACAATCAATTACCACATTATCCAGAATGACCACATACTCTTAGAAGATAAAAAACTATGTGTATGTCAGAGATCCTCTTGATTCCTTTTTTATTAGCCTGATGTCCTAGAAAGATTTTCTTGAACTCCTGCATTTGCCCTTTTCCCTAATTGCATGGATCTAGGGGAACCCTGAAAACTTTACCTAGTTAAAGCCTCATTGCCGCACACAGAGGAGGAGACAGTTTACCACTTCATCGGGCACTGTCGGAAGTCTGGAACTCCCTGGTACTCAGCAGATAACTGTCCCCTTTGGGTTTTCTTCAGCATGATTTATCAAATCTTAGCTCTACCCACATAGGGTAAAAGGAAAAAGGTTTTTTATTTATTAGCGTATTCTTACAATTCTGTCTCATTAGTACATAGGGACATATCAAGCATTCAGTACAATGAGCATTAGACAAGGGAAGTAGATTACCAAAGGCCTCTTCCTTCAGAATCTTAATGTTCTGTCAACTTCTTTTTTTTTAATTCAGTTTATGGTAAGACCACTTTTAGAATGTCACCTCTTTGTTTCTGGCATATTAATGCTTTACTTCTTATATCTCAAGATGGAATTCTTCCTTTTTCTTTTACTTTCCCACTTTTCTTTAAGAAGAGCATCCTGTCTTTAGCCTGCATAGCTGAGATTTTTTGTAAAATAACTAGGTTTAGACCTAGTCTCTTTTTTTCTCTTGTTATTTATTTTTATCTATGAGAAATGAATATATGCCCCCCCCCAACATTTGCCCTTGGCTTGGTATTTTGTCTTTTTTCTGTGCTTAGGGCCAGTGCATGCTGGCTAGGCAAGCCTTCTACCACTGAGCTACATTCCCAGCCCAGTCTTCTCTGCCTCCTCCCAAGAGAATACATAGTTTCTTTCCATCTCCCACTGTTGTGTTGACCAGAGGGTATGGATAATTCTCTCCCTCAGTTTTCCTGGCATTCAGATGCTGCTCAGTTGTATATGATGGTTTTCCCATCTTAGAGGCCTAGAGAGGTGATCCTGCTGGCTGGCAATGCTTTCTGGTTCTCATGGGCACTTTTCTGGCTTTCTTACAGTGTAGCATAAGCACTGTCCACCTGCGGAGGGCGCCCCGCAAGGATCCAGAAGCGCTCCTGGGCATGTGGCGGGCACTGAACCGAGCGGAAGGCGGCCACGCTCGGAAAAAGGCCAGTGGTAGAGTTTTCTTTTCCCTTTAAGCTATGGTTTTGTGGTGCTTTCCCACCCTGTGACAGATAGGGGGCTTCTCCAGAGTGCTGCCTAAAACTCTTAACTACAGATAGTCTGTTCAGTCCCTTAACGTTGGCTGTCAAAGCACTGGCAAATCTTACATTTCTCTGGTAGACCCTTAAGAATAGCAACAATGCATTTCTTCACCTATCCCTTATCCTCCCTGCCCTCTTCTGCATTTTCCCGTCTAAGCCAAAGTTTACACGGGTATTTGTTGCCAGATGGGGTCAGAGAAGGCGAACAAACACCGAAAGACTAGCAGGTGAATTTAGTGTGGGACATGAGACCAAAAGGTGAGAGAAGACAGAGACTTTCTTAGAAAGGTCAGGGCATGTCAGTTTGGAGTGGAGGCACCCAGGAAAGTCAGGTGGAAAAAAAATCTAGATTGACCAAATAAGGCTGTCCCTATTTAACCTTGGAAAGGGGAGCTCAGGGAATTGGGTTTCCTGACAAAATGGCTCTGGGAAGCTGACTTCCTATATCCCTCGTAGGAGCGGTCTTCTTTGGTTCAGTGTCTTAGATTGAATCTTACTTTAATCTGAATTAGTCCCTTCCAAGTCCAGTGTGTGTGTCTCTTGTATTTTCTCTGCTTTCGTTATCCCCAAGTAAGTTATTTAGCACACATCCATAAAACAGGGAATCTCCAAAGGACTTGTGTCCACACATAAATAGAAGTGTTGTTTTTTAACAGCTATATTTAGTTGGATTTTTTTAAATGGTATTGTATAGATTCTGTCAGTAAAAGTGTTCAAATTCACGTTCGATGGGGTTTTCTGCCCCGTGACAGAAATCAGCAGTGTAAAGCAACTGTGTTGATATATGTAAGCCCAGGCTGTGGACTTCAACAGCTGTTTGTTCTTAGTTACACTCGCAAGAATAAAGTGTTGCCTTGTGGAGATACTTCAAAAAACAGTTGTCTTTTTTTCTTTGCATTAGCTTTATAGCAGACTTGATTATCAGTACCACACCACCATTGCCAATGGTGTATTCTTCATCGACTTCCATGGAAATTAGAGTTTTTAGTATGACGCAGGGCTATACAATTTAGGCAGAAATTTCCTTTCTCATATCCCACTATAGCCTAATGCAAATTAGTTTTTGTCTTTAAAATTTGAAGGTTAATAGTTTTGAAACTCTGGGAACTTGTAGAGGAGAGAATATATCCTAGTCATTCTATTTTCAATCTTGTCTTAGTAAACCAGGTTAGTCTTGAGCTTGTCTTTCCCCTTTTAAACAGGCCTTCATATTAGCTGAACTTTCAACCTTCCCTCTTAGGTGAAGGAAATAGACGTTTATAGCAAATTCATCTTAAAGTATTTGTAGGTGGGGACTCCTGGTGGACTTACACTTCAGTCCCCCATGTAGATCTTAATCTAGGCTAGTCTAGTCTCATCATCCTCTAGTCTAGCCATTGAATGGAGTGTGAGGTGTGTCTTTGATAGGTTACCAAATACAGTTACCTCAGGACTGGGGCAGAGAGAAGCTCCCAGCTCTGTGATCATCACTAGAGTGCTACCTCCTCCAGGCACAGACACCAAAAAGAACCAAAAAACCTTTCATGGAAGCTGTTCTCTGACAAGTAGACTTGAAGTTCTGGTTGATGACATAGGACCCGCGTGCAGTTCTCCTGAGTGCTCCAGTGCTCTTCTGTGGGTGCTTGTGTGGACTGAAATATGTGGTTTCTTTTCCCTTCTCTATGCTCCATCACCCTAGAACTGTGAGCATCAGTGTTCTCATTGGAAGGATAATCATTCAAATCTATTTAAGCTTTATAGTTTCAACTCAAATTTCAAAACCTCAAAAAGTCTTATTCCTCAGTATCTTTTTCATGCTGTATAATTGTATATTTTGCTTATTTTTGCCTCGTTTTAGTTTGTCCGTATAGGAATGTCCAAAAATTAAGCTCTTGCTGGGAACTTTTAAAACCCACATAAGTGTTATTTAAATAGTGCCTTAAAAGAAAGTTCTGTGTGTTCCAGGCAGTTTATGAATATATTTGTAGGTCATTCTGAAGGAAGTCACATGAGGCACACTAGAACTGATTCACTGTGTCCAGGGAGACCAAGACAAGATAGACTTGAAATATGAGGTTAATGTCCATTATCACACTAAGTATCTGAATTGCAAGTGTGGGTGCCTTTACTAGTAGTATTCCTTACCCTTTTTTATTGCATGTATTTATTTATGGAGATGGGGTTTGTGCCATGGCATGTATGTGGAGATCAGAAGACAACTTGTTGGGGTTGGTTCTCTCCTTCCATCATGTGGGTTCCAGGGATCAAATTCAGGTCACTGGACTTGATGGCTAGTGCCTTAGCCTGCTCAGCTGTCTTGCTGGGCTCTCTGTCCTTTTAAAACTAATTCTGGAGAGATGGTTCAGTGGTTAATAATACTGGCTATACTTCCAGAGAACCAGGGTTTAATTCTCATCACCCACGTGATGCCTGAGCTGTGTGTAACTTGAGCCCAAGGGATCCACCTTCTGGCTTCCTTGGGCTCTACACACATGTGATGCACAGACATAAATGCAGGCAAAACACCATACACATTCTTTTATGTGAAAAAGATGAAATAGATTTAACTATAGATTTGATATACTTTTTAAATCTAGACATTGATATTTAAGAGGTTTTCATAAGACAGCTGGGCATGGTGACACACACCTTCAATCCCAGCACTCAGGAGGCAGAGGCAGGTGGATCTCTGATTTGGAGGCCAGCCTGGTCTACAGAGTGAGAAATAGTGAGACCCTATCAAAGAAACAAAGCAAAACAAAGGTCTTTTAAAATTATAAATGACTCCTCTGTGTTTTAAAGTCCATTCTAAAAGTTGAGTCATGTAACATTGGGTTTTAGACATCTGTATCTTTGATTGTAATAAATGGGCTTTTTATATTTACTCAGAATCTGAACTAGCCGAAACAATCTTAGGAATCAGAGTGAATTTCAGTATCCATAGAGGTGATTCTGAAGGTTTTAAGTGTTTGTGGTTTAGCATTTAATAAATGTTGTTTTTTTTAAAAAAAAACAAAACAAAACTATTTTATCCTGGTTTACAGATAGTCTCATTCTTTCCTGAGTGACATGATGGATGCAATAGAAAAGTATCAAAAACTGTAGCTTAGAGAGGGGCTAGGTAGGACTCAGCAGCAGAACACTTACCTGGCAAAAAGTCCCAGCTCTCATCCCTCCTGTTGCAAGAAATAAATTAATTTAAAATAAAAACATTAAAAAGAATGAGCTTTGAGGATCTGGTAAAATTGTAGGACAAAACGTAAAAATCAACAGCTTGCTTTCTTATACACAAAGGCTCTAACTGTTTTGAAACTTTTAAAACCACTTATAATTTCAATCAAAAAAGATTCAATAATTTGGAATAAAACAAACAGGATCTATAAGAATCTGTTACAGGATACTTCTTTTTAATGTGGGAGAGTCATTGTTTCTGTAGTTGATATTGTGGGGTTTTTTTCCCTCTAGTGGGCAGTTTTTTTTATTGTATTATTTTCTGTGTGTGGATGTTTTGCCTGCATGTATGTCTATGCACTATTTGCTTACAGTGCCCTCAGAAGCCAGAAAAGGGCATTGGATCCCCTAAGACTAGAGTTACACACAGTTGTGAGCCACCATGTGGGTGCTGGGAATCAAACCTGGGTCCTCTGGAAGAACAACAAGTGCTCTTAACTACTGAGCTGTCTCCCCAGCCCTGCATTAAATGTGGACAAATTGGAAAGACACCCTATTATTATCTCAGACAATAGGACATTATTAGATGAACTAGACAAGTTGATTCTAAGGGCATATAGAAAAATAGAGATTGAAGAGTAACTATAAAAACATTGAAAAGCAAAACTACCAGAAGGGACAAGTCCCACGGACATTTAAACAGTATATATAAAGTTTCTATAATTAGCACTGTGACAGAGGCATGTAAATAGAAAGGCAGTTATAGAATATAAAGCCTAAAAAACGTACACAAGTGCCCATAGAAATTGAGTAAAACAAGAGCATCCCTGCTCTGAAAATTTGATAATACTCCAAAATCTGGAAACAATTTTTGTATACCAACATGAGTAGAAAATTTTGTACCTGCCTTACGTGATAGGTCAGAGTCAAAGTGCAGAAACAGTGCTGGCTGGGCGGTGCACACTTGTAATTGTAGCTGTAAGAAGACGAAGGCAAGAGAATTTTGAATTCAGGGCCATCATGGAGGACATAGTGAGATACTGTCCAAAAGAAAAAGAAACAAACCATCTGGACGTGGTAGCTAACCTTTGTAATCCCATCTCTTAGGAGGCCAAGGCAGTAGAATTGTTGCCAATTCGAGGCCAGCCTGGGTTGCAGTAAGACCCTGTCTCACTAAAGGCAGGGTATGAAAAGGAGAGGAAATAGAGATGGAAATTTTTCCCTTTTGGGTTGGTTTTGTTTTTGTTTTTGTTTTTTTGTTTTGTTTTGCTTTGTTTTTTGTTTTTGTTTTTGTTTTTTTGAGACAGGATTTCTCTGTGTAGCCCTGGCTCTCCTGGGTCTCGCTCTATATACCAGGCTGAGAGATCTGTCTGCCTCTGCCTCTGCCTCTGCCTCCCGCATGCTGGGATTAAAAGTGTGCACCACCACATCTGAATAGATGGAACTTTTTTTTTTTTTTTTTTGGTTTTTCGAGACAGGGTTTCTCTGTGTAGCTTTGCGCCTTTTCCTGGAACTCACTTGGTAGCCCAGGCTGGCCTCGAACTCACAGAGATCCGCCTGGCTCTGCCTCCCGAGTGCTGGGATTAAAGGCGTGCACCACCACCGCCCGGCAGATGGAACTTTTTAAATGGGTCTGGGACAAGTGCATAACCATTTGAAATTAGATCTGCATTTGCACCATATAGAAAAACAAGCTCCAATGAGTTAACAGCCTAAATGTAAGAAAATAAAACCCTAGAATTACTAGAAAACACATGGTGAGTTCCTTTAAACTTACAAAATGATGGGCAATAAAAATAATAAATAGGGAAATAATTTTCATCATACTTCTTACTCTGTGACAGGTCCATGCTAAGCACATGTGTTCAATCACTCAGTCTTTATAGAGTTGTTATAGTGATACCATTAGTCTTTCTTTGTGGATTTGGAAAAGGGTTTAAAGGATAAATAACTTACCTAAGGACAGTGTGGTAGCTTCAAGGCTTGAGCTTAAACTTGACTAAATCCAGAGCCCTTGCTAGGTTGTTTTGTTTGTTTGTCAGGGGGTGAGAGGTGAGGTGTGGGGGGGGGGGGGGCGGTTTGGGTCACATAAAATTTTAAATTTCCGACTAGCCATATTAAAGAGGTTTAAAAACAATAATTTTAATATGTAAAGCTAGAGAGAGCGAGCTCAGTGATTAAGAGCTGCTCTTAATGCTCTTCCAGAACCAAACCTAAGTTTAGTTCCCAGCACCCATGTTGGAAGACTCAAGGTGCATACATGTGGCATACATTGATTCATGAATACACATAGAAATAAAACTTTAAAATAATAATTTTAATACTGGCTGGTTGTACTGACACACACCTTTAATCCCAGCACTCTAGAGGCAGAGGTCAGCCTAATGTACATAATAAGTTCTAGGCTAGTCACAGCTACATGGTGAGACCTTGTTAATTAGCTAATGAGTTAAATACTGGACTCATTTAACCTGGTGTATTTCCACATATAATCAGGTTTTGGTTTGGTGTTTTGAGGATGGTAGGGTTGTTCATGCCTTTAGTCTTAGCACTCAAAAGTCAGGCTGGGGGATCTATATGAGTTTGAGGCCAGCCAGGGTTATATAGTGAGAGTCTGTTGCAAAGAAAAACATTATTGAGATACTTACTTTTCATGCTAAGTTTGAAATGTAGGGTGTTTACATTTACAACCATCTCAGTCTTTGTGACTAGTGGCAACTATATTGGCTTGCACAATCCTAGATTATGAGGTATAAAATTATGGTGTACCTTTGATTTTACATTCTTGATACAGCATTGACTACTTTGTGAATGTGAACAGATCTATTTTTATTTGGTAGTGAGAGTTTATAACATACTCCCAATATGCAGTCCAAGACTTGTTAATCAAGCATGTGACTCACACCTGTGACCCAGTGCTTGGAGAGCTGGGGCAGGAGGATCTTGTTCAAGACTAAGCTACATGGCAAAATCCTATCTTTTTCTAAAGTTTATATTGCACGTTGAAAACTGTTTTTGCAGCCCTTAATTTGTTTTGTTTTTTAGGGTTAAGCCTGTTGAGCCAGGTTCTCTCAAATCTAATGTCATAAATTTTCTGAAATCGCTGCACTGTAGAAGCAGTGGTTCAAGTTTCTTTCTGAAATCTTCCCTTGTGGCGTCAAGGTGAATTGCTATGACTTTCATGAATATCCTTAGACTCACAGTAAAATTTCCTGTTTCAGAATTTGGTGTTCACCTCGCAGAGCTGACTGTAGATCCTCAGGGGGCACTGGCCATCCGTCAGGTGAGTCCAGACTGACCCAAGGAAAATTCCCTTTACTTAGTAAGGAAACTGTCTTAGGGGAAAGAGAAAGAATAAGGGCAATGTGTAAAACAGAATTTTGTACCAGATTTAGTTATGATTCAAATTGATCAAACCAAGTGTACGATTTTTATGTGTGAAAATAAGTCCTTGCCCGGGTGGTGGTGGTGGCAGCGGCGGCGGCGGCGGCACACTCGGGAGGCCGAGGCAGGAAGATCTTTGTGAGTTCAATACCAGCCTAGTAAGAAAGGAAAGAAGTCCTGTTTCTGTTGCACGTGACGGCCTGCTCTCTTCACAGCTGGCATCAGTCATCTTGAAGCAGTATGTGGAAACTCACTGGTGTTCCCAATCGGAGAAATTCAGACCTCCTGAAACTACAGAAAGGGTAAAGGCCGTTCCGTGGCTAGTCTCCCTGCAAAGATGTGAGAGGTAGTCTTAATACATTCAGCATTAGTGTAACATTTTTTGATAACAGAAAATAAGAGGAGGAAGAAAATAGATTGGTGGGTGGTATTATGAGTACTGTGCTACTAATAAGAGTGTCATAATGGACTGTGTTCAAATTCCAGTTCTGCCCTTTTGCAAACCATGTGAGCATTTGAAACATTTAGCTATGAATACTCAATTTCCTAAGTTTCCTAAATTAGAATTAAAATTTACCAATTTCAAAGGGCTTGATAATTAAATGAAATAATACTTCTACTTAGGGTGGTTGCTTAGCAATTGTACTAAGTACCCAAGAAAAGATGAGACACAAGGTCTAGTACTGTGGGTTGGAACCTTCTACGATTATGTGCGATGTCCAATATGAGCATCACTGTGGCTGGTGAACTCTTAAAATGGGGTTATTGGGCCAGGCATTGTAACACATGCCTCCAGTCCCAGCACTTGGGAAGCCGAGGCAGGCGGATCTACTCAAGGCCAGCCTGGTCTACAGAGTGAGTTCTAGGACAGCCAGGGCTACATAGAGAAACCCTGTCCTAAAAAAACAAAACAATTAGAAGTAAGTAAGAGATGTGGTTACTGTAACTGAGCAACTAACATAGTCCCAAAGCAGATGGGGCTCTGCCTACAGCTTACCACCTGATTAATGACAAGTGGCCTTTTCTCCTTTATAGGCAAAAATTGTTATCCGGGAGCTATTACCCAATGGGTTGAGAGAATCAATAAGCAAAGTGCGCTCCAGTGTGGCCTATGCTGTGTCAGCCATTGCCCATTGGGATTGGCCTGAAGCCTGGCCCCAACTCTTCAGTCTGCTCATGGAGATGTTGGTGAGCGGAGACTTAAATGCCGTCCATGGAGCCATGCGTGTGTTGACAGGTACCAGAAGCATTTCCCTGGTGTTGGTATTCGACCTTCTGTGAGAGGAACAATTAAGAACTACGTAATAATGTGACCCAGACCAAAGATCTATTACATGTTGCTCCTCTCTTCTAGGTTTTTATAAATATTGCTCTTCTAGTTTTTATCTCCATAGCCACCAGAAGTTCCACTGATTCTTCCCAGGGAATTGAGTTAGTACAGTTATACTTCCAAATCTTTACTTAGGAATATCGAAGGTTGAGGGTATGGTTCAGTGACAAAGCATGCACAAGGCACCGAGTTCCAGCCAGAATATCACACATACAAAGATACAGGAGTGCCATGACAAATCAATACTTAGATTTGGGTTTATATTCTGACTGCACCTTGACACTTCACTTAGCCTCTTTGAGCCTTAGTTTCTAAGATGCTATCTTAGTTACTGTTCTACTGCTCTGAAGAGATACCATGACCAACACAACTCTTACAAAATTGGGGCTTGCTTACATTATAGTTTTAGAGGTTAGTCCATGATTATCTTGGTGGGGAGCATGGTGCTAGAGCAGTAACTGAGAATTTTTCATTGTGATCTGGCAGCAGAGAGACATGCATTGGACCTGACATAGGCTTTTGGAACCTTAAAACCCACCCCAGTGGCATACTTTCTCCAACAAGGCCACACCTAATTCTTCTCAAACAATTCCACTTCCTGGTGACTAAGCATCCAAATATATGAGCCTGTGGGGGCCATTCTCATTCAAACCACTACAGATGCTAACCTCAAAGGAAGTTTTGGCAGCTGACATGTGCTAATCTATGTAAAGCATTGAGCATAATAACTAACTGACAATGTAGTAGACTCTGAGTAGACTTTAGTCATTAGGCTTACCATAATTTTTTGTTCATTTGTTTGTGTTTGTGTTTATTTTTCGAGACAGGGTTTCTCTGTGTAGTTTTTTTGTTTTGTTTTGTTTTTTGTTTTTTCGAGACAGGGTTTCTCTGTGTAGTTTTGCGCCTTTCCTGGAACTCACTTGGTAGCCCAGGCTGGCCTCGAACTCACAGAGATCCGCCTGGCTCTGCCTCCCGAGTGCTGGGATTAAAGGCGTGCGCCACCACCGCCCGGCTCTCTGTGTAGTTTTAGTGCTACCATAATTCTTAAGTATTCTTTTCTATATAGCTGGTTCTATAAATCTTGAAAAATGTCTCAATTGAGAGTTCCATCTTTAAATGATAATATATATAAACACATGAGATGATGTGTACAGTAATTAAAACTCAAGGACTTTGTACTCCACTGCTAAGTTGAACCAAGGAAAAGTTGAGAGTAGCCAGGGTTCAACTGAGCATGGCTGTACATACCTTTATACCCAGCAGTGGGGGACGTTATACCCAGCAGTGGGGGACGGGGGCAGGGGTGTCCTCCTTGTTTCCAAACTCAGGAGAGAGCTGCCAGGCCATGGTAGACTGTAACCTCTGACCAGCAGGGCCTCCCAACATTTTGTTTTGTTTTTCGAGACAAGGTTTCTCTGTGAACAGCCCTGGCTGTCCTAGAATTCACTTCATAGACCTGGCTGGCCTCAAACTCACAGAGATCTGCTTGCCTCTGCCTCTGCCTCTGCCTCCAAAATGCTGTGATTAAAGGTGTGCACCAGCCAGCTTGTGCTGATCTTTTAGAAATCATCTTTACCCTATGTTCCTATAGGTTTATGGAAATCACACCTATAGCTTATCTGTTTTTCTGAAACCTGCCAATTTATACAGTTTATATGAAATGTTCTCTCTCTCTCTCTCTCTGTTGTTTATTTGTTTGTTTTTTGGAGAAAGGGTTTCTCTGTAGTCCTGACTGTCCTGAAACTCACTGTATAGACCAGGCTGGCCTTAAACTCAGAGATCTCCCTGCCACCACCGCCTGGGCTTTTATTTTTTAAATGGAATATCTTCTATGCATTTTTTGACAGTTTCAAACATGTAAAAAAAAATGTATCTTAGTCATATCTACCCTTGACTCCCCACTCCACTCCCCTTGTTATCCCCAACATGTCCCTATTCCCCCTTATACCACCCACCTTTTCATGTTAACCACTAAGTCTAGTCATTCTTGCTGTTGGAATATTAACTGACATTGGCGTGATCTTGTGCAGGTAACAATAGCTGCTGTGAGTTTATGAGTACATTGACCATGTTATATCCAAAAGACAGCTTTCATAGCATTCCTCTCCATCCTACAGTTCTTACATTCCTTCTGAGCCATCTTCTGTGATTTTCCCTGAGCCTTGGGGTGGGGTGGAGGGCTTATAGAAATGTCCCTTTAGGGCTAAGCACTCAATAAATAGTCACTTATTCTCAGCACTTTGACCAGTTATAAGTTTCTGCTGACCTGCATAGAGAAACACTAGCCGAGATTGTGGGCAACACTAATCCATGAGTTTAAGCATAAATATTTTAGAAGGAAGTTTGAGAACATGCTACTTAACAAAAGTAGTAAGTTTCCTCCAAGACCTAGGACCTCCCAAACCATGGTCGTTTGACCAGAATTACAGGACCAGCAGGCATGAATTCCCTCCTATGAGCAGACCTAAAATGGGAGCTGAATCCAGGTCCTCTTCAAGAACAATTGTAGATGGAGTTTCTTGTCCTGTAACTGCTCTCAAATAATCACTCAGAGGCTTAATATGAATTATAAATGCTCAGCCAATAGCTCAGGCTTGTTACTAGCTAACTCTTACATTTATTTAAATTAACCCATATTTCTTATCTATGCTTGGCCACATGGGTCATGGCTTGTTCCCTCATTTTCTACATGTCCTGCTTCCTCAGTGGCTTGTTGGCGTCTCCTCTGACTCTGCCCTTCCTCATCCCTTAGTCTCAGTTTGGCTTTCCCGCCTAACTTTATCCTGTTCAGCTATTGGCCAGTCAGCTTGTTTATTAAACCACTCATAGCAACATATATTTACACAGTGTACAGAAGGATTATTCCACAGCAAGCAATAAGTGCTCTTCACTGCTGAGCTATCCTTCTAGCCCCCAGCCAATTATATTTTTAGTTAGCTTACAAAGTAGTGGCTTTCCATAAGGGGTTTTCATATATCCTTAGTGTTGGCTGCCTTCGCTCTCTCCTCTCCCCCGTCTCTCACCTTTAATTCCCAGCATTCCTCTACATTCATATCAGATGGCGTCTGGCCCCTCACTCCTTAAGACCTCTTCTATTCTGAGCGCTACAGATACTCCAAATTAAGCACACAAATCTAAAATTTCAAAGCTAGCATCCACATATGAGAAAGATCATGTGATCATCCCCCCCCCCCCACTTCCTTTCTTGCCTAGTATTTTTCTAGCATGGTTTATTTTCTGTGGCTCATTCATGGATTTGTTTTTCTCTTCATTGTGAAGGATTCCTTTAGTCTATTTTTATCATGGAAAGCTTTTCTCTTCCCTTCAGTTAGGACAAGTAGCTTTGCTTTATAGTGTTCTGGATTGCCAGTAGTTCTCCTTCAGAACTTGAAATACATCCCCTCAAGCCCTGCTGGCTTCCAAAGTTTCAGGTGAATGATCTGGTGTTAACTGCAGTGGGCCTGCCTGTCATGGGACCGTGTTTCTCTTGCCTCTTTCACTGTGCTTTCTTCGTTCTGGATATTTAGTGTTGTCATAGTTAGCTTTAGTATCAACTTAACATACTAGGAAGAGAACCCCTCAACTGAGGAATTTCGTCCATGAGATTGGCTTATGGGCCAATGTCTTTAGGCATTTTCTTAATTGCTAATTGATGTAGGCGGGCCCAGCCCGCTGTGGGTGGTGCCATCCCTAGGCAAGTGGGCCTGGGCTGTCTAACAAAGGTAGCTGAGCAAACAAGGGAAGCAAGCCCGCAAGCAGCACTCCTCTGTGGCCTCTACGTCAGTTCCTGCTTTGGCTACCCTTGATAATAGACTATAACCTGTAAGCCAAAATAAGCAGTTTCCTGCCCAAGTTGTTTTGGGTCAGTGATTACTCACAGCATCAGAAAGTAAACTAGAAAAAGAGGATCCTGCACACTACTTGGCCTGTCCTGTTCCTGCCCTCTGGGGGGTGTGAGGAGCAGCACTTGTCCATCTGTCTGTACTTTGAATCTCAGCTGACTTGACATCTATGCCACATTTTACTGTCCTTTCAGTGTTACTAGTAGATTATCAGTTCTGTGTCAAAGACAAGTTCTTCATTTGTTTCCAAGCTTCCTCTTCCCATGCCCAGATACCCTTTTAGAATCCCTACCATGTTCCCATTGGTGGCTATGTCAGTGCTTAACTTTTAGCTCAGAAACAGCAAACTTACCAAAAAGGCCAAAACATTCCTCGCTGAGCCTTTCACTGCCCTTGCTTCTCCTTTATGACTGAGGGCTGCGCTCAGTCCTCCCCGTGGAACTGAACTTTTAACATCCTTCATTTACGCAGTCATGGTGCCAGGATATCCACCAAAGGAAAGCTATTCCTAATCTTCCTGTAAAAAAAGTTCGACTTCTTTTTCACAAGGCTGGCTGCACAGTTAGCCTGCTTGGAATGCAGAAGGGGCTTGTTTCTACTTGACTAAGGAAATTACTGTACCGTGAGGTCATTTTCTGTCAGCCAGGAGAAAGAAATGGTGGGGACATTGGTATCTCTTTTGTAATTGAGTCCTCAGACATGGAGTGAGTGGCAGCCATCCTTATGTGCTGGCTGGGAACTCCACCTAGATGGCTTGGGAATTTTCACACTTCATCTTTATGAAGCACTTTTTACTTTCTGTCTTTGCAGAGTTTACTCGAGAAGTGACAGACACACAGATGCCACTTGTTGCTCCTGTCATTCTCCCAGAGATGTATAAGATATTCACCATGGCTGAGGTATGAAATCTCAGCCCAGTGGTTACAGCAAAAAGACCTGTTTGCCTTTGGTCAGCATCCACCTCTCATGGTATTTATCACAGATGCCCGTACCAAAAACTAGAACTGACAGTGATCTAGATCAGAGATTGAGTGGACCAGAGTCTTTGAACTCATGACTAGAAGGGAAAGCCTTTGATAAAGTCACCGAACTGTATCTGTACTCATGTTTTCTAGCACCCTATCCTCCTTGAGTTCATAGTGCCACTCCTGATCTTGCCTACTCAGCTGAGGATTTAGAAACAGTCTGTTACTTCATTGTGTGAATAGAGTCTTAATGTATTAGGTATATATGTGTTAGTATGTAAATAAATAGTGATCTGTACACAATAATAATATGAACACTTATAGGTATTCATCCTCCGTGATCCCTTGCCCCCAATGAATATTCCACATTTTATTTATTTTTTTTTTAATTTTATTTTTTTATTTTTGTTTTTTTTTGGAGACAGGGTTTCTCTGTGTAGCTTTGCGCCTTTCCTGGAACTCACTGTAGCCCAGGTGGGCCTCAAACTCAGAGATCTGCCTGCCTCTGCCTCCCGAGTGCTGGGATTAAAGGCGTGCGCCACCACCACCCGGCTATTCCACATTTTAAAAGAGGTACACTGAGAAGTGGGGATACAGCTCCATATAGAGCATGTGATTCGTCTTTGTAAGGTCTTGGTTTATCTTCTGTCATCACAAAATAAAGAAACAGCAGCAGCTACACATGCCATAAGCCCAACAATGCTCAGGATGCTGAGGTCAGAGAAACAACCCTGTCTCCAAAAAAAGGAGGAAACATACATTAGCCAAGCCTGGCATGGTAGAGCGTGTCTTTAATCCCAGCACTTGGGAGCAGAGGCAGGCTGAGTTCTAGCCTGGACTACACAGTGAGTTGTAGGCCAGCGGGGACTACAGAGAGAACCTTTCTCAAAAAAAAAAAGGCTATATATACATACATACATATATATATATCTATATATATATATAGATAGATAGATAGATAGATAGATAGATAGATAGATAGATAGATAGATAGATATAAGGCTGATTCTAGTAAGCTCTAACAGTCTATTGCAGTATGCTCTCTTAATTACAGAAACCCGTGTTCTACATAGGTGGACTGAATCTGTATCTCTTTAGAGAACTCATTTTAACTGTAGGGTTGATGGACTAGTCCTAGTCTTACTTCTAGTCACATGTATGCACACTACACTCCAGTCTCATGACTGTGCCATGACCTTTCCCCAGGTGTATGGGATTCGAACTCGTTCCCGAGCAGTAGAGATTTTTACTACTTGTGCCCATATGATCTGTAACATGGAGGAGCTGGAAAAGGTAAGTGTGCCTTTGGTTGGTGAGTAACAAAATTGGTACTTCAAAGTCTTTATTAACACTTTCCATTGCCAATGACTCACTTCATAACTACCAGAAAACAGACTAGCCAGTCTTATATAGATAGATTTAACGTTTTCATTCAATTTTTAACATATATGTCTTAATTTTAGTTATATTTCTTCAAATACCTTCCCTATATCCTTTTCTTTTTATTTACTTACTTATTTCATTTTGGTTTTTGGTTTTTGGTTTTTTTGGTTTGTTTTTTCCATGCTGGGAATTAAACCTAGGCCCTCACACACTCTAAGCAAGCACTCTGCCACTGAGCTATACTTCAGCTCTTCCTGTGCCCTTTCTACTATCGTCTTCTTTTTGTCTTTTTTCTTTTCTTTGTGGTTTTCCGAGAAGGGTTTCTCTGTGTAACAGTCCTGCCTGTCCTGTAGACCAGGCTGGCCTCGAACTCACAGAGATCCGTCCACCTGCCTCTGCCTCTGGAGTGCTGGGATTAAAGGCGTGCACCACCCCCCCCCAGTGCCTTTCTGCTATCTTATGGCTCTCTTGCGTGAAAGACCAATAGCTGGAAATGCTGGTTTCTGGGATCCAGGCGCATTGCTGATAGTGCTGAGGTAGGATAGGTTGAAGAGGATGATGGTGAGGAGGTGAAGGTGGGAGCTGAGGTCTGAAGTCTTGAGAAATTCCTGCAGTGACTATAGCTGTGCCCTTTGATTAGGACTTGGCCTGGCCGGGTGGTGGTGGTGCATGCCTTTAATCCCAGCACTCGGGAGGCAGAGGCCGGCGGATCTCTGTGAGTTCGAGGCCAGCCTGGGCTGCCAAGTGAGTTCCAGGAAAGGCGTAAAGCTACACAGAGAAACCCTGTCTCGAAAAACCAAAAAAAAAAAAAGGACTTGGCCTGAAAGAGCTTTAGATGCTTCAAAACTAAGACTTTAGTGTGTGTTGAAGCTCTGGATTGGGGATTTGTTGAGCATTGACTTTGGTTTCTGTTGTCAGGGTGCAGCCAAAGTCCTGATCTTTCCCGTGGTGCAGCAGTTCACAGAGGCCTTTGTTCAGGCCCTCCAGATGCCAGACGGCCCCACATCTGACAGTGGTTTTAAGATGGAGGTTCTGAAGGTAAAGATATACTGTGAGTGAGATGTGGAGTTGAGAGGGAAATCATTGATTGCTTCTTGTTACCCAGTGGTTTTGTTTTTCTCTTCTCAGGCAGTGACAGCCTTGGTGAAAAACTTCCCGAAGCACATGGTGTCCTCCATGCAGCAGATCCTGCCCATCGTTTGGAACACTCTGACTGAAAGTGCTGCTTTATATCCTTTCCTGGAACCCAAAAGACCCACTGCCTAGAGTTGGGTCTCACAGTCCTGTAGTTAGATGTGTTCTTAATGTTGGGGTATGTAGCGCTCCCTTGTAGACTAGATAGACAGCAGACTCCAGGTTCTCTGCCTTTACTCTGTGTCATACTTATGTGAGGACGGAAGTGAATTACACAGAGGAAGTGGAAGATCCTGTGGATTCTGACGGTAGGTAGTTTATCTGATCCTAACAGAAATACCGGTTCTTAGGGAAAGGAGTCTGAACAAAGACGAGTCAGGAAACAAAAAGGCAGTAAAAGTGTCTTTTCAGTGTATTATGTGGGCATTGAGAATTCATCATCTTCCATCTCATCCTTAGGGACAGTCAAAGTCCACTGAAAAGCACGGCATTGGAGTTGTGACAGATGTCTAATCTAGCTATCTGGGGTATTGTGCCTCATTTAACTTGGAAGTCGCAGATGATGATACTCTCCATTTCTATGTCACTCTTTAAATATTTCAGATCAAAAATAGACATGCTGGAAAATATGTTCAATATTTGTGATTCTTTTACTCCTAATAGTATTTACTATCCTCAAAGTACCTTTCTTTGACTCTAAAGAAGGAAGCTAAAGCCTCCTGTACCAATCCTTCAGGAATAATTAGCAAGTACTTTACATATTCTATTAATTTACAAAGATAGTGTAGTTTATTTCCAGAATGAAGGCTTTCTTTTTGTTTTCATAACATTAATTTCTACTCTTATATATTCCCTATAGGAGAAGTCCTCGGCTTTGAAAACCTCGTCTTTAGCATTTTTGAATTTGTCCATGCCCTACTAGAAAACAGCAAATTCAAAAGCACCGTTAAAAAGGCTTTGCCGGACCTTATTTACTACATTATCTTGTACATGCAGATCACCGAGGAGCAGGTAAATGGTACTTGGGAGACAAATTACTAACTTGCATTGGAAACTTGGAGAGTGTGACACCTTGGTGAAGTAGACATGTCATTTCTAAAAAAATAGACACTAAGAGACTAACTTTATGTGAAATCCTAGAGAAGTTTTGGTATCGTTTTATCACCAAATCCCTGAGTATTGAGAGGTTTATGAACTCCAGTGTCAGACTTTCAGAACACTTTTTCCATTAGAAAATCTCTGAGCCGGGCGGTGGTGGTAGATGCCTTTAATCCCAGCACTTGGAAGGCAGAGCCAGGCGGATCTCTGTGAGTTCGAGGCCAGCCTGGTCCACAGAGTGAGTTCTAGGACAGGCACCAAAACTACACAGAGAAACCCTGTCTCAAAAAAAAAAAAGAAAGGGGCTGGAGAGATGGCTCAGTGGTTAAGCGCACCGACTGCTCTTCCAGAGGTCCTGAGTTCAATTCCCAGCAACCACATGGTGGCTCACAACCACTTGTAATGAGATCTGGTGCCCTCTTCTGGCCTGCAGGGACACAGGCAGGCAGAATACTGTGTACATAATAAATAAATAAATCTTTAAAAAAAAAGAAAAGAAAAGAAAATCTCTGTGAAACCACTGAGCAAAGATCATAGTATGTATGAGAACCTATTCAACACTTCCTTAAATAGTGAAATTACTCATCATCACCTGTCAGCCTGATTGATGGGTCATTAGGAACCAGAAAAGGACATTTAAGAATGCAGCAGCTGAGACTAGTGATCGTTGAGATCTAAATGAGAATATGTAGGAACCTCTAGGATCTAGCCACGTCTCTAATGCACCATATTAAGTAAACCATACCATCAAAATTGAGAGCTGTCTGAATTTGAGTAACATTTTCTTAGCTTAGCCTGGAGTGCAGGGGTATATATACTGCTAGGCTGTTGTCAGCTGCTCCTGTTCCTGCCACCACACTCGCTGTGTTATTGTATCAACATGTGCTCTTTAGCCACTTGGAAGTCTCATGGCTTTTCTGATCTGCATTTAGAGGAAGAACAAAAGAGTAACAACATCCAGGTCTTTACAACTCATTTCTCCAGCCAGGCATGGTGGCGGGGCACGCCTCCAATCCCAGCACTCAGGAATCAGAGGCAGAAGGATCTCTGAGTTCGAGGCCAGCCTGGTCTTCAGAGGAAGTTCCAGGATACAGTCAGGACTACACAGACAAAACCTATCTTGGATAAATAAATAAATGAATGAATGAATGAATTAAAAATAAACTAATCTCCCCAGATCTGGGGTGAGTTGCAGGGAAGAGTAAAGTGTGAATATGCTCAAAACACATTGTACGAAGTTCTCAAAGAATTAATAAAAATACTGTATTTTTACAATACAAAAAAAGAGTACATCAGCGTTGTATTGAGATGGCTCAGCAGGTAAAGACGTTTGCCACCAAGCCTAATGACCTGAGTTCATCTTGGGACCCATGTGGTGGGAGAGAACCAACTCCTCATGAGCATAAATGTAATTTTTTACACAAAATTTAAGAATATAAATAGCGGGCTGGAGAGATGGCTCAGAGGTTAAGAGCACTGACTGATCTTCCAGAGGTCCTCAGTTCAATTCCCAGCAACCACATGGTGGCTCACAACCATCTGTAATGAGATCTGGTTCCCTCTTCTGGCCTGCAGACATACATGCAGGCAGAACACTGTATACATAATATAATAAATAAATAAATCTTTAAAAATATATATATATAAATAGCGATCTTTCATACAAATCAACACAAAAAATGGTGTAATTTTATAGTAAATATCCCAGTATATTCAGAAATCTGTTTATCAGAGTAACAAGCTGATGGCAGTAACTAAGTAATTTGTCAAATTCTTTTTCAGGGGGCAGTTCAAGGCAGGGTTTCTCTGTGTAGTGTTGGCTGTCCTGGATCTCGCTCTGTAGAACAGGCGGGCCTTGAATTCACAGAGATCCGCCTGCCTCTGCCTCCTGAGTGCTGGGATTAAAGGCGTGCACCACCACCGCCCTTCTGGCAAATCTGTCAAGTTTTAAAGAAGATTCTGCTACAGAAAAATAGCCATCCCTACAGATTTGGATAAATGACTTTTTCTCAACAAAAAAAGACTGTAAAGCACTAGGAGGCAGATAGATAGATCTCTTAGTTCAGGGCCAGCCAGGGCTGTCTACTGAAACCCTGTCACAAAAAGAAAAAGACTTTAGAGTGTGATCGGGATGAAAGACTGAAATCTTCCTGTGTCTGCTGATAAAAAGAAGGAACATGGTGCCCAGAATGGTAACCTCACAATGACCTGACTTCATCCTCTTGGCAGATTAAAGTGTGGACAGCTAACCCACAACAGTTTGTAGAGGATGAGGATGATGACACTTTCTCCTACACTGTTAGAATCGCAGCGCAAGACTTGTTGCTGGTAAGAGTTACATTGCTACTTCAAACAAATAACCCTCCAGTAATTGGAAGTTCTTCTTCCTAGACAGCTAACCCAAGGTAAGCAGCACTGTTGGGCAGCTTCACCTCAGGCCTTTTTAAGGATATAAGAAAGTTGCTCATGAAATTTGAAATTTAGAAATTCCAAAGTTGTCGCAACTGGTTCATTGAGTCAGGAACACTTCCGTTTGCTTCTGAGTTCAGCAAGCCTCCATGGCACAAACCAGAAGCTGACAAACTTAAAAAGATTGTTGGGGGATGAGCATGGACCATCAGCTCATGATTTCTTTGGCTCCTCCACCTAGAGCATAGGGTTGCCTCTAGGCCAGAATGCTGTGAAGAACCTGCCATTTCCTGTTGGGTTTGTTGGTAAACATATCTCCGTACTATTTAGTTCTTCTAAGGCACCTATGACAGGCTACATGAGAGCAGGGAATATAGTTCAGTGGTAGAGCCCTTGTCTAGCATGTGCAAAGGGAGCGTCGCTGAATTGCTGGAACCAAAAAAGAAGTAGAATGGGAAAAAAATTATGCACTATTAGAGTGGCCTTATATTTTCATGATCTGTCATTTTCCGAGAAAACAAATTTTTGGTCAATTGTCATCCAAAGCTAACTATCATTTTTTTCTTACGCTTCATTTAATAGAGCCAAAGACGTCAACTGTTTAGAACTATTTAGCCTTACAATGCATAAACACTACAGAGTTTCGTGTGTTGCTCTTAATTTCATCAGAGACCCTGAACTATTGGGGTCACTTTTAATATACCTGATCAGGCTTTAGTATGGGTGTGTCAAAGAGTTTGAACCATCCACACACAGACATTTATTTTTAGATCTTCTCTCTCCCTAGGCTGTGGCCACAGATTTCCAGAATGAGAGTGCAGTGGCCCTGGCTGCGGCAGCCACTCGGCATTTACAAGAAGCTGAGCAAACCAAAAGCAGTGGTACTGAGCACTGGTAAGAACGTGCAGAAGCGCTCTGCTTAGAGACTTGTTTAGAGCGTCAGATCTGAGGGAAAATAAGTTCATTGTATCCCTTTTTAAACAGCTTTGAAGGAGAAGACTTTTGTTTTTAATTAGAAGACTGTATTTCATTGGTTTCAGTGGAATTTAATAAATAGTGTTGAAATTGGAAGGATAAGAATGGATATGGTACATGACTTGTATCCTAGCACTTGAGAGCTAGAGGCAAAAGATTTGTAAGTCGAAGGCCATCGTGGTACATAGTGAATTTGAAGCATGCCTGGCCTATGTAAGACCCTGTCTCCAAAAAAAGGGGCTGCTGGGGGGTCGGGTGGGGGTTGCACATGCCTTTAGTCCTAGCACTCAGGAAACAGGCAGATGAATTTCTGAGTTCTAGGCCAGCCTGATCTACAGAGCAAGTTCCAGGACTACACAGGAAAACACAGTCTCAAAAAACCAAAATAATAATAATAATAGTAATAATAATAATAATAATAGTGAGGGCTGATGAGCTGGCTCAGCAGGTAAGGACACTTACTGTCAAGCCTGACAAACTGAGTTCAGTCCCTAGAACCCACAGGGTAGAAGTAATGGACTGACCTCTGTATGCATGCCATTGCTACTAAATGCTCCCACACGGTAGGTAGGTAGGTGTAAGAAGATTGTTTTAAATAAATGAATTAGAAATACAGACAATGACTTTGGGATGAGATCGTTCTGGAATACCCTTTTCTAAATGGCCTTACCTTGGATCCCTTTATTTTGGAAGTGTAGTTTGTTTTAGCAGCTGCAGTATCCTTTTTGCAGGTGGAAAATCCATGAGGCCTGCATGCTTGCTCTAGGCTCAGTAAAGTCCATCATCACTGACAGTGTGAAAAATGGCAGGATCCATTTTGACATGCATGGGTTCCTGACCAACGTCATCCTTGCAGACCTCAACCTGTCAGGTATGTTTTAATATATGCCAGGATTCTAGAAGATCTTGGAACCTGCTGTTAACTCACTTACATACTTTTTTAAATATTTGTGTGTCTGTGTGAGTACATACATCAGTATGCACACCATAGGCCAGAAGAGGTTGTCAAGTATCCTATATCACTCTCTGCCTATTCCTTTGAGACGAAGTCTCTCCTTGAACCTGAAGCTCACATCTCGGCTAGACTGAAATCCACCAGTCCTCCTGCCCCACCCTGTCAGAGCTGGAGTTACAGACATTTGCTGGGCCTCATGGCTTGTTGCATGGGTGCTGTGATGGAAACTCTTAGTCTCATGATTACAGAGCAAACATTCTTAACTCCTGAGCCATGTCTTTAGCCCCTTTTCTTCTCACTCTTCCTCCCTTTCTTAGTTTTGTGTATATGTTTGTGTATATTGATCTGAGTTCAGTCATCTGAGTTCAGTTAACACCCCAAGGGCTCACCACTACTTGTAACTCAAGCTCCAAGGGACCTGATGCCCTCTTCTGGCAACTACTGGCACTGCACCTGTGTACACATCCTGACACATAATTGAGATTAAAATCTTTAAACCAAAAAACCACAATAATTGTGGCTTGTATCCATTCCATTAGTTATCAAAGCCATGATGTCATATATGTATCCTGTAACCTCTGGAAAGCGGCATTATTCACTTGTGAAATAATGAGAACAAAAAAGTCAATGGCTTGGTATTCCTTAAAAAATAATGCCGGGCGGTGGTGGCGCATGCCTTTAATCCCAGCACTCGGGAGGCAGAGCCAGGCGGATCTCTGTGAGTTCGAGGCCAGCCTGGGCTACCAAGTGAGTTCCAGGACAGGCGCAAAGCTACACAGAGAAACCCTGTCTCGAAAAACCAAAAAAAAAAAAAAAAAAAAAATTTTAGGGGACTGGGCAGTGGTGGTGCACACCTTTAATACCAGCACTTGGGAGGAAGAGGCAGGCGGATCTCTGAGTTTGAGGCCACCCTGGTCTACAGAGTAAATTCCAGGACAACCAGGGCTACAGTTACCCTGTCTTGAAACCCACCCCACATACACAAAAAAGTTTTGAGGGGCTGGAGAGATGGCTCAGCAGTTCAGAACACTGGCTGCTCTTCCAGAAAACCTGCATTTGATTCCCAGCACCCACATGGTGGCTCACAACGTCTGTAACTCCAGTTCCAGGGAAATGCCACTCCCTCTTCTGGCCTCTGGGCACCAGGCACTCATGTAGTACACAGACATACACCTATACCCATAAGATTATGAAATGTTTAAATTAAAAAGTGATCATTTTAGCTATAAGGATGTTCAGAAGTGCCTAGACCATACTTTGACAGTTGCTGCCTCTGTAGACCTAAATTGTTGGTAATTTACTGATTTGTTAGGAGCTATTCAATAACTCCTGTCAATTACATATTGTAGTGTAAATAACTAAGCTAAGCTCTTTGACCGGCTGAAAAGATTGTCTCCTCAAGCAGTTTGTGCTCGGTAGGAGGCAGTAATTCTTACACTAGTGGTTAGACCGTAAACACAATCTGGTAGATGATGAGAAAGCTGAGCGTATGGAATTACAGCGGCTCAGAGGTGAGGGATCACTTCAGCCTAAGAGATCACTGAGGTGATATAAAAGAGGAGTGTGTTGACGTGTAATTTAAACAAAGCCCAGAACTGACAAAGCAAGGTGTGAGTTTCCAGGACTGGTATGTGCTTGAGTTTAGTGGCCATAAAGGGAGCCTTGAATGCCATCACTGGTGCTGTGCATATTTGGTGGACTGTAAAATGATTTGGCAGGTTATTAATAGAGGGCTGACATGATCAGAGCTATGATTTTATGTTCTAGTGTTGGGACAGAATAGGAAGGAAGTGGCCGTGGGGAAGGAGTTAGACAAACTGGTCATGCAGATAGGAATAATGAGGACTTTAGGCTCAGAATAGTCGGTAGTCAGAGGTAGAATTGACAGAGTGATTCTGTGCCATCCACTGCACATATTCTTTTACCATATGAAATTGTGCTTTTTCTTTCAGATAAGTCATATACATTATGTAGCATCCAGTTAGTTAACGTTTGAGAAGTGGAGTTGGGAGGGAGGAGGGCCGAGAGGGACTTTTCATCATCCGACCTATGATTGCTCTCTTTTGTAGCGTCTCCCTTCCTCCTGGGACGGGCCCTTTGGGCTGCCAGTCGTTTTACTGTTGCTATGTCCCCTGAGCTGATTCAGCAGTTCCTACAGGCAACAGTCAGTGGTCTTCATGAAACACAACCCCCATCAGTACGGATTTCTGCTGTGAGAGCCATCTGGGGGTAAGTATGCTACTCTAGAGTGGTAAGAATTGCTTAAGAGAAAACGACTCGGGCAGTCATCACAGCTGTCCCGTGCATTATACTGTTTGGAAATTTCTCCTGAAGGTCTCCTTCAGAATGAGTATTGGAAAGAGAGGGGAAAAACAGTGCAGGGGACTTCAGAAGGTGTCCTGTTCCCTTCTGCTCCTTATCGTTAGATTCACTCCAGCTATGAGTCTCAGCAGCTTCCTTCCTTCAGTGGAGGTGCATGACCCAAGGTTCTGAGTGATAAGTAATTTGCATCAGAGTTGCAGAATTGAGGAGGGACGTGAGTCTGACTGTCAATGACATCATTGTGTTGATAGTCCCTGTATTAGAAACCAAATTTGGAAGAATATGGCCTGGAAACACTGCTCATTTCTTCCAGTCTCATCTCCTTTTCCATAGGGAAAGACTGAGGTTTTATAGTCATTTATGTATGTTCCATTGTTATTTTAAAATGTTTTTTTTTTATATTTATAGTTTATGTGTATGAGTGTTTTGCTTGCACATATGTCTGTGTACCGGGTGCATGTTTGGTGCCCACAGAGGTCAGAAGAGGGCATTGAACCCCCTGGAACTGGAGTTATAGACAATTGTGAGTGCTGGAAATTGAGCCTAGGCCCTCCACAGGAACAAGTGCTCTTAACTGCTGAGCCCTCTCTCCAGGCCTGAACATTGATTTTAAAGGATATTTTAAGGTCCAAATTTAAGCATCTCAGTTGAATTCTATGCATGAGAATTACAAAGTTTATCTTCCTGTCCTATCTTCTTAACTTTTGAAATGGTGACTGAGAAGCCATACATTGAGAGAGAAAGAGGGAGGGCTATCGTTAGGGAACATTGAGGAGTCACCTATTCTGTCTGTATGTGTTGAACAGTAAGTGGTACAACCATGAACAAAAGCCCATCTTTCCCTGTGCAGTCTTGGTAAAGCCGATCTTTGGCTCTAAATAAATTTAAAATGTTTGGTGCTAAGAAAAAACCACGTGTAGCTTTTCAGAAAGCTCTGGAGCCATTCTTAAGTGACTGAGGAGGGAGCCCTAACCTGATTAACCACTGCCTGTATTGCTTCTGACCTTTGTAAAACTTGATTTCATCTCCATGCATTAATTATTCCCTGAAGCATTAGACATCCCCTGTGACAGTTGTCAGGATAAGCTTAGAAGCAGGTGCTAGAGAGCGGGCTCAGCAGTTAAGAGCACAGGCTGTTCTTGGAGAGGACCCAAATTTGATTCCCAGTACCCACATCAGGCAGTTCACAACTACCTATAACTCCAACTCCGGATCTGAAACACCCCAGACCTCATACACATAAGTAAATAATAATAATATTTTTAAGAAAAGAATTAAAAGCCTTTGCCAACTAAATAAGAACAAAACCATTAAAACCTATGTATATCTTACTTAAAACTTTAAAAATGGGCCGGGAGTAAAACCAGGATAATAAATTTAAAAGCAGACTATGAATCGGTAAAAGAAACGTGTCTACTTTGTGTTGTGATTTCACAGAAATGTTCAGAGTACAAACTGAGAAGAGTTTGATGTGTGTAAGTACTTAGGGTAAATATCCCTTGTTTCCTGGAGTGTTTTACACACAGCAGTGCCTGTCAAGCATAACTTATTTACATTGATTCTCACAGGAGAGATTAGAATTTTTTAAAAAACACTTTTATTTATTGTTATATATGTAAATGTTTGATTAGAATAAGTTTAAATTTAAATTTTATAGTCAGAAAAAAAAATACTGAGAAGCTGAAGAGATGGCTCAGCAGTTAAGAGCGCTTGGTGTATACTCCTGAGTACTGGAGTTAAGGTCCTAGACCTGCCAGGTGGTGGCGCACGCCTTTAATCCCAGCACGCGGGAGGCAGAGGCAGGAGGATCATTGTGAGTTCGAGGCCAGCGTGGACTACAGACTGAGTTCCAGGACAGCCAGGACTGTTACACAGAGAAACACTGTGCCAAAAAACCAAACAAAATCAAAAGAACCACCCTAGCACCTGTGTAACCAGCTGGCCGTCCTGCACACTTCGGTAATCCCCGCTCTAAGGGAGTCGGGGAGAGACAGACAGGAGGATCGCTGGGGCCTGCAGTCTTCCAGCCTACCTAAGAAAACAAGCCCACGTTCAGATAGAGAGCCTGCCTCAAACAAGAACAGCGGAGAGTGAGAAAAGAGGACGGCCAGTGCCTTCTTCCGGCCTCTGCGTGTACACAGACACTGCACCTGTGTGTGTGTGTGTGTACGTGTGTGTGTGTGCACACGTGTGTGTACACATACAGCCATACATATACACACAAAGAAATAGAAATAATCTTTGTAATGGGAAGAAAACTTAAACACCTAATGTATAGTTCTCATTCACTACTTAGGCAGTAATCTACTGACTTCCCTAAACAGTGAATCATATCAGACTAAAAAATGACAAACTATAAATATGAATGCCAGAGAGAAATGGACACTCACACCTTTATAGAATTATACAAATGATGTCAGACACTGGATCCTGTCTCTAAGTTCCAAGAGCTAGCCTGTTGGGGCTGGAGAGATAGCAGAATTAAGAGTGCCTCCTTCTCTTGCAGAAGACCTGAGTTGGGGTCCCCAGCACCCAGATGGGGCAGCTCATAGCCACCTCCTGTAAGTCCAGCTCTAGCAGATCCCACAACCTCTGGTCTCCATACGCTCCTGTATTCTCACACATACCCCACACACTCAAAATTATAAAAATAATAATAAAAATAAGCCTTTGGGTTGGAGAGATGGCTCAGTGGCTAAGAGTACTCACTGCTCCTTTGTTTGTTAGTTTTTGTGGGGTGGTTTTTGGTTTGTTTGTTTGTTTGTTTGTTTTCCTGGTTTTTTGAGACAGGACTTCTCTGTGTAGCCCTGGCTGTCCTGGAACTCATTATATAGACCAGGCTGGCCTCGAACTCACAGAGATCTGCCTGCCTCTGCCTCCTAAGTGCTGGGATTAAAGGCGTGCACACTACTGCCCAACTTACTGTGGGGATTTTTGTTTTCAAGTTTCATTTTATTTTTAGCACTATGTATGTGGACATGTGCATTTGAGTGCAGATGTGTCTGGAGGCCCTAGAGTTACAGGCTGTTGTGAGCTGCTCAGTATGGCTGCTAGGAAACAAATACAGGTCCTCTGGAAGAGCAGTCTGTGCTCTGAACCACTGAGATCTCTAGCCCCTGGAATTTCTAATATTGTAACATTTTAGTTCATCATAACATCCTTGCTTTTTCTTTTGTACCCGCTTTAATTTATTCCTCCATGCAGTTGCTTATATATCGGTGTAAACTGCCTTAAATGATATCTGAAACAAGATATTTTGATGCATAATTATACTTGTGTCAGATTTCTCTAGAAATATTTTTTTTAGGTTTTTCGTTTGGTTGGGTTTTTTTTTTTTTTGGTTTTGGGTTTTTTTGTTGTTACTGTTTTTCTCAAGACAGGATTTCTCTGTGTAACAGCTCTGGCTGTCCTGGAACTCACTTTTATAGACCAGGCTGGCTTTGAACTCACAGCGATCCTCCTGCCTCTGCCTTCAAGTGCTGTGGACTGACTTATGTTTTATTAATTATGTACGTATTTATTTTATGTGTATGGGTGTCTTGAGCCATCTCTCCAGCCCTCACCACCACCACCCCAGGCCTAACTTCTGAAGGCTGAAGTGGCACCTAGCTTCAGTCAGCTCTGAACTCTTTTTTTCTTGTTTTGTTATCTTGTTTTAATTACAAGGGCAATGATACTGACTTTCTGTTCTAAAAAGATCCATTTCTTGACTCAAATAATTATAGCAACGTACAGCGAAAAGTTGAAACATCGACTAGGAAGCTGCTGTAGTAGTCCAGACAGAAGTCTCTGCTGTAGTCCAGTGTAGTAGCCAGTAGAGGACGGGGAGGAAGCAGTGAGAAGGTGGGAACCAAGCTCTGAAACTAGGGTGCAAAGTGTATACCGTTACTAAAGCAAAGAGTAGAGAAGTAGTGTAGACGTGTCAATAAACTAGTAGTCAGTGTTTTGATTTTTTCAGTTATTTGTAAGAAATACTCTGGTAGAGCCAATAAGCAGTGACTATATAATGGCTTACAACTATCCATAACTCTAGTTCCAGGATACAGCGCCCTCTTCTGGCCTCCTTGAGCACAAGGTACAGGAGTGGTTTACATGCATATGTGCAGGCAAAACTCACACATATAAAATTAAATAAATCCCAAATAACTAAAAAGTAAAAAGAAAGAAGTAAGGTCTGAGCAAAAAGCAAGTCTATGGCAAATTCAAGCCCATGAAGTCGTGTCTTCACTGGTCGTTGTGGAGCTTTATATGACTATAAAACAAACAAGAATGGGAGGTGGTGGCACACATCTTTAAGCCCAGCACTCTGGAGGCAGAGGCAGGTGGATCTCTGTGAATTCAAGATCAGCCTTGTCTGCATATCAAGTTCCAGTCCAGTCAGGCTACAAAGTGAAACCCTGTCTTTAAAAATCTTATTGACTACCTACTAACAGAGTGCTATTTAGAGAAAGTGTTTTTATTTCTACTTACTACTGCCATTCTGTTGTAATTTTTAATTAATTACATTGATATATGTGGTGGGAGGGCGTGTGGGCGTGTGCATGCCATGCACACGAAGAACAACTTGTGGCCGTCGGTTCTCGCTTTCCACTGTGTGGGTCCTGGGGATCCAGCTCAGATCCGCAGGCTTGTCAGCAAAGCCCCTTTCCCCCCTGAGCCGTCTTAGCACCATCTCAGCTCCTGTGCCCACTCGAAGGCAAAGGCCTAGGACTGGAGGTTCAGTGGTAGAGCATTTGCCCCGGGTGCAGAGCCCTGGACTCCACCCCCATCAGAAGAGGAAGAAAGCAAGGTTTGAACAGTGTGTTTGTAGCATTTGTATCGTGAGAGCCAGTTAGCAACATTCAGGAAATACTTGTTGATGAAGAGATAAATAGAACTACATAGAGAAGTTTAGATCCCAAAGGTCAAGTACTGATTTTGTAAGTACACATAAGACTGTTTATGTAAATTAAACTCATTTTGACACTCAGAAAACTCAAAGCACAAAATTTGTAACATGGAAATTGAAAAAGTCTTCTATTAAGCAATTATAATGAAAAGTTGTTTTAAGAATATATTTATTTTTTGTTTTTTCTTTTTGTAAGTTGTTTTGTTTTTGAGACAGGGTCTTACTATGTAGCCCTGGCAGCCTGAACTTGCTCTGTAGACCAGGCTGGTCATGAGCTACAGCATGCAGGTGGAAGTCAGAAAATAACTTCCAAGAGATGATTCTCTCTTTCCACTGTGTCGTCTCTAGGGATCCAGCTCAGGTCATCAGGCTTGGGTGCAAGTATCCTTACAGGCTTAGCCATCTTGCCAGCTTTATATGTCGAAATATTGGTGATTTAACACTGTAGTCTGAGGACTCATACTACATTTAACCTAGTAGCTTAATAATTTGGGTGTAACGATATAGCTAGATTTGCCTCATCACAGGAGAGGGATGAACTTTTAAAGAAAATAGCAAATAGACTAGCAGTGTAGCTTAGAGTGCCTGCTTAAGCATGTGTGAGAGACCCTGGCTTCAATACCCAGCAAAGCAGAAATTTTGAAGAAAGTAGAGTTAGAGATACTGACATTTATATAATATGCTACAGAAAGACATGAAGACATAGCTAACTGTAGGAGTGACTTTATAAAGCTATATATGCATAGGTCATATAAGATTGGAAAGCCTAAGAACTGAAGGGTCTGCTTGCTTATGAGTAACTCTTAATTATATATATCACTTTCTCTCTCTAGTTATTGTGATCAACTGAAAATCTCAGAGAGTACACATGTGCTTCAGCCCTTCCTCCCCAGCGTCCTTGATGGCCTGATTCACCTAGCAGCGCAGTTCAGCTCAGAGGTCCTCAACCTGGTGATGGAGACCCTGTGCATCGTTTGTACTGTTGACCCAGAATTCACAGCAAGCGTGGAAAGCAAAATCTGCCCCTTCACCATCGCCATTTTCCTGAAGTACAGTAATGGTATGCTATCGGGAAAACCATGTCGGTGAGAAGTACCAGAAGTAGTGGTGGCTGGTGGATTTAGGAAACTATCTCTAGGGTCTGGTGATCTCACTAGCCTAAGCAAAGAAATAGTTCGCATAGGTACAGCAGCATTACAAAGGAGAGTACCGATTCTGTCATTGTCTTCTCCTGAGGGCTAGGAAAGATAGTGAGTAAAAGACTAACACAAAAGATGTAACTCAAAACCCTGACGATGGAGGAGGAAAGAGAATAACTTCTGAGCGGTCTGGGAAAGGAGATCCTGGGGGTGGGGTGGGGTTCCGTGATAGAGCCCTGGCCTAGCGATTACGAGGCCTCGGGGTTGATCCCTGACACTGGAGAAAGAAAATACTAAAGAAACCTGCAAAGAAGCCTTGTACAGGTGAAGCAAGTGCTGGGCTGCTGAGCCACAGCCCACCCTGTGAGTTTGCGGCCTTGACCCTGCCGTCCCGTCCCGTCCCGTCCCGTCCCGCGTCCTCCTGCTCCTCCTGCTCCTCCTGCTCCTCCTCCCAAGTGCGGTTCATGCGCACGGGCTTCCATACCCAGGACGGATATTTTTATGATAGTAAAAGTGAAGCGGAAAGAGATTTCCCCTAGAACATGCGTAAAATATGATCTGAAGTTTTAGTTTCTCTTTTCAAAGAGGATATGTGTGTGTAGCTGGGGAAAAAAATGCCAAAAGAAAATGTATCAGAAGGTTATCTCTAGGTGGTGGGATTACAGGCTTTTCTTTCCTTTAATACTTTTCAGCATTTTAATTAATTTTTTTTTTTTTTTTTTTGCTTTTCAAGACAGGGTTTCTCTGTGTAGCTTTGGAGCCTTTCCTGGATCTCTCTCTGTAGGCCAGGTTGGCCTCGAACTCACAGAGATCCATCTGCCTCTGCTTCCTGAGTGCTGGGATTAAAGGCGTATGCCACCACCACCCGGCCAATATAGTTACCAGAAAAATAAAGTACCAGAAAAAATATTAAGGATATTTGTTTTCAAAATTGAAGCTAAAACATACAGGAATGGTAGTTATTAATATGATATTCTACCAAACATGTTATTTAGTTTATTTGTTTGGTTTTGGTTTTGGTTTTTTACTTGAAAAATGTGTCCACACTTGTGGATCTCTCATTCTTTTCAGGCTTCATTAGTTTTCTGTGAAGTGACTGTATCTTTTATTTACCCATCCTGTTAATCGAGAACTAGATCTTTTTTGTTTGTTTCTATTACAAGCAGTGCTGTAGTTACTTTTAACATAGACCTGCGTGTGCACTGCGTATATGCTACATAAAAAAGGCACTTTTATTACATAAGCAAAGCAGATTGCTACGAAGTTCCATTTCTTAGTCAGATGATGCATACTTGTGATCCTAGCCCTTGGGGCTGAGGCTGGAGGATTACAGATTAAAGGGTATATAATGAGACCTCTTCTCAAAATAGACACCAAAAAGAAGCTCCATTTCTTTATGAAGCTCTGCCTTTTGAGAGCTGTACCTTGTGCTACAGGTAGGGCCCTAGGAGTTCTTCCTGTCTGTCATGACTACTCCTTAAGAAATATGTGTGACTTCTTGAAAAGGTGTAAGGGGAGCAGGAGAGGTGGCTCAGGAGTTAAAGCACTGGCTGCTCTTCCAGGGTACCCCCAGTTCCATCACCCACATTGCCTTCTGGAACTCTAGTTCTAAGGGAGACATCCTCTTCTGGTCTCCTTGGGTACTGCCCGAATGTGGGACATAAACGTGTATGCAGGTAAAACACCTGTACAATAAGTATAAATAAATAAATCCAGTAAATATTTTTTAAAAAAATAAAATGTGTGAGAGCCTGGAGGCAACAGTGTTTGAACTTTTTTTTTTTCTTCCAAGACCGTCTCTTTATGTAGCCTTAGCTGTCCTGAAACTCACTATGTAGACTAGGCTGGCCTCAAACTCACAGAGATCCCCGAGCCTCTGCCTCCCAAGTGCTAGGACCAAAGGTGTGTACCACCACACCCAGCTTTCTTCTTAATAAAATATCAGTGGGGTTTTTGTTTGGTTTTTGGTTTGGAGGCTTTTATCATTTGGTTTCATTATCATTCCAGATGGCTCAGAAGAAAAGCCTACTTTAACTTTAGAAGTAGCTATAAAAAAGTCCATTCCCTGATGAAAATATCTGTTGTATCTTTTGAAGACTTAGCATCCCCTTGGTCTTCAGGTGATCCATATAGCTGGCTGCTCCACTTCCCAAGTGTGAGATGTAATCTGTGCAGTTGTTAACTTATGTTAGATGTAGAGCAAGAAACACACATCATTAAACCAGTAATAGACAGGCTTCCATGTTGCCTTATCTACTTCAGATCCTGTGGTCGCCTCGCTGGCTCAGGACATCTTCAAGGAGCTGTCACAGATTGAAGCCTGTCAAGGCCCCATGCAGATGAGGCTGATTCCCACTCTGGTCAGCATAATGCAGGCCCCAGCAGACAAGATCCCTGCAGGACTCTGTGCGGTAAGTGATTACAAGATCCGTGAGTGAGAGGAAAGGAAGAGCCCTGCAAGTGTAAACCACAGATCCCACCTACAGACAGGAAGTCAGCGATACACTGGAGATCTGGGATGTTATTTTATACTGAGCTACTCTATCCGTGGGGACAGTGGTAAACCCTGTCTCAAAAAAAACAACGAGAGAGAGAAAGAGAATATGGGTGTGTTCAGAGGCATGGTCTAACTGTAGACTAGCTCTATAGACCACGCTGACCTTGAACTCACAGAGATCTGCCTGCCTCTATCTCCCCATTGATGGGATTACAGGCATGCACCACCATGCCTGGTGGCATTTTCTCCCAATGCATGTGTGTCTATGTATGCTTGTGGAGGCAAGAGGATGGACAACCTCTGGTATCATAAGGAACACAATCTACCTCCTTTGAATCAAGATCTCTCATTGGCTTGAGTCTTGCCAAGTAAGGTATGCTGACTAGTCGGCAAGCCCCAGGGAACCTCCTTTCTCTGCCTCCCTAGCACTAGGATTATAAGCACACATGCCACCATACCTGCCTTTTTTACATGGATCCTGGGAGTAGAAGTCTTCATGCAACAAGGGAAATGCTTTACCAACTGAAACATCTCCCTAGCCACTGTCAAATACCACCCACCTCCATGGCTAATAAAATCATAGGCACTATAATGAAACTGAGAGCTCTGACTACCTAGCAGGTGTCGTGGATGCTGGATACTTCCCACCCCAGAAGTAATTTGACTTTTTTTTCTCCTTCCAGACAGCTATTGATATCCTGACCACGGTAGTGCGAAATACAAAGCCTCCCCTTTCCCAGCTCCTCATCTGTCAAGCTTTCCCTGCTGTGGCACAATGCACCCTTCACACGGATGATAATGCCACCATGCAGGTATCTTACACTTGGAAACTAGAGAGAAAACAATTTCCCAGCCATAGCCAAATGGTAGGCTGGGGGAAAAAAAAGTGACATGATTATACTTTTGAAATATAAGTCTATCGACTCCAAATTTCCCCAGAGAAGCCTGGTTTGGTTGTGCTCTGAGGTCTGTTACAGCCTTAAAAAGTGTGAATACCAGATATCTGGCTGTCTGTGTTTGGTTATTGATGTTATAGAGGAGCTTCGGTGTCAGACTTGGGGCCTTGGGACTTCTCTGAAGATCCTGTTGATATAGTCAACAAGTGATAGACCTGGTGAAGGATGTGTTAGTTATTTTTCAGTTCTTTATTGTGGTTGTTTATAAAGGATATAGGAAAATGATAGTAGATACTGGTCAGATTGGAAATCCCTAGGCAAACAGTGATTTGTGTAAGATCTCATGAAGACCTTTAATACTCTTGGTTATTGCTACATCTAAGAAGTTTTTCAATACCAAAGGTAAATCTTTACTGTTAAACCCCAGTTTGCTTGGTGATTGACCCTTGTAATGAGAAATAGGCAGTTTTGAGATAGCTGATTGGGTAAAGGAAGGACTGTGTTGGTGCCTGTGTTTATCTGCAACAATAAATTCCTACATCTAGTGTTATGAGCCACATGAACCCTATAGGCTTACTGCTCCCATGAGATATAGACTCTGTCAGTAACAGTCTGAGGGCTTCCTTGCATCTATCCCTCTCATGGCTAATCTTGTCACTTCTGTCTCCACAGAATGGTGGAGAGTGCTTGCGGGCCTATGTGTCAGTGACACTGGAACAGGTAGCCCAGTGGCATGATGAGCAAGGCCACAATGGACTGTGGTACGTGATGCAGGTGGTGAGCCAGCTCCTGGACCCACGAACTTCCGAGTTCACTGCAGCCTTTGTGGGCCGCCTGGTCTCCACACTCATCTCCAAGGCAGGGCGGGAGCTTGGGGAGAACCTGGACCAGATCCTTCGTGCCATCCTCAGTAAGATGCAGCAAGCAGAGACACTCAGCGTCATGCAGGTGAGAACAGTGGGGTACTAGGCTTTTGGCTGCATGGTGATGGGGAACCAAATGAGTATGTGGGCCCTGAGTTGTTTTACTCTCTCAATATCCTTGTAGAACAGGTAAGTAAAATGGGATCTGCTCTGGCCCAAGAAATAGGAGCAAGGAAATCTTATGTTTTGTCCTGTGAGTGGACCTGCTGTGTATAAAGATTTATTTTACCTATGTGAATGTTTTCCTTGTGTGTGTGTGTGTGTGTGTGTGTGTGTGTGTGTGTGTGTGTCTGTCTGTCTGTCTGTCTGTCTGTCTGTCCCGTGTGCACCATTTACATGGAGTCCAAGCTCTTAGAACTAGAGTTATAAATGGTTGTGGATACTAGAACCCAGCTGAGCCATTTCTCCAGCCCAGACTCTGTTTCTGTTTGTTTGTTTGTTTGTTTGTTTGTTTGTTTGTTTGTTTGTTTTAATGGTCTCGTTGTGTAGCTCTGGCTAGCCTGGAATTCTCTCTGTAGACCAGGCTGGCCTCTTAAACTCTGTGATCGGCCTGCCCTGCTTCATGAGTCCTGGGATTAAAGGCGTGCCCACCATGCCCAGCCCCAGACTCTGTTTCTTAACGGACTGGGCTATTCCCTCACCTCTCCTGTGTCTATGAAATCTGTTTTCCTGAAACAGGTACCCTCTTGTTCTCTTCTAGTCTCTGATCATGGTGTTTGCTCATCTGGTGCACACTCAGCTGGAACCTCTGTTGGAGTTCCTGTGTAGCCTCCCAGGACCGACTGGCAAACCTGCCCTGGAGTTTGTGATGGCTGAGTGGACAAGCCGGCAGCATCTGTTTTATGGACAGTATGAAGGCAAAGTTAGGTAGGGCTCTGTCTTTTTGCTCTGAGCTTTCTACTTGTACTCACATTTAAATCTTTCTTCCCTGACTTGCACTGTTGATTTCTGTTTGATGTACCAAGCTGTTCCCTGTATTCTCTGTTCTAGCTTTCTTGATAACCCTTCTATTTGAATACCTCCATGTTGAAATTCCCAGTAAAACAATCAGCAGAGTAGAATGTGTATTTCTGAGCAGAAAGCAGTGGACCACCTCATGGGCATCAAATCCCATTCTCAGCTGAACTCTGCTACCTCTCCTAATTAGTTGTGAAAAGCAGTTTCACCATCAGAGAGGGTCTTCGTCTTCTGAGAGCGAGCTAATATACTTGGACTAAGCTCTGGATAGGAGCTGACTGACATTCTCTGGCTCTTCCCAGCTCTGTGGCACTGTGCAAACTGCTTCAGCATGGCATCAATGCAGATGACAAGCGGCTACAGGATATTCGTGTGAAGGGAGAAGAGATCTACGGCATGGATGAAGGCATTCGGACCCGCTCTAAGTCAGCCAAAAGTGAGCGATGCTTCCGTTTCTCTAGCTGTCGGGGACAGGGAAAGGCTATACTGTGTTCTGCATTTTTATTGGTGGGTTTCCTAAAGAAGCAGCAGAAAACTAAGCAAAATGAATCAGAATGTATGGATCCTTCTTGTTGAAAATTGAGGCAAATAATCTCGGGCACAATTCTTCCAGCTTCCATTCTGGGGCTCAGCTTTGTTACCGGTAGCAAGTGATCTCTAATCCCGGAATTGTCTTACTTCTCTTTATTTCTTAGCTCTTATATATAACACCAGGCAGAATTAAATTTAAAGTACTTTCTGGTTGGGTATAGTCAGAGATGGTGGAAAGCACCTGAGAAATATGAGTAGAACTGTAGGAAGGATGGAGATGCTGCCCAGTGACAATCTGACTTGAGGTTCTTTTACTTCTTCCTAGACCCGGAGCGCTGGACAAACATTCCTTTGTTGGTCAAGATCCTAAAGTTGATTATCAATGAACTCTCCAACGTCATGGAGGCCAATGCGGCTCGCCAGGCCACTACCGCCGAGTGGAGTCAAGGTGCACCAGGCCCTTACTCCCAGACATTAACCTGGAGGATCACGTTACATGTTGTCATATGATTGATTAGGTTTATTAGGCACAGATTTAAGGGTGTGGCAGAAGTGTTATTGAAAAGCTGCTCCGTGTCTGGTACTGTCAGGTCTATGTCAATTCTCACAGAGGTTGAAGGTGGGGGCAGCTAGGAAGCAAGCTGCCTACCCTACCCCTTCTTAGAAGCTTTAGTTCTTCCATTCACTCATTGGGAAGGTTTGGCCGTCCTTGGTTCTTTCCCATTTGAGAGGGCGGTAGTCCACACTGCAGAGACCCTTGGACCTTCTCTTTTATCCTGGTAAGATTTGAGAGGGAAAATGCATGACTGTTTCATCTGCTTTTCATCTTCAAGTAGATGATTCCAATGATATGTGGGAGGACCAAGAGGAAGAGGAAGAGGAGGAGGAGGATGGTTTAGCTGGCCAGCTTTTATCTGACATCCTTGCTACAAGTAAATATGGTAAGCCATTTGAGAAAAGACAGGACAATATGGTAAACACCTTTTCTGTGCACACTGGTGCCAAGAATGGGGTACCCAAGCAAGAGGAGATGTGGGCTTACAAGGGGTATTCCTTGGGCTTCTGCCCCTTCTGCCTCAACCGTGGGGTGGTAAATACCACCAAAGGCCTGACTATGGGCCTCTGTCCTGACTCGCCCTGTGTTGGCTGTGTCTAACAGAGGAGGATTACTATGAAGATGATGAGGAAGATGACCCTGATGCCCTGAAGGATCCTCTCTATCAGATTGATCTACAGGTGAGGGTGTCTGTAGAAGATGTCTTACAGTGACAGTATCTATTTCAAGCCATGGAAGCAAGATTGTGGGTTCAAATCCATTCATAGTTCTTCATGAGAACTACAAGAAAGTAGGGGTGGAGTTGCTGTCTGTCTGAGTGTTCAAGGCCATGGGCGGAGAGGGGTGCTGGGGTTTTCATCCAGGATTCTGTACCAGCTATGATCCATCTTCTAAGGCTACTTTGGGAGCGTTCTCTGGGTGAAATAGGAGATAGAGCCTTGGAAATATTTTTGGTTCCCTATGGCATTCTGTCATTGGGTTCTATGTACATTAGATCCAAGAATGTGAAAACCTACCCCTTAGGAAGTTGGCACTTGTCTGAAAGCCAGCATTCCTGTACCACTTGCCGGTGGTCCTCAACCCTGCTGCACACTGACGGCCCTGGGGACCTGTAGTGATGCCACTCTCCTTCTTCCTCCTCCAGGCATATCTCACCAACTTCCTTTGCCAGTTTGCTCAGCAGCCCTGTTACATAATGTTTTCGTGCCACCTTAATGACAACGAGAAGCGGGTTCTACAGGCCATCGGCATCTAAAAGGGGAGTCTTCAACCTGTGTTTCCTCTCCGGCCCAGCCACAGACCGTTCTGCAGCCCTCGCTGGTCTTGAGATGCACTTTCTCTCAGCCTGGAGTGGCTTCCTGGCCCATGGCCTCGACAGTGACACTGACAACTCAGTCCTTGCTCACCAAGGCTGGCATTTAAAAATGCTAAAACAAAGGACACTTCTCAAAGTCCTGTGAAGATACCCCAAATCTGGAACTGTTTTTCCCCCCAGCTCTTCCCCTACCTCCAGATTCCTAGCATCTTTTGTTGTCCAGAAACATTGATACCCAGAAGGATTATGGGTTCCTGATTATTTGCCCCACCTCAGGAGCACAGGAAGTCACTACCATTTATATTCAGAAACATACCTGTTCATTTTCATAGGACATCTGATGTGTTCAGATAGGAGTCCCCTTGAGAGATCATTATGCTTTCTACCCTCTGCCCCGATGCTCTAGGTTCTTGGTAGGAACAAGTTGGAACAGCTACATACTAAGCCCTTTCCAGTGACCTCCCTCCATGCTTTCCTCATGCAACACTAAGGCTCCTCTGTCAAAGGAGCCATCTTCCCATCTCTGCTTCATTGCATGACACAGCCCCTCCCCCAGGCTGTTCCTATATATACATGCACACACAAAATAAGCCAGACAGATGGTAACTTGTCTTTCTTTTTTAGGAAAAAAAAAATCAGGAAAAAGATTTTTATTTCTAAATCTGCCTGACCCATCTATATTTAATATTGCCTCTTGTACGCATAACCACAGAGCCTGATATTCAAAGGTTATCCCTATCCCTCAGGAATCCTCTAAAGTGGTTGAGTTGTAGCCCTCGAATTTACAACATGTATTTTTCTAGGACAGTAAAGCAATCTTTACAAATGAATTTAGTCTGCATACGATAAGGTGTCTCAGCACCTCCCCTTTTGTTTACTCTCTGTAGAAGGAAAGTGGAGCCTGTTCTGGCGTCCTGCTGTGATTGGCCAAGGGCTCAAACATCTTAGGAACTGAGTATTTTTCATTCAAATGTATGCAGCAGAAATAAGGGACAGCCCTCAGTGGGTTTTCCTTGTGTCAGGAATTGAGAGAGTGAGATTAGGAAGAGCAGAGTAGTAGCCCAGTGTTCCCTTTGTTTGATAGGACCCACATCTGCGACTCTGTTCTTAATAGCCAGAGAGTTTCTCTGAGTGATGCTCTAACAAAAAGAAAAGGGAATATAGAAGTGACTTTTGAGCTCCATTCTTAAGCAGAAGGATAACAGTGTAACATTTAACCTAAAAGGCCTTTCATGGGACCCTAAGGATGTGGCAGCTTATTAATGACTGTACCACCAGATGTCCTGGGTGCTGAACCTTTTGTTCAGAGGCATTTCACTAAAGTTTCCACCTTTTTAAGAGCCTGAGAAGGTGTGTATAGTTGTCTTCTGCCCCTGCTGTTTTTCCTCCTGAAGTTGGAGTCCCTGATAAAGAGAAATGATAGCATATCTGTCCAAGTGGTACCCAGAAAACCACAGTAGGAATTTTGGAAACTTGCTCCATAGTTGACCTCAAAGCCGGTTGGATTTGGTGCTAAAAACAGTAGACCATTCCTCACAATTAAGTTGTCCAATGGTTTTGGCATGTTAGAGTGGTGCCAGGTTAGCAGCATTGACCTGCTGAGTTGGAGAAAGCTTGGAGACCCCCAGTGCATATGCGGACAGTGACTTGGGTCCCTTCTGAGCCTGCTAATTAGAACAGTTCCTCTGTGTCTAGTGCCAAAATGAGTCCAGAGGGCTTCTTGTCTGTTCTCAGGCTTCACTTTTGGTGGGAGGGCCAAGCCCCTGCCTTAGGAAAACTGGGAAAGGCCCTAGTTTGCTTAGGAAGCCATCCTTGCCAACATACAACTAGTTGGACATGGAGGGTCTTACGCCCCTTGATGGACAGATATTTGCATGTGTTTTCAGAGCATTTAACTTCTGCAACGGGTTCACAGTGAATTTTCTCATCCTGTTGACTGTTCCTAAGAGCAGGGGGAAAGTTCTTTTGGTGACTATTGGTGTGACATAGTTGAACTCTGGCTCCTATTTTGTCTCCTACGAGAGCCAACTACATTTGGACAAAGGGTGGGGCTGACTATTGGAAGACTAAGAAAAGACCGGTGAGCTAACAAGAGAAGCGCGGGCTCCGGATGGTGAACGCTTTCCAGGATAGGGTGAAACACTAGAAGGCTGAAAAGTGGATGAAATTCCAAGGAAGGGAGTTGTTACCTCAAGTCATTGCCTAGGAAGCTTGAATTTGGACCCTAGGGTTCAAAACGAATTCATGAGACGTCGCTGGGGTGTTCACCGTGAGCTCGAGCGCCAGTGTGCCAAATTAACGAAAGCTGCCTTAGGTTTCCTTAGCCGTACTAAGCAGCCCAATAAGACCAGAGCACCGGTGGCTAAGCAGACCACAAGTCAGCCCTCAGAAGGAGGGTGAGATGGGTCGTCTTTGCCACAGCGATGGCAGCCTATTTATGCCTTACTCTTTCCAAGAAGTTGGAAGCATTTGCAAAAGAAACTGACCGAGGCAAGGAAAGAATGCTGATGACATCTTAGGTGGCAGGAAGCTTCAGGGAAGGTGATATTAGAATACAAGTAGATGAAGTCGTAAGAAAAGGACATTGGCAACAGTGCTTTCATTATAGTGCTGCGTCCCCCACTAAAAGTACTGGGTGTTAAGAGTCCAGAAGACTCCAGTGCGGGCCTAGGTTATTGTCGAGGGGGCTGCAGATTTCCCGCCTCTGTCCCTTCAGTGGTCCTGACTGATGACAGTCCTCTGTAAAAGGACAACCAAGGACGGAACTGTTGAGGGAAGGCAGTGACGGGGCTCAGAAGGCTGAACTCAACAGTGCCCAGCACATTTAGGGGTGGTCCGGTGAAAAGTGCTAAGCTGTCTCAGCCCACCAGGCAGACCTGCTGTGCCTGAGTAAATAAAAGATGGCTTTCTGGCTCTTCTGTTGCCTGTCGGTTTCAGTGACAAACTTGTTAGACACAGCAGGTCAATGCCTTAGGCTTTTCTTAAGAAGCTAGTCTAGGGCTCAGCATGGTGGTGTCTGCCTTTAATCCCAGCACTCAGGCAGAGACAGGTGACTTTCTGAGTTCAAGGTCAGCCTGGCCTACATAGCAAGTTCCATTATGTAGCAAAGGCTCCGTAATGAGAGAGAGGGGCCAGGGAAGCTGATTAGGAAATCGGAAACAAGTCACAAATAAGGCAAGTGCTATGGGAAAAGTAGGTGCTGTGTGCACTGTCTCCCCCAGAAAGACTGGGCTAGTGGTGATGGAGCGGAAGCTGAGTCAAGTGGCATGAAGGTTTCAATAAAGCACTTGGAAAGGTCGGCAGTTCTTGCTAAAATGTGCACTAAATGCTAGACCTGCTGGATGTGTCTGTGTGAACAACCTCACACCTCCTCCTAACCCTGCAAAGTGGGTCCTGTTCCTTACCCCTTCTACAGACTGAGTAAAGCCGAGATACTGAAGGTTGCCTGCCAGTGTGAGATTACCATCCAAGAAGCCTGTATTTAGTTAAAGTTTCTCTTACCTCTCCTGTGCATTTGCCAGTCAGACAAAGGTAGGGTAGGATATTCCAGAGGAGTGGGGAGGGGTGACTGAGATAAGATTGTCATGAAACAACTGCATTTGAAGAGCTTTTCTAAGCACAGTAAAAATGTTAGAATGAGCTGGGCATGAGAGAGCACACCTGTAATACTGGTGCTTTGGAGGCCAAGCAGGGCTACAGAGTGAGCCCATCTTTAAAAAAAAAAAAAGCAGCCTGGGGTACAGCTCACTGGTAGAACACTTGATTAGCATTAAATGTCCTACCAGATTTCTACTCCCCACATCAGCACCAAGCTAAGAAGAATTAAGGTACTATGCAGTCTTGGCCAGAAATAAAGCTGTAAAAATAAGCCAAATGGTGAAGGCGCCAACAAGGCCTGCTTCCTCTAGAGAAAGACTGACCACCTAAGAGGGACTAAAGGGTGTTTTGGAGCCTGGGCTGAAGGAGGGACTGGAAGGTAGGGATGCCATCCGGCAGCAGATCTAGGTGGAAGAGCTGCATGTGTGCTAAGTTATAACAAGGGTGGAAGAGCTGGAGCACTGAAATATTAGTGAGCATCGTTAAAGCTGAGTGACTGCTAAGGGAGAGATTCCCAAAAGGGACCACTAGCGAATGCGTTTTCTCGCATCAAAGAGGCCAAGCGTTTGGCTAGTATTCATATGGCCAAAGCCCCATTCTCACACAAATTGACACTAGGTCTCAGTGCTTGACAAAGCATTGAGTGGTAGCATTCCAGTAGCAAGCAGCCAAAGTAGTTGTTAATAAAATTCCAAAACTGGTGAGTGATTTGCCTTTCTGTGAAGGTGAAGCAGGTCAACGCCAGCTGGCTAATGGTCTCGTTTTTTTGTTTTGTTTTTAGATGATGACAGAAGGTCTCTCAGGCCTGTGTGGCAAATGTGTAATGAGAAGGAAAACAGTGAGTGAGCCACTGGCCTGGTCACAAGGCCCAGGAAGCCCTCCAAGTCTGGGCCTAACAATATAGCTGGAAAGGGGGCGGGACAGAATGCTCTCCTGTGAACCTGGGTTTCCCTGGTGTAAAATGGGGAACTGATGCCCAGCCCACCCGAATGGGAGAAGAGCCCCTCCCTCGACCCTCCACGCAGAGCAGGAGCTTGCTGTATTTGGCTCATCTTGCCTGGTTGGATTTGACTATGACTCAGTTCAGCTTCACTGCTTCACTGCTGCTGCTAAATCAAGGCTTGGTGAGCCTTTGGGAGGAAGCTCTGGAGACTTTCCTGGGGAACAGGATGGAAATAGGTGGTGGCCCCAGCTCCCACCTGTCACCCACTGTGAGTGTTCCTGTGGTTATCTGTGTGACAAATGATTGGTGTATTGGTTTACTTTCACTATATTTTTCCCTACCTCTCCTTCTCATAACTTAATTGAGTTCTTTGAAATTCATTCCCTTACGGGGTTTTGCAGGGTGGTGGACCACTGCTTGAGGATAGCCACACTTCTAAATCCACAGGGAGAAGTTTAGCTGAGGTCAGGCCAGGGTCCTGGAGTGAGAAGGCATAAAAAGAGGGAGGGGCCTAGACTCCCACGGTAGGAAGTCCCTGGAGCCTGAGTGGTCGGAACCCTGCTGATCCTGCCTGAGTGCCTGGTGGTGGAAGAACATTGGGAGAAGGCTGAATGGGATACCTGAAGAGCACTCTACCTAGGATATCTACACAGGCCAGAACCTAGGGACTGCATGTATGAGCAGATGTTAAAACCAGTGTCAATAGGCCTGGGATGCCGCTTACCCCAGAGTTTTGTACTATATGTGGTCCACGACCTCTCATGAGCCTGGAAGTAAACCATAGCATACTCAATTCCCCCACTAGATGGTTGGATAGACTCAATCTGATCCATTTCAATTTAAAAAAAAAAATCATTTTCAGCTGAGCAGTGGTGGGCATGCCTGTAATCCCAGAACTTGAGAGGCAGAGGCAGATGGATTGCAGAGTTCGAGGACAGCCAGGGGAACACAGAGAAACCCTGTCTCGAAAATAACAACAAATCTTTTTTTTTTTTTTTTTTTTTTTTTCCGGAGCTGAGGACTGAACCCAGGGCCTTGCACTTGCTAGGCAAGCGCTCTACCACTGAACTAAACCCCCACCCCCACAAATCATTTTCACACCCGACTTTGCTGTTGCAGACTCTTGGATCTCATTTCCCTCAGCAGCTCCGCTCCTCGTGTTTGCAGGAAGGTTAAGTTGCAACTGTAGAGAAGCCAGGCCAGGAGGGTACCCCTTCGTGTGACCCTAAGCTCTCCAGATCAGAGAAAGACAGGGTGCACTGGTGCCTCTGCTGAGCTCTGGCTTTGGGGTTCTAGTGGGTCTGACTGAACCATATCTTTCCACATGAGGGACCCAAGTCCGGGGGGTCAGGTGGCTTCGAGTTGGCAGTCAAGAAGTAGCAGGGCAAGTCTTATACATAGTTTGTGGTTCACAGTATGGGCTCTGGAGCCAGGCTAGATTTTTGGGTCCTGATAGGGTCACTTACAGCTTTGGTAATTTTGGGCAAGCTTTACTTAAGTTTTCTGTCTACGCTTCCAAATCCACAGAACAGATATTGGTATCTGTTCTACAGAGTAATTGTAAGAATTAAATAAAGTCAGTACAATACAAAACATTCTGAAGTGAGGCTTACAGAATTAGATTTAGCTTGTTAGTGTGGTCTTGAATCTAATGGAATTATCATCACCTAAACCTGTCAAGAAAGGCCCTGTGCATCCAAATTCAACAGTTCCCGCTGTGCTGGGATGGCTGAGAACAAACCCCAGCCGGAGTGCTGTGTACTGTGGCCCCAAGCGCTTCCCGGGAGGGGACAGACAGGAAAGCTGTAAACAGCCTTCGCCACTCACTCGCAGATCTCAAAATAACACTTGTCTGCTCCCACCCTGCCCAGCTGGCAAGGCTGCAGGCTGAGTAAAGTGCCATTTAAAGATAACCTGGCACTCTCCATACACCCCACTGCCAGGGCCAGCTCCGAAGACCAGACTGAGGCTGTGAGAAGGTGGCTGTCCATACCGCCCAAGCCTGTGCATCCACCGCCTGCAGCCTGCAGCCTGCAGCCTGGAGTCCAAACTGCCTAAGTTCTGCTCTGGTTGCTGAGCACACTGCAGACAGGCAGGAGCCTGGCATTCTAAGAGGCACTCCTAAAAGACAAAGCCTCTGGAAGGAGGAAGAGTACCCCCTTTCTAGCTGTGGCTAGGTGGCAAGGTGACACCCTACACTGGCCACCTACCTTTGACCTCTCCCCCACCCCCCCAGAGATGCCTATTATCACAAGAACAAATATAGAGGACACTATCTTACAGCAAGAAACATAATTGATAGGCTTGCTTATACTGGGGTAATGGGCGTTAGGAGGGACCCGAGTTCCTTCAGTTTCCAGTTCAGCCATAACCTTGACCATGTTCCTAGTGCTTTTCTGGGCCTTTCTCTTCCTCACTGTGAACTTCAAGGAGAATATATCCAATTCTCTCTTAAGAGGCTATGACATTAAATCACATTTAAGGGCACAGGGTCCTATAGAGGGAAGGACTATGTAATTACCTGTCTGTATGGTTTAGGTTGCCAGAGGCCAGCTGGGTACATGTGTGGGTAGCTGGAAGTATTCTAAAAAGGGTACCAACAGAAGTAGGAATTAGGAAAAGAATTTTTTTTTTTGAGACAGGGTTTCTCTGTGATTGTTTTGGTGCCTGTCCTGGATCTCGCTCTGTAGACCAGGCTGGCATCAAACTCACAGAGATCCGCCTGGCTTTGCCTCCCAAGTGCCGGGATTACTGCGTGTGCCACCACCGCCCGGCTAGGAAAAGAATTTCTTATCTCCAAGTGTCTCAGCTCAAACTACTACGTAACCAGACAGGAGTTTAGTGAAGAGATATTAGGGTTAGCCTGGGGCCAGGGCCTGGGAGGGTAAGGGGTGCCTCAGAAATGCCCAGGCTGGGTCTTGGGCTCTGATGTGACCAGAGCATGGAAGGGTTTGGAGAAGCCTGGACTGGTCATGCACTCTAGAGTACAGTGACTCTGGAGAGTATTGAGGCCAAGCCCTAGGTCACAGGCATGGTCTAGTCCCCCACTTTCTCCACTCCTGATAGCCTGACTGCCTTTTCACTCCATGCACGTGGCTGCTAGAGATGAGGCTGGACATTCGTGTTTCCCTCAGCGTTCAGTTCTGATGCCAGGCACAGTCTTAAACATTTAAGGAGGAACCGGTGATGGATCTCAAGGCTATGGGCTTTAAAGTCACCAAAGACCAACTTCAGATCTCAGCAGTGTGAGCTGAGAGAATTAGCTTCCTCCAGCTCAGTTTATCTCCAATGGAATGAGCTCATTTGCAGTATTAGTGCCTAATGTCTTGATCACAGTCACCCTTTAGCCTCCGACTGATAAAGCCTTATTTTATC